AATTGGGAATATGTTTAATTTGATTTCTAGTATCAACAACCTTGACCAGCTATCAAGTGCTTGGTTTCATTCAAGAGAGACAACTCCGTTAATACTTTTTCATTAGTTTGTGAAGAGTTATCCCCCTTTGTTTACTTGCTAGCAGACGACATTTTCAGTGATCCTCAGTGTGGATGATTTAGAGAAGGGAAGTTGATTTTAGAGTATTATAACAAAGACATCAGATCAGCTAAAGCGATTTCAAGTAGAACAGGCATCCCTTTGTCCACTGTTTATCGTGTTTTGAAAAATATTGCAAATGGATATGGCATTGAGCACCAGGGAGGCGCATGGAGGCCCAGAAAATTGACTGTCGGTGACAGGAGTCGGCTTGTTATTCTTGTTTCTAAAAACAAACGAAGGAGTTTAGAAAACTTAAGGCTGGATATGATTGATAGAGAATCTGTGGCTGTCTGTAAGGAGACAATTAGAACTGAGCTGCATGCAATGGGTTGGCAGAAAAGTCGAGGAATTCCTTCACCGATCATGAAACCTGAACAAAAGGAGCGAAGGTTGAACTGGTGCTTACAGCACAGAAATTTTAAATGGGACAGTGTGGTTTTCTCAGATGAAAGTTCTGTGTGGCTGTTTCCTAATACACTGAAATTCTGGACCAAACAAATTGAAAAACCTTTGTATCAACGCCCAAAGTACAGTCCGAAATTTAACGTGTGGGGTGGAATATCTGTGTTAGGGGCAACGCCCCTCTGTGTATTTGATGGGAATATGAACAGTGAGCGGTACACAGATATTCTCGAGGGACATTTACTTCCATCTGCTCACGTGTTCTATGGAAATGTTTGGATTTTCCAGCAGGACAACGACCCAAAACATTATTCAATGCATTCACTCGCCTGGTTTCGGACCCAAAATATGACATTATTAGATTGGCCAAGCTATAGCCCTGACCTAAATCCAATAGAAAATGTTTGGGGACTTATGAAGGAAAGTGTCAATAAGAAAAATCTGACCAATATTGCTGAAATGAAAGAAGAGGTGGTCCGATATTGGGACAGCATGGACTTTCTAACTTCTTTGATCAGTAGTATGCCCCGCCGCATTGAAGCCTGCATTGCTGCCCATGGTGACTTGACAAAATACTAACTGTTCACCTGTCTTTGAATCTGAAGTTATGTTCTGCTAATATTCACATTTAATACGTGAGTAATGAGTGATTTTTTTTTTTACAATCTTTAAATTCTCAATAATTTCTGGTTGTAATGTATTTTAGCTGTCCATTCATTAGAATTGGTCTTCAGCAACCTACGCTTGTCTTAAAGGCGACTAACGGGATCAGGTGGTCAGACTCGCTGACTTGGTTGACACATATCATGGTATCCCCACTGCGTATATCTATGCTTGTGATGTTGATCACTGGATTATCTGGACCAGAGTCGATGTTTACAGACCGCTGCCATATACCTGGAATATTGCTGATTGCGGCGTTAAACAACAAGCAAACAAAACGGAATTGGTGTGTACATTGGGATTAAGCTTCCAAGTTGTCTGCAAAATGTTTTAAAAAAGATTCTGATTATTCAATCTTCTCACCCAAAAGAAATATCTGGAGGCATGGACGAAGTTGATGATGTCGTCGTTATGTCGACGGCGACGTCGTCGTGGTGGGAACATATGTAGGTCCTTGGTTAGGACGTTGATCAGGTTTTTGGTGATGGTCTGGTTAACTGAGGTAGACGATTGTTTTGTTGCTGTATTGCTGGTTGACTGTACCGGGCTATTCTTGCTCTGTGGTGGATGTAGGCTTTCTAGGTGGATGGTTGTGGTATGGTTATTAGAATCATAGAAACAATCCGGACGATTCTGGCTCAGATGTCAAATGTTGATTTCAAGATTTATCTACATTAAATTATTCATTATGCGCCAATAAAACAATAAAATACACATGTCAGAGACAGTTTCACAATATTAATGGATGTGGGGAAAGTACATTATCGAGACGACTAAATCTATTGATCAACTACTATGGGAAATGTTACTGTTGAACATAGGGGGAAGTACAATATATTATTCAGCAACACGTAAAAAGAAAGATCTAGCTCGTGAAGCCAAATTAGAAGAAGATTTAAATGATTATGCAATTAAATTAGGCGAAGTAAATTATGAAATTGAAAAAGACATATTAATGGAAAAATCTAGGGAAAGTAAATCCGAATTAGAAAATTTAAATAAAATAAAGACTGAAGGCACCTTTATAAGATCTAAAGCCAAATGGATAGAACAAGGGGGGAAACCATCCCAATACATTTTACAATTAGAATCCATAAATTTTCTTAATAAATCCTTATCAAAACTTAAAAATAGAGATGGAATTGTATTGAATACACAAGATGATATTATCCAAGAAGTTACAAATTATTACAAACATTTATATACAAGTGAAGGATGCACGCAAATTGACTTAGAAAACCTTTTTACAGATACACCAATTCCAAGACTAGATGATATCACTTCCAAATCTCTTGAAGGTAAATTGAGTTATGATGAAGTACTTAAAGCACTAAAAATATGAAAAATGATAAAAGTCCTGGCCCCTGGATTCACAGCAGAATTCCTTAAGTTTTTTGGGTTAGACCTGCATAGATAAATGCATTAAACTATGCGTTTGATAATGGCTCTTTTTCACTAACACAAAGGCAAGGATTGATAGCATGTATCCCAAAAGAAAATAAATCGAAATTATATCTGAAAAATTGGCGCCCAATCTCCCTTGTTAATACTTCATACAAATTAGCATCTGCAACAATAGCAAATAGAATAAAGCACGTACTACATTTGATAGTACATGGGGACCAAAAGGGCATTGTAGTTGGTAGGTATATTGGAGAAGTAACCAGAATGATCTATGATGTGATGGATCACACAGAAACGTACCAAAAACCAGACTTATTACTACTTATCGACTTTGAGAAAGCCTTTGACTCGGTAGAAAGAAAATTCATGCAAAATATCCTAGATTTTTTCAGCTTTGGGCCAGATTTTAAAAAAATAGGTAAAGATACTTTTTGTAGATATTGAATCATGTGTTTTAGTAAATGGATATGCAAGTCCCCTTTTCAAAGTTTCAAGAAGTTGTCGCCAAGGTGATCCAATATCACCTTATATATTTATACTCTGTGCAGAGATACTAGCAAATATGATCAGAAGTAATGGAAATATACATGGTATACAAATGGCAAAAATGCTATCTCTTCTCGTCCAATTTGCAGATGATACTACACTAACTTTAGATGGATCAGAAATAAAGCCTCTACCCAACAATGAATACTTTATCTTCCTTTGCAACATTTTCTGGATTAAAGGTTAATGCTAAAGAAGTGTTACCAATTCATTTGGAAGGGTAAAATTGATAAAATCCAAAGAAATATTATGCAACTGCCACCTAAATATGGTGGTATCAGTGTTCCTGGTGTAAAAACTGTTATTGCAGCACAAGAACTGAGTTGGATTAGGAGAATAATCTATTAATAGCAATACTTACTTGTACAGCTGTGATAATGGTGAAAACATAAGAGATGAAGAGAAAATGTCAAAAATCTATTGGTATAACAATGCTATTAGAATTGGGAGTGAACCTATTTATCTACAGCAATGGCATAAAAAGGGTGTAACATATTTTAGAGATAAACCTTGTAAAAAGATATAATATCAAAACAGACTTTCTGACTTATGAGGAAGTCAAGAAATCAGTGTCATCCTTTTTATACAACACTAATCCTAGTGTTGAACCCAGTTCTAGACCCATTCTGCCTTATAACATGTCAATAATAAGCAATAAACAAGGCTATTCAGCTTTGTATATGAGTTTATTAGACCCAACTTTTACAAAGTTCAAAACACTGTTGAAATGGGAAGATCATTTACAAAAAGAGTACACTGATACAGAGTGGAAGAATATTAATCTTATGGCAAAACCATGTACACAAAGTAGTGAATAAAGATGGTTTCAGTTTAAAATCATTCGTAATATATTGAGTACCAATAACTTGTTTTTTAAGATGGGATACGTTGAATCCCCAGCATGTTCTGTATGTAATGATCTACTTGAAACCATTGTACATGTTTTATATACCTGCCAATATGCCAAAATCATATGGAGAAAACTTTCAGAATGGCTTGCAAAATATACTGAAGGAAACGTCGAATTCAGTGAAGAGAATATATTGTTTGGATTTAAGGGTATGAATAATAATCCTTTGATTGCAATTATTTTTATAACAAAATCTATGCTTTACAGATGTACTATTAGGAAAATCAAACCACATTTCAAACCTTTTCAACAAGAAATATATAGATACTACCAGGCAACAAAATTTACCGCATTCTCAAACTGTAGACAAGCAAGCTTTCGTGCCTTTTGGTCGTCTCTACACGTGCTTTTCAGCAACCCTGTCTAATGTCTTAGATATGACATTTAAACGAGACACAATCCTGTGTACATCTATATGCACATATATATGTACGTGCATGTATTGTTGTTATAAAATGGATGGAAATGTAACCAAAAAGTGGAATAAAAAAAAAAGGAATTAATGGCTGTGGGTAAAGTACATTATCGAAACGACTATAGCTGTTGCACAAATGTTGGATGTGCAACTAAAATCCAATGGAGATGGAAGTGAATTGTTATGTGAAAGTTGACACAAACCTGAATAACAACAAACAATTAGAATAAATTGAACCAGACAAAATAAACTATATCTCTGAGTTTCAGTTGAAAGTACCTCAAGTTAGGAACACTGAATATCTAATACAGGAACTGTACCAACCTTTAGTCAGCACTCAGAAAATACATGTACTTCTACACGACTCCATTTTTAAAAGTTAACTTGCTTCAAATTTTTAATACAGTTTACGCTCTACAAACTGTTGCAGGAATGAGTGATGGTAAAATAGACATAACCATGTTCATAGTACATTACATAAACAAGGTCGGTTGGCTTTCATTTGAACCTTAGTTCACCAGCGTGAGAGACAAACACAGCCATGAGGAAGCCAAGCTTCTCCCCCGACCTGGCGGGAATGAGGAACACACATGGGTTCAGGAGGGACATGAGCACCATGGGGAAGATGATGTTGATCAGGTAGTAGATCGGCCTTCTTTCTAATGTTATTATGTACTGTGCTGCATTCACGCCCCCAGACTCCACCAGTACTAGCTGGGATTTCGTGTGTAGATAATTCCACTCCCCATTCTGAACGGTCAGGTCGTTCACACTTTGTAAATTCATTGCGTCTATTGTAAAATTGATTTTGTATCCGAATGTGGGCATGATGGTGACGTGGCAGCCTTGTTTATCAAAAGGGTATCTAAACACGTCTATTTTACACGATGTCCGGAAGGTGCCGGGGAGCTCCCATGACATGAAACCTTGCCATGAAACAAAAACATTTCTGCTGGCGACTAGTTCCTGGCTATCTATGCTGTTTGATAATATTATACCGGGGGTCCACACATTGTCAGGCTCTACTTCAATGAAGTCATTATCATAGTACTGGGAAGTGTTCCAAGCGAGGTCCATATCCTTCCAGCGTAGTTCAAAGAAGGCGAGTACGGTCAGTACCTGGCTTGCCGAATCCAGATCAATGATGGCGACCGGCTCAAACGTTACCTCCACATCAACCGTGGAGCTATTGTCAACGAAGGGAGGAATAGTTTTGTTCGTTCGGCCAAACAGGGCACTGTACTTAACACTGTCATATATTGTTGTGACTGTATAACAGATGTGACTATTCTATTGCCACCGTACTCCAGATGGTATGGTTATAGTGAGTTTGTTAGTCACCGTCATGTACGCCAGATGTTACTATTCTATTGCCACCGTACTCCAGATGATATCGTTACAGTGAGTTTGCCAGTCACTGTACGCCAGATGTGACTATTCTATTGCCACCGTACTCCAGATGGTATCGTTATAGTGAGTATGTCAGTCACTGTACGCCAGATGTGACTATTCTATTGCCACCGTACTTCAGATGATATCGTTATAGTGAGTATGTCAGTCACTGTACGCCAGATGTGATTATTCTATTGCCACCGTACTTCAGATGATATCGTTATAGTGAGTATGTTAGTCACTGTATAGAAGATGTGAGTATTCTATTGCCACCGTACTCCAGATGATATCGTTATAGTGAGTATGTCAGTCACTGTACGCCAGATGTGAGTATTCTATTGCCACCGTACTCCAGATGGTATCGTTATAGTGAGTTTGCAAGTCACTGTACTCCAGATGTGACTATTCTATTGCCACCGTACTCCAGATGGTATGGTTATAGTGAGTATGTTAGTCACTGTACGCCAGATGTGACTATTCTATTGCCACCGTACTCCAGATGATATCGTTAAAATGAGTATGTCAGTCACTGTACGCCAGATGTGAGTATTTTATTGCCACCGTACTCCAAATGGTATCGTTAAAGTGATTTTGCCAGTCACTGTACGCCAGATGTGACTATTCTATTGCCACCGTACACCAGATGATATCGTTATAGTGAGTATGTCAGTCACTGTACGCCAGATGTGAGTATTCTATTGCCACCGTACTCCAGGTGGTATCGTTATAGTGAGTTTGCAAGTCACTGTACGCCAGATGTGACTATTCTATTGCCACCGTACTCCAGATGGTATGGTTATAGTGAGTATGTTAGTCACTGTACGCCAGATGTGAGTATTCTATTGCCACCGTACTCCAGATGATATCGTTAAAGTGAGTATGTCAGTCACTGTACGCCAGATGTGAGTATTCTATTGCCACCGTCCTACAGATGGTATCGTTAGAGTGAGTTTGCCAGTCACTGTACGCCAGATGTGACTATTCTATTGCCACCGTACTCCAGATGGTATGGTTATAGTGCGTTTGTCAGTCACTGTACGCCAGATGTGACTATTCTATTGCCACCGTACACCAGATGATATCGTTATAGTGAGTATGTCAGTCACTGTACGCCAGATGTGATTACGTTATGGTCTCTGCAGCATTCTTTATTAAGCGATGTGATTCTGATGTTGGATGTCATAGGATCACATACTCCTGTTGTGTTAAACACTGTACTTACACTGTACACTGCCCCGTATGTCGCTGAACGTCAGTCCAAACTACATCACATGTGACCCTTTGTCTGATGTTGCCGCAACGTTTAACTCCATCACTGCACAAAGCCGGGTAAGTATGTAATTTTGATGTTTGATGATATTACATTACAACACATAGCCGTCACTCCTTTGGTTTCACCCAGGGTCTCTAGTGCGATGGGTAGGCAGCTTGGCTTGACCTGGTAATTCCACAATTACCTTCATCGGATTCACTTCCAACCTTCATCAGCTCCTGGCACAAATGTGCATCAAGTTTCCTTATGAAGCAACGTTCTTATCAGATCAACTAGTCCAGAATGACTGACACTCTCAATAAAAGCTAGTATTCATGTAAGAGCTAGTATTTACATCTTCATTATCCCATTGTGGAGCACGTGCTGTTAAGCATTCAAACCGTCATAAAGTTGTCTGTCTTTGTTGGCATATGGTGGGTGTTTGTTTGTCAGGGTCCAGGAAATGGATGTGGATAGTAAGCTGGATGGGATTACCTAGTACAGAAGAGCACGGTAACATCCGGCCCTTAGGAAATGTGATCTATTACATGATATGTCGATATTTTACGTTTAATGGACGCGTGGTATACTGCCCTCAGTTAAAATTATTTCCTTTTCGCGTTCGAGAAGTGTGTATATACATCCTCCATTAGCCGCTATGCCTCTGGTGTTTGCTGATACTGGAAACACGTCTATGGGGAACGAACCCAGCTTTAACAAACAAAGAGTTAATCAATGCTTATTTACCTTAAACCGGCACATTAGGCCAAAGTATTTTCAATATTACTATGTTAGTTTTTAGGAATGAAAGTTTTGATAAGTCAATGGAAGCATGTGAATAAATGCATCTAGCTGAAGTTACACATTAACACATTACAACTGGAAAGGAAGACTGACAAAACATGTTATTGGCCAGGGGAAAGATGGGTATGTTCGAGTTGTACTTTTTGGGTAACCGGTGCCCATTACCGTCACCATTTGCCAAACATCCATTCACCTCTTGGTGTATACCGCCTGTAGGTCTCCCAAAGTCGAGACACGTTACACTATCCCACTCCTCTTGCGCCAATTGGATCGCCGGCCTATTACACACAGGTCTCAATATCGTGTCTCAGACTTTTGCAATAGGACAAAGGTCTTGGCACATAGCTAGTCATTACATTCTATGGATGTGGTGGGTGAGCACTGACGTTTCGTGCACAGTGATCACGATCATTGTCGACCTGGAAGACAAAACATTGACCCAAACGCCTTGCAAATGGGGCAGAAAATGATGTCACTATTTATATTGTCCCAACACGCTGATGCCACATCACACCATACGCGATCCACAGCCAAATCCACAGGGGTTCGAATCACCGTTTGAACAATAATTTTTAAAACTACAAATCGAGACCTTTGTAATTATGTGTTGTTTTTATATGTTATGATTAACATATATTCAGGGCTTCAATTTTTTTTTTAAAAGCCACTTGCCACAGGTCAAGTGACTTTAAGAAAGTAACTTGTCCTGACTAATTTTCCACTTGCCCTGATTTTATGACATAATTATGATGATGTAATTATGAAAGAAGAAATCAACATGGTATTTGATGTTAATGTTTACTGGACTATTTATTGAAAAGTGATAAATAGCAAAGAAAGATAACTCTTCTTTATTATCATTGCGAAATGTAATAGCTACATTTTGAGCAGATATGAAATTAAATCCAAGTTCATTTGCGGTTTGAAACCATAAGTGGAAATTATCTAGTAGCCCACGGACAAGTAAGATACCATTATTTGATTGCCCGAAATGAAAACTGACTTGTCCCGGGCGTCGGGCGATGGGATTTTTGAACCCCTGAATATTTCAAATTTGAACGAAATCGGTGAAGAGATACCGAGTTTAGAAAATTCTACCGCTACAATCATTACATAAAACACAGGGGGTGACGCTCCCAATGCTAAAAACCTGATTGAAAACCGGGCAGCCCGACTATTTTAAGGTACGGTTCAATCAATAATTACGTGTTTCAGTCTTAAGTAAACACATGTCAAATCCAGTTTGGAGTGTTGTGTATTTAATGCAGGTGTTCGTGATCACTGCCATGTGAATTAGAAGTTAGGAAGTAAACCAATCAGGGCCCACTTCCGTTGCACGAGATTTTTGTTCAAGGCACAAAGAATGGAATCAGACGTGACAATGGAGCTGGTGTAAGTCAAGTGAGTTTCAACACGCAACATCATTTAGGTTTTACTATACACTCGGTACTATAAACACTTTTGGAAATTCAGTTGTTGAAATGCAGAAGGTTGCTCAGTGGTGAAATCAGGCTTTGAGGTGGATGGTTTGTGGTATGGTAATAGCAAACACAGACACAATCAGGACGAACTGGGGTTCGAACCCACCATGATAGGTTTCCTCAGACGACGGGGCAACCCGTGCCCACTTCAGCAATTCGCTGACAATGACGTCACGATTACAGTTATCGTAGTGAGAGTCCTACACAGCAACCAGATTCTATGTTAGGCTGACAATACAACCGACAGCATGGCATTTGGGGAGAAACGTTTACTCTTTGCACAACAAACATGGCGACAAAAAACACAAACGTTATAATCAGTACCAACTAACGTAATACCTGTTTTCGCTATGCATTTGACATGCGGAATTAGATCAAGGTTGTGGCTTCAGCACATTTATAGCTTAATAATCACAAAATATACACAATATACAACTATATATAGTGAAGAGTTTTGGCTCACATTGCAAATGTTCAAAAGCATAAATCTATCTCACTGTTGCCTTTGATTTCCAGATTTATCTACATTAAATTATTCACCAATAATAAAACAATAAAATACACATATCAGAGATACTCGTCAAACAGCTTCACAATATTAATGGCTGTGGGTAAAGTACATTATCGAGGTGACTACAGCTGTTGCACAATGCTGAATGTGCAACTAAAGTCCAAAGGAGAAGGAAGTGAATTGTTATGTTAAAGCTGACACAAACCTAATGAACAATACACAATTACAATAAACTGAGTTGATTTTCAAGTTTTTATAAGTTTCTATACATCTATGCATTAATTTATATATACTGAGTCAAAAAAGAAACTTCACAAAATGTAATTTGAAAAATAATGAATAATTTTTCTCTGATGATACATCTATGTATCCGAAATGGGATCCCTATCTTTCGACTCTAGAAAAACGTTAGCAAAACCCACTCAAACCCATCCATTCGTCGTGCAAATGACGTTAGTGCCAAATTTGGTTTTGCACGTGCAGTCGATCACGTGATCTTCGCATCGAAGTTTTCTTCATATGCACGTGTTTGCATTGGCCTCAAGAATTTAAAAAAACCTTTTAAACCACAGTTCTAACGGTACTTGAAATGCCACGATTGTCAAATGTGCAACGTGAACGTGCCGTTGGCATGTTGCAAGCGGGAAGATCAGTTATTGACGTCGCAAGAGCAATGGGATGCAGACGTCGTACTGTGTATGACTTGCGAGGTCGTCTACAACAAACTGGCACTACTTCTGATTGCCCAAGGTCGGGTCGTCCACGTGTGACGTCACGAGCAGAAGACCGTCAAATCGTCCTACGTCACCTACGTGACAGATTTCTGCCGGCTACACGAACCAGGGCTGAGATGTTTAGAGGTCGACTGTCCTCACAGACCATTCGAAATCGGTTGCGGGCTGCCAATCTCCATTCTCGACGTCCATATCGTGGGCCAATATTGACGCCGTTTCATCAACGTCAACGTCTGCTGTGGGCCTAACGTCACCTCCGATGGACCCAGAGAGACTGGAATCGAGTCATCTTTAGCGATGAATCCAGGTTTACCCTCAGATTCGCGGACGGCAGGCATAGAGTCTGGAGACGACGTCGTGAACGGTATGCCCAATGTTGTGTACAGGAAGTCGACAGATTCGGGGGCGGAAGTTGCATGGTGTGAGGTGCTTTCTGTGGGAACAACCGTTCCCGACTTCTGGTCATCCGTGGAAACTTCACAGCTGCTGCTTACCGCGACCAGGTGCTCACCCCTGAACTCGTTCCTTTCATGGCGGCTCATTGCCCAGGTCTACAGTTCCAGCATGATAATGCTCGGCCGCATACCGCGATGTTGACACGAAATTTCCTTCAAAACGCTGGAATCATCGAGGTCCCCTAACCTTAATCCAATAGAGCACGTTTGGGATGCACTTGGGAGAAGGCTTCGTGGTCTTAGGAACCGACCTCAGAATATGCAGGAACTTGGCGCTGCCTTGCAAGAGCAATGGCGCAGAATCCCCAACCACGTGTTCACAAGCATCAGGCAGTCGATGAGGAGACGGTGTTTGGCAGTGGTGAATGCGCGGGGCGGCCATACACGATATTGAACTGAGAACTTTCGCATTTTTATTCTTGTGACTTGACATTCTGTATACCCATGTTTTGGTACGGCGGTGTAGCCTAATTGAACTGATTATGGCACTGTCAGTGTATCGAGTACATCACACAGATCTCAGCAATGAAATAATAACAATTCAACCATCTTACCATCTCTTGTTCTTTTATAGTGCCCTGAAGAAAGAATGTGAAGTTTCTTTTTTGACTCAGTATATTTATTTATCTATATGATTTTGTATTGGCATGTAATGTGAGCGTGAAAGATGTATGTAAATGAGTGGCAATTAAATAAATATTATTTATTTGTTTTCTGTTGGGCGAATCCATTAAGCAGATGCAGGTTACAGCATGTAGTTAATCGGTGCACTGGACCATAACATGTGTTGTTTAAAGGCGTAATTTCTTATGGGATGGAGTTCTTATGCGAGGACACCATCGATACGACTATAGCTGTTGAATGTTGAATGTGCAACTAAACTCCACAGGAGAAGGAAGTGAATTGTTGTGTTAAAGCTGACACAAACCTAATTAACAAAACCAATTACAATAAACTGAGCCGGGCAAAAGAAACTATATGTTTATATTTGATTTTCAGTTGAAAGTACGTAAGTTAGGAACACTGGATATCTAACACAGGAACTGTACCAGCCTTTAGTCAACACTTCTCCATTTTCAAAATATCATTTGATTTGATTTTTTAAAACAGATTACGCTTTACAAACTCTTGCAAGAATGAGTGGTGGTAAAATAGACAAAACAAGTTCATATTCAATTACATAAAGAAGGTCGGTAGACTTCCCTCATTAACTCGAGAGCTTAACAATTTACAAAATTACAACTTTTAAATGATTGCTTCTAGAAAGTTTTAACAAAAAGTCATTTTGACGATCATTACAACATGTAGCCACACAAATGGAAGCAGAAAGAAGATCGGATGAATTACGTGGTGTTATGAACAAATATAATGCATTTATATGTTCATTGAAGGTATTCAAATCCTCCCAAGTTTATGGTACTCGACATCTCGAGCATCCTGCTTTCAGTTCGGAAGGCAACTAAAAGCATCACAGTGTGACTGACACAAACGTCACGTTAACAAACAGCTGACACGGTCACATGCAGTTGTAACATTGCTTCAAAAGACATACTCACAGATCACCTATTGAAGCAACAAACAGCGCGTTGTATAAGAGGCTACTTAAGTTTGCAGTTGGTGTTCAAGATATCTGGACTCACATAATTGACTCAAAGGTAAAACCACGTTATGCATCCTTTGGATGTGCATTATTTATCCGAGGACTCGCCTTGACATAGCAGAATTACTGCAGCGACTCACTCACCATTAAGGACAGGTGCAATTATAATATCAGGGGTTAAGATATCAAATACGGACATAGTGAGACATTTGATTAATGGGTGAATCAGTCAAAAACGATGTCGAGTTGTAAGTCGGTTTTCGATCTCGGAAAGTATTTACATTGGTGTTATCTTCCACTCACTTATAGCAAACCACCACAAACCACAACACGCAAGAGATATTGTCAACGATAGTACGAAAAATACTCCATCCAAAGCTCTCTCAAGTGAGAAAGACCTACCACACCCCCTGAATCGCCTTCCATGTTTAACCTCAACCAATTCAACACCCTTCGTCTTGTGCTTTGCAGCCGTTTCTTCAGCCTTCTCCTTCCGGTGATGCACGCCGAGGACCACGATGGATGCGAGGATGGTGAGGAAGCCCTGCACCTCCAGTATAACCAGGAACAGGGCCAGCAAGGAGACGGTGTCGGAGGTGGGGGGCATGGTTTGTTGAATGAGGTTGAGGAACACAGCGTGAGAGACAAACACAGCCATGAGGAAGCCGAGCTTCTCCCCCGACCTGGCGGGAATGAGGAACACACATGGGTTCAGGAGGGACATGAGCACCATGGGGAAGATGATGTTGATCAAGTAGTAGGTCGGCCTTCTTTCTAATGTTATTATGAACTGTGCTGCATTCATGCCCCCAGGCTCCACCGCTACTAGCTGGGAATTCGTGTGTAGGTAATTCCACTCCCCATTCTGAACAGTCAGGTTTTTCACACTTTGTAAATTTATTGCGTCTATCGCAAAATTGATTTTGTATCCGAATGTGGGCATGATGGTGACGTGACAGCTTTGTTTATCAAAAGGGTATCTAAACACGTCTATTTTACACGATGTCCGGAAGGTGCCGGGGAGCTGCCACGACATGAACCCTTGCCATGAAACAAAAACATTTCTGCTGGCGACTGGCTCCTGACTATCTATGCTGTTTGATAATATTATACCGGGGGTCCACACATTGTCAGGCTCTACTTCAATGAAGTCATTATCATAGTACTGGGAAGTGTTCCAAGCGAGGTCCATATCCCTCCAGCGTAGTTCAAAGAAGGCGAGTACGGTCAGTACCTGGCTTGCCGAATCCAGATCAATGATGGCGACCGGCTCAAACGTTACCTCCACATCAACCGTGGAGCTATTGTCAACGAAGGGAGGAATAGTTTTGTTCGTTCGGCCAAACAGGCCATCATGTAGCGACACCAGCGCTGCTCGTTTTGCTGAATGTCCCCAAACAACACAGCACAGTGCGACACAACACAAGACGACACATCGGGCACACATGGTAGTCTCGTTCCTCAGGATGACGTATAGGTCACTGCAGGTCAGATATGACTTAAAGATCCGCCACTGTACTTAACACTCTTATTTATTGTAGTCACTGTATAGAAGATGTGACTATTGTATTGCCAGCGTACTACAGATGATATCGTTATAGTGAGTATGTCAGTCTCTGTACGCCAGATGTGATTATTCTATTGCCACCGTACTCCAGATGGTATCGTTATAGCGAGTTTGCCAGTCACTGTACGCCAGATGTGATTATTCTATTGCCACCGTACTCCAGATGATATCGTTATAGTGAGTATGTTAGTCACTGTACGCCAGATGTGACTATTCTATTGCCACCGTACTCCAGATGATATCGTTATAGTGATTTTGCCAGTCACTGTACGCCTTGATTACGTTATGGTGTCTGTAGCATTCTTTACTTTGCGATGTGATTCTGATGTTGGATGTCATAGGATCACATACTCCTGTTGTGTTAAACACTGTACTTTGCTTGCACTTCGGACGACACTGCCCCGTATGTCGCTGAACGTCAGATCAAACTACATCACATGTGACCCTGACGTTGCCGCAACGTTTAACTCCATCACTGCACAAAGCCGGGTAAGTATGTAATTTTGATGTTTGATGACATTACATTACAACACATAGTCGTCACTCCTTTGGTTTCACCCAGGGTCTCTAGTGCGATGGGTAGGCAGCTTGGCTTGACCTGGTAATTCCACAATTACCTTCATCGGATTCACTTCCAACCTTCATCAGCTCCTGGCACAAATGTCCATCAAGTTTCCTTTTGAAGCAACTTTCTTATCAGAACAACCAGTCCAATATGACTGATAGTCCCATAAACAGCTAGTATTCATGTAAGAGCTAGTATTTACATCTCCATTATCCCATTGTGGAGCACGTGCTGCTAATCATTCAAACCGTCATGCAGTTGTCTGTCTCTGTTAGCATATGGTGTGAGATTAGGAAAGGGATATGGATACGTAAGCTGGATGGAATTACCCAGCGCAGTGACTTCCGGCCCTCGGGGAATGTGATCTATTACATGATATGTCGATATTTTACGTTTAATGGACGCGTGGTATACTGCCCTCAGTTAAAATTATTTCTGTCGTCGTTCGAGGGGTGTGTATATACATCCCCATTAGCCACTATCCCCCCTGGTGTTTGCTTATACTGGAAACACTTCCATCGGGAACGAACTCAGCTTTAACAAACAAAGAGTTAATCAATGCTCATTTACCTTAAACCGGCCCATTAGGCCAAATTATTTTTATTATTGCTTTGTTAGTTTTTAGGAATGAAAGCTTCGATAGGTCGATGGAAGCATGTGGATAAATGCATCTAGCTGAAGTAACATTTGTTTCGTGTTTTGGATGGTAGATGACGTATAAGATATTTGTTCCTAGTAATAGTTGTCTGAAAAAAATAACACATTACAACCGGTAAGGAAGAATGACACTCAATGTTATTGGCCAGAGAGGAAAGATGGGTATGTTCGTGTTGGACCTTTTGGGGTTACCAGTGCCTATTACTGTCACCATTTGCCAAACATCCATTCACCCGTTGGTGTATACTTCCGTTGCACGAGATATTTGTTCAAGGCACAAAGAATGGAATCAGACGTGACAACGGAACTGGTGTAAGTCAAGTGAGTTTCAACACGCAACACCATTCAGGATTTACTAAATACTCGGTACTATTAACACTTTTGGAAATTCAGTTGTTGAAGTGCAGAAGGTTGTTCTGTGGTGAAAGTAGGCGTTTGAGGTGGATGGTTTGTGGTATGGTAATAGCAAACGCAGACACAATCAGGACGAACCGGCGTTCGAAGCCACCATGATAGGTTTCCCCAGACGACGGGGCAACCCGTGCCCACCTCAGCAATTCGCTGACAATGACGTCACGATTACAGTAATCGTTCTGAGAGTCCTGCACAGCAACCAGATTCTATGTTAGGCTGACAATACAACCAACAGCACGGCATTTGGGGAGAAACGTTTACTCTTTGCACAACAAACACGGCGACAAAAAAAACAACGTTATAATCAGTACCAACTAACGTAATACCTGTTTTCGCTATGCATTTGACATGCGGAATTAGATCAAGGTTGTGCCTTCAGCACATTTATAGCTTAATAATCACAAAATATACACAATATACAACTATATATAGTGAAGAGTTTTGGCTCACATTGCAAATGTTCAAAAGCATAAATCTATCTCACTGTTGCCTTTGATTTCCAGATTTATCTACATTAAGTTATTCATTATGCACCGATAAAACAATAAAATACACATATCAGAGATACCCGTCAAACAGCTTCACAATATTAATGGCTGTGGGTAAAGTACATTATCGAGGTGACTACAGCTGTTGCACAATGTTGAATGTGCAACTAAAATCCAAAGGAGAAGGAAGAGAATGGTTATGTTAACGCTGACACAAACCTAATGAACAATAAATAATTACAATAAACTGAGTTGATAATTCAAGTTTGATTTTTCAATTGAAATTACCTAAAGTTAGAAACATTGAATATCTAACACAGAAACTGTACCAGCCATTTCGTGGTACACGGAGAATACTTCTCCATTTACAAAATATCATTTGATTTAATCTTTTAGAACAGATTACGCTCTACAAACTCTTGCAAGAATGAGTAATGGTAAAATAGACACAAACCAAGTTATTATTCAGGTTCATAAACAAGGTCGGTAGACTTCCCTCATTAACTCGAGAGCTTAACGATTTTCAGAAATTACAACTTTTAAATGATTGCTTTAAGAGACGATATAAACAAACAATCATTTTGACGAGCATTACAACATGTAGCCACACAAATGGAAGCAGAAAGAAGATCGGATGAATTACGTGGTGTTATGAACAAATATAATACATTTATATGTTCATTGAATGTATTCAAATCCTGCCAAGCTTATATTACTCGACAACTCCAGCATCCTGCTTTCAGTTCGGAAAGCAGCTAAAAGCATCACAAGGTGACTGACACAAACGTCACGTTAACAAACAGTTGACACGGATAACATTGCTTCTAAAGAAATACTCACAGATCACCTATTGAAACAACGAACAGAACGCTGTATAACAGGCTACTTAAGTTGCAGTTCAAGATAACTGGACTAACATAATTGACTCAAAGGTAAAACCACGTTATGCATCCTTTGGATGTTCATTATATATCTGAGGACTCGCCTTTACATAGCAGACTTACTGCACCGACTCACTTACCATTAAGGACAGGTGCAAACATACTCACATTGTTATTCTTGTAACATTGTGCAAACCCACGTTAAAATAAATGAAGATCTATTCTTGATATTTTATACCTCTTGTGACGTCATCCATCCTGTGTGTATTTAAAACATAGGTTAACATATCAAATACATATACAGTGAGACATTTGATTAATGTGTGAATCAGTTCAAAACGATGTCGAGTTGTAAGTCGGTTTTCGATCTCGAAAAGTATTTACATTGGTGTTGTCTTCACCCACTTATAGCAAACCACCATAAACCACAACAACTAAGAGACATTGTCAACGACAGTACGAAAAATACTCCATCCAAAGCTCTCTCATGTGAGAAAGACCTACCACACCCCCTGAATCGCCTTCCATGTTTCACCTCAACCAATTCAACCCCCTTCGTCTTGTGCTTTGCAGCCGTTTCTTCAGCCTTCTCCTTCCGGTGATGCACGCCGAGGACCACGATGGATGCGAGGATGGTGAGGAAGCCCTGCACCTCCAGTAAAGCCAAGAACAGGGCCAGCAAGGAGACGGAGTCGGAGGTGGGGGGCATGGTTTGTTGAATGAGGTTGAGGAACACAGCGTGAGAGACAAACACAGCCATGAGGAAGCCGAGCTTCTCCCCCGACCTGGCGGGAATGAGGAACACACATGGGTTCAGGAGGGACATGAGCACCATGGGGAAGATGATGTTGATGAGGTAGTAGGTCGGCCTTCTTTCTAATGTTATTATGAACTGTGCTGCATTCACGCCCCCAGGCTCCACCGCTACTAGCTGGGAATTCGTGTGTAGGTAATTCCACTCCCCATTCTGAACGGTCAGGTCTTTCACACTTTGTAACTTTATTGCATCTATCGTAAAATTGATTTTATATCCGAATGTGGGCATGATGGTGACGTGACAGCTTTGTTTATCAAAAGGGTATCTAAACACGTCTATTTTACACGATGTCCGGAAGGTGCCGGGGAGCTGCCACGACATGAACCCTTGCCATGAAACAAAAACATTTCTACTGGCGACTGGCTCCTGACTATCTATGCTGTTTGATAATATTATACCGGGGGTCCACACATTGTCAGGCTCTACTTCAATGCGGTCATTATCATAGTACTGGGAAGTGTTCCAAGCGAGGTCCATATCCTTCCAGCGTAGTTCAAAAAAGGCAAGTACGGTCAGTACCTGGCTTGCCGAATCCAGATCAATGATGGCGACCGGCTCAAACGTTACCTCCACATCAACCGTGGAGCTATTGTCAAAGAAGGGAGGAATAGTTTTGTTCGTTCGGCCAAACAAGGCATCATGTAGCGACACCAGCGCTGCTCGTTTTTCTGAATGTCCCCAAACAACACAGCACAGTGCGACACAACACAAGACGACACATCGGGCACACATGGTAGTCTTGTTCCTCAGGATGACGTACACGTCACTGCAGGTCAGATATGACTTAAAGATACGCCACTAAACTAAACACTGTTATTTATTGTAGTAACTCTATAGCAGATGTGTCTTTTTTATGGCCTCCGTACTCCAGACGATATCGTTATAGTGAGTATGTTAGTCACTGTACGCCAGATGTGACTATTCTAATGCCCTCCGTACTCCAGATGATATCGTTATAGGGAGTATTTTAGTCACTGTACGCCAGATGTGACTATTCTAATGCCTCCGTACTCCAGATGATATCGTTATAGTGAGTATGTTAGTCACTGTACGCCAGATGTAATTATTCTATTGCCTCCGTACTCCAGATGATATCGTTATAGTGAGTATGTTAGTCACTGTACGCCAGATGTGACTATTCTAATGCCTCCGTACTCCAGATGATATCGTTATAGTGAGTATGTTAGTCACTGTACGCCAGATGTGATTATTCTATTGCCTCCGTACTCCAGATGATATCGTTATAGTGCGTATGTTAGTCACTGTACGCCAGATGTGACTATTCTAATGCCTCCGTACTACAGATGATATCGTTATAGTGAGTATGTTAGTCACTGTACGCCAGATGTGATTATTCTATTGCCTCCGTACTCCAGATGGTATCGTTATAGTGAGTATGTTAGTCACTGTACGCCAGATGTGACTATTCTAATGCCTCCGTACTCCAGATGGTATCGTTATAGTGAGTATAATAGTAATAGTCACTGTACGCCAGATGTGACTATTCTATTGCCACCGTACTCCAGATGATATCGTTATAGTGAGTATGTTAGTCACTGTACGCCAGATGTGACTATTCTAATGCCTCCGTACTACAGATGATATCGTTATAGTGAGTATGTTAGTCACTGTACGCCAGATGTGATTATTCTATTGCCTCCGTACTCCAGATGATATCGTTATAGTGCGTATGTTAGTCACTGTACGCCAGATGTGACTATTCTAATGCCTCCGTACTCCAGATGATATCGTTATAGTGAGTATGTTAGTCACTGTACGCCAGATGTGACTATTCTAATGCCTCCGTACTCCAGATGGTATCGTTATAGTGAGTATAATAGTCACTGTACGCCAGATGTGACTATTCTATTGCCACCGTACTCCAGATGATATCGTTAAAATGAGTATGTTAGTCACTGTACGCCAGATGTGACTATTCTATTGCCTCCGTACTCCAGATGATATCGTTATAGTGAGTATGTTAGTCACTGTACGCCAGATGTGACTATTCTAATGCCTCCGTACTCCAGATGATATCGTTATAGTGAGTATGTTAGTCACTGTACGCCAGATGTGATTATTCTATTGCCTCCGTACTCCAGATGATATCGTTATAGTGAGTATGTTAGTCACTGTACGCCAGATGTGACTATTCTAATGCCTCCGTACTCCAGATGATATCGTTATAGTGAGTATGTTAGTCACTGTACGCCAGATGTGACTATTCTAATGCCTCCGTACTCCAGATGGTATCGTTATAGTGAGTATAATAGTCACTGTACGCCAGATGTGACTATTCTATTGCCACCGTACTCCAGATGATATCGTTTTAGTGAGTATGTTAGTCACTGTACGCCAGATGTGACTATTCTAATGCCTCCGTACTACAGATGATATCGTTTTAGTGAGTATGTTAGTCACTGTACGCCAGATGTGACTATTCTATTGCCTCCGTACTCCAGATGATATCGATATAGTGAGTATGTTAGTCACTGTACGCCAGATGTGACTATTCTATTGCCACCGTACTCCAGATGATATCGTTATAGTGAGTATGTTAGTCACTGTACGCCAGATGTGACTATTCTATTGCCTCCGTACTCCAGATGATATCGTTATAGTGAGTATGTTAGTCACTGTACGCCAGATGTGACTATTCTAATGCCTCCGTACTCCAGATGATATCGTTTTAGTGAGTATGTTAGTCACTGTACGCCAGATGTGACTATTCTATTGCCTCCGTACTCCTGATGATATCGTTTTAGTGAGTATGTTAGTCACTGTACGCCAGATGTGACTATTCTAATGCCTCCGTACTCCTGGTCCTTGTACAAATTACCTTCATCGGATTCACTTCCAATCTTCATCAGCTCCTGGCGCAAATGTACATATCCAGCAAGTTTCCTTACGAAGCAACGTTCTTATCAGAACAACTAGTCCAGAATGACTGGCAGTCCAATAAACAGCTAGTATTCATGTAAGAGCTAGTATTTACTTCTCCATTAGTCCATTGTGGAGCACGTGCTGTTAATCATTCAAACCGTCATGCAGTTGTCTGTCTTTGTTGGCATATGGTGGGTGTTGTTTGTCAGGGTCTAGAATAGGAATGTTGATACGTAGGCTGGATTGAATTACCTAGCACAAAACAGCACAGTAAGTTCCGGCCTTTGGGGAATGTGATCTATTACGGTATTTTACGCTTGATGGAAGCATTGTATACTGCCTTAAGTTACAATTATTTCTGTCAACGTTCTAGGGAGTGTATATATATCCCCATTATCCGCTATGCCTCAGGTGTTTGCTGAGATTGGAAACACTTCCATCGGGAACGAACACAGCTATAACAAACAAAGGGTTAATTGATGCTTATTTACCTTAATCTGGCCCATTAGGACAAATTATATTCATTATTGCTTTGTTAGTTTTACGTACCAAAGCTTTTGACAAGTCGATGGATGCATGCGAATATATGCATCTAGCTGAAGTCATATTTGTTTCGTGTTTTGGATGCTAGATAACGTATAAGATATTAGTTCCCAGTAATAGTTGTCTGAAAATAATAAATGTACAAATGTATTTCTAACACATACCGGTAAGGAAGAATGACACTACATGCGATTCTCCAGAGAGGAAAGAGAATGTTCGAGTTGGACTTTCTGGGTTGCCCATTACCGTCACGATTTGCCAAACATCCATTCACTCATATACCCCCTGTTAGTCTCCCAATGTCGAGATACGTGAAAGTGTCCCCTCCTCTTGCGTCAGTTGGGTCGGCGGCCTATTACGCACAAGTCTCCCTATCATGTCTTAGACATTTGCAGTAGAACAAAGGTCTTGGCACATAGCTGGCCATTGCATTCTATGGATGTGGTTTGTGAGCACTGACGTTTCGTGCACAGTGATCACGGTCGTTGTAAACCTGGAAGATAAAACGTTGACCCATACGCCTTGCAAATGGGTCAGAAAAGGATGTCACTGCGTTTGTCTCAACACGCTCAGTAATACTGATACCACAGAAATATTATGTAAAAGTTTGAAAATTGAATGGTATAATGGAGAGTTTGATGTTCTGGGAATCAAATTTACCCCAAACCTTGCTGATCTATGGGTGATTAATACAAGAAAAAGACTGGAAGAAATAAAAAGATTATTAGCAGTATGGAGAAAAAGACATTTGACATTGATAGGAAAAATTGCTGTCATAAAAACATTAGCCCTTTCAAAATTAGTACATATTTTCAGTTAATTGCCCAATCCTCCAGACGACTTTATTAAATCCCTCTAAAAGATATTTTTCAAATTTATTTGGAATGATAAAAATGATAAAATAAGAAGAACCACAATGAAAAGATTAAAGACTGAAGGGGGACTGGGTATGGTAGATATAAAAATATTTATTGAAGCTCTAAAATTATCCACTCTTAGGCTCTACTGTAAAAAATCATCCGACAATAATCCTTGTAATATACCTTATAATGATATCTTCAAGTATGGAGCAAATATTGACAAAATACTCAACATTGAAAACACTTATTGGAAAGATGTTTTAAAAGCATGGAACAATTATTGCAAAAAGTTCAATGCTGATTCTGACAATATTGATTACATTCTTGCAGAACCATTATGGCTCAATCATAATTATAAAAACCCTTGCCATGTTATTATTCACTGGGCGGATAAGGGCTTATTGACAGTAAAGGATTTATGTGATGAACATGGATTTATGCCATTTGATAAGATAAAGATAAAATACAAAATAAGAGGGACACTATTAGACTATAACTATCTACTTCACATCTTACCTGATATTTGGAAAAATGTTATTAAAAAGGGCAAGAATCATTCCTTCCTACAATTTATACATCAATGTTTACCAAAGAAATATGTTAAAGCTCTCCAAAGGTTCAAGAATAGTTTATGACAAGCTGATTTCTAAAAATGATAAACTTGAAATTTGTACTAAATGGGAAATTATATTCCATGATTGTGAGTTTGATTGGTAGAATTTGTTTAACTTTTATAGACATGGATTGAAAGACGTTAAACTTCTTGATTTTCAATACAGATTTTTGCAAAGAGTTATTTATACTAAAAGAATGATCGAGAATGAACCTGATTGACAATGATTTGTGTAGTTTTTGCAATGATGTTTCTGAGAGCATTTGTCATGTTTATTGGGAATGCTGTGAAAGCATGAAATTCTGGAATGATCTAGAACTCTGGATTAATAACTATTTACCACGAAAAATAAACATCACAAAATATTTGATTTGGTTTGGTACATTGCATAATGATGTATTACTAAATCAAATCATTATCTCTGCCCAAAAACATATCAATTTATGTAATATAAAAAATCAATTCCAAAATTCAGTAATTATAAAAAGGTATTAAAAGAGATATTTTCTGTAGAAAAATTATTTCAAATAGAAACAATGAAATCGAGAAATTCAATCTTAAATGGAATTTGCTCATCCCAATATTCAGCAACTAATTATTATTATATCTCTACAGCAATGTATCTTCACCTTTTCTGTGCTTGTTGCTACCATATACCCTTGTTATTGACTTTGTAACCATGGGAACAAATACAAAAAAAAAAAAAAAAAATAAATACTGATACCACACCATACGCGATCCACAGCCATATCCACAGGGTTCGAATCACTGTGTGGACAATAATTTTTAAAAAATAATCTAGATTGTTTAAATATAATTATATATTATTTTAATATGTTATGGCTAACATATATTCCAAATTTGAACGAAATCGGTGAAGATATAAAGATTTAAGGAAATTCTACCGCTACACTATTATATAAATTACACGAAGGGTGACACTTCCGATGCTAAAAACCTGATCGAAAACCGGACAGCCCGACCATTTTAAACCTTACTTTTTTCACCCAAAAAATTGTGCTGAGTTTGTAGGTCATTCTTTTACCTTCCTGCTCATCGCATTCAATTTGTCTCACTGCATTTCATATTTGACCACAGACCATCGCATTAGCACTACCTTCTGCTTTGAACAAACGTTTGTCCTCTCTTCGGTAAATATCGACAGTTTCCGTAAATCTCTGAATGACTCGGAAACAGAAAACGGCGCTCATTGGTCAATTTCCACCTGTACGATTATTGCGTGAAATCTGAAAATTGAGTTTCCCGCCTCCTTGAAAATTGATTTGAAATATATATTAATCATAACGTATGAAAACAATATATGATTGCTAAAGTCTAGATTTGTATTTTTAAAATTATTGTCCAAACAGTGATTCGAACCCCTGTGGCCAAATCTTCAAAATGACGACCACGCCTGCCAAGGAGTGAAAGGTGAGTCTGGGCTCTTCTCATAACACTCTCCGCAACAGGAAACACGCTAGTGTTGGCACTACCGAAGTTGGCAGCAGTTGGACTCGCCGTTTAAGTTCGCTTTTTGTAGAGCCTGGTTTCAGTCCAATCGACACTGTACCCTTTGACCTGGGAAGCCCTGAACTGATCATCTACAAGTTGGGTTTGTTAGTAACTTGGGTCTGTTAATCACAGACTTCTGCCACTTTCCACCATGAATAATGAGCAGAATCAATACGTTGGACAGAAATAAAGGTCCAGAGACTTTAATCGACCTTCCTTGAAACTGTCAATTCAGGAAGGCTCTTTTTGTGCAGGTACCTCACCTCAGATCGTTTCTTAGTTTTCTCCATGGTTGAAGTTTCTCACACTGTCAAATTCCCCAATGGACGTCTTGTAACGGATTCAGTTATCAGTCTCTAACTTGGCGATAGGTTTCCCATTAAATATTTGGAAATGTTCCAAGACCCCAGCAGGAACATACCGTCCCATTATCAGCATGTTAATGTTGTCCCGCTCACTCGCTTACTGACAAGACCTACTGGGATAATCAGAGCACATAGCTATGGCTGTGTTTAGGATTAGGTTAAAACACCAGAATAATACCATCTCATTGTATCGGAAAGGAATAGACATACCCGACACACACAAATTGTTTACCTATACCTGGAATATCTAGTACTTAGGTTGGCAAAATGACATCACGGGATCATTGCCAAGAATAATATAAAAGGAATTTTAGGTGTATGGATGATATTATTAAGTAAGTGTCTGCTAACCATTTCTCTTTAACTGAGTACCCACCTGAACTGTTGGGCCACCTGGTCTGGTTCATACTTTAATCTCTACCTATCTGATAAAAATACACAGCGAAGGCACTACATGACCAGAGGGATAGAGATGCTGTGCTCTACTTTCACTTTTCGCTGAAGCTCTCGAAAAGTCTGTTGGTAGACACACGGCGGGACATTTGACAATGTGACATCAGATACAACAACACCCTGATGATTAGGATGACTTGCCAGAGCGTGCGTTTGTTGACGGGATACTCTAACTATTTCACAAAACCTGGTATAAGCACGATTTGAACATGGTTCAAAATCATAAGTTCACGATATGGTTGCATGACGGACACTGCCAATACCAGATGCTCTTGATGATTATGAAGTTTTGACGCTTCTGTTATTTAAAGTCTTAGCTGGGTGAATATTCTACTTCCGTGTCATTTACTTCTCTCAGCTTGGTTTGACTTACTGAATGCTACATTGGGGAAAAGGTAAATGATCATTAATTCAGCAGGGTTAGTTGTTTAACCAATCATTCCATCGTAGCTATTTCAGCAACTGTTCTGTTCGATGACATTCTCACGCAAACAGCAAAACTGTAATTGTAGGTGAATCCCAACACAATACTAAGACAAATACCACTTCGACTGTCATTCGTAAAATCATGAAAGAAATAATGGCATACAATACATGTTTTATACACAATACAGAACTTAGGAAGCAACTAGGAACACACATAAAAAACACGTCCGAACATGTATCACATATTGAATTTAAGAATATTGACAAAACATGATCAATGCAAAACACTGAAATATACAAAATGCGAATGGTTTATGTGCACGGTGTAATAGTAAATTCAAGACATTTAATTACGAGATATGACGAAATGAGAAACCCATTGTGATAATACACATATTAAGTAATTCATTAAATACTATTGAATATGGCCATGCAACGTGTCCGGTCAGAGATAAGATATCTGGTCTACTCGAGTAATTTCATATATAACTGAAAAGTTCAATTACTTAGATATTCCCTCAAAGTGATCGTATTTTAATACAAATTCCCTGGAGTGAACAACATGATTATATTCTACATCATGAACAGTACGAGTAAACATGTCAGACTTACATTTCTTCAACTCGATGAATTTAAGGAAACCAATTCTCTGAACTGAACATTTCCTTCAAGCTCAAATACAGTGCCACCAGTGCCAGTAGAGCGCAACCTAACATATAACCATTGTTTGATCGGCATTCTAGAAGTTGGTGAGTCAATAATGAAGCATATGGCTTTATGATAATACGACGTTCATAAAGCAAGCAAACCTGATATCGGTTTCAGAATTCACACCGAAACGTCGCTCTATGCAATAAACAAGATGTTGCTATCCATAAAATCGTATGCTTCATTATTAACATAACCGAGTACGTTCCAAGGGTTGTTACAACTGGACAGCTGCAAGTAAAGAACGGCACTACACCAAGGAATGGTCAGACATTACACACAATCCCAGGAATTGTACGTGAAGAACGTAACATTACCATGCGGCTCATCTTACGTCATGTTAACGCGTGTACCCTTCTGACAAACGGGACGTCATGGTGCAGGCAGGTACCGAGTGGGGCATGTGCCTTGAGAATAGTCTGAGTCCTGGAATATCTAGATATCAATGTTCGATACTACCAAGCACCAGGTAAATTATAGCGGTCAGATCAAATTTCAAGAACATGTCCCGTATCTTTGTGAGTCGATTGAGCAAATCATGCAGTTAGTCGTATGTACTGAGCAAAGGTCGCAGACACGCGTGAATGTGTTAGCATGCATTACAATTTTGTTTCAGCAACGGGAGTTTGAGACTCTTGTGTTTGTGTTTCACTGGTTGTCCTTCAAATTAAATCAGTGATATGATCTGTATTGTACCCATTTCATGCAGTAATTACAATCTATTTTTGTCAACGACGTAATGAGCAAAGTTTTGTGCTGTCCTTAACGAATATTGTATGTAACCAGTTAGAATCAATATCACACAATCCTACGTGCTAATGTGTCATGATTGCAACTAACGTATGTCATGTGACAGGTACTGTTTGCGGCATGGCATACGTGGCCACGGTATTGTTTGTCGTCTAGTTGGTATCATCACATCATCACACACGTCTCTGGTGTTCTCCCTTTGGCACATAACGTTGGCTGTCCCTCCGTGACGAACTGTGTGACATCAGCGAATGTTGTGTAGTGGGGGCCTTCTGACGTTCGCCATCTCTTGGTCTGAATGGCCCTTTTGTCCTCGCCGGCTGTGAGGGACAGGAACATTATGGCAGCATGAAAGTAATACAAGGGCAATCGATGTGTCATGAAACAGGATTTTCTCTTCGTCTACATTCCACTTTACTATCAAGACTACCTTAAGATGGATCGTTGTCAAAGATGACGAAGATAAACGTATCATATATAGTTTCCTGCCCTTTTAGTCCGCCTGTAAATTCTGTTCATCACAAACTCAGTATACCTCAATACAAACCCAGTTCAAGCCAAATAGTTTCATAATACAAACTCACTTCAAGCCAAATAGTTTCATAATACAAACTCACTTCAAGCCAAATAGTTTCAAAATACAAACTCACTTCAAGCCAAACTTCAGCACATCCCATTTCAGCACAAACACATTTCAAAACAATCAGTAACTCAAAGATACTTCAACACAACTCAGAACATCCTGGCAATAGCTCGACAATTTCCCCTTTTAGTGAGATGTTGTTGACCTGTTCTGTCCCGGCCACCCCATTAGGGAGGGACAACGCTACAACTCACCACTTCCACCAAAGCGCAACACCGACACCAACGACGGTCAACAGGGGGAGTAGCACCGCCAGTGCTATCCCCCATGGTTGTATTGTGGACTGACTGGGACTGGTTGCTGGAACAAAAACAAAAACATTTCCAGAGATTGGCGGAGAATATTTTGTTGCAGACAAGCTATCCCATTTTTGCAATGTCTGAGATTTTACAACTGCCGAAAACCTGAAGAAAGTATTCACTTAAAATGTAATTCAACTTAAACTGTACAGGCGTCGAAACAGTGCAAATTTTCAATTTCAATAACAATGTATGAAATCCCATCAAACAATTATTTCTGTTTTTTCCCCCATCTATGGCCACTTTCACGCATGATGTCTAGACCCTCTTTGGTATGGATAAAATGTTTCAGAGGAACAACACATTTACAAAAAAAAGTATACATCTCGACCATGGGATGATTTTTCGACAAAGAAACGTAATTAATTTAAAAAGTGTTTTGATTGTAACTAAGTCACAAACATTGCGTTTGTGTTGACAAAACACCACTATATCCTTTACGGTGATGTGCGTGGGATAAAATGAAAATCATGCTTTAGTTGAATCAAAATACTGACTTTGGTTTCATACTTTTTTTTTAAATAATGAACATGATGGTTACCTGTCATGCATAAATCCCCTGTCCATCCAGGAGCGCAGTTGCTGTTGTTACAGCGCCCAGTTTCAATGTCGCAATGCTGGTCCAGACACTGGTCACACGGGTGCCTACAGTGGATACCATTAGTCCCAAACGGACACCCTGAAACGACGCTGAAGTGTTAGATGTTCACCACTGGTGCGTATATCCCAGTCATTTGTCCAGTCACTCTGTCGTCTGGTCAGTCACTCTGTCGTCTGGTCAGTCTCTCTGTCGTCTGGTCGGTCACTCTGTCGTCTGGTCAGTCACTATGTCGTCTGGTCAGTCACTCTGTCGTCTGGTCTGTCACTCTGTCGTCTGGTCTGTCACTATGTCGTCTGGTCAGTCACTATGTCGTCTGGTCAGTCACTCTGTCGTCTGGTCTGTCACTATGTCGTCTGGTCTGTCACTCTGTCGTCTGGTCTGTCACTCTGTCGTCTGGTCAGTCACTCTGTCGTCTGGTCTGTCACTCTGTCGTCTGGTCTGTCACTCTGTCGTCTGGTCAGTCACTCTGTCGTCTGGTCAGTCACTATGTCGTCTGGTCTGTCACTCTGTCGTCTGGTCTGTCACTCTCTCGTCTGGTCTGTCACTCTATCGTCTGGTCAGTCCCTCTGTCGTCGTGTGGTCATGTCGTCTTTTCTGTCACTATGGTCTGTCAGTCACTATGTCGTAAGGTCAGTCACTATGCCGTCTGCTTCCAGGTTTGTCTGTCCATGGGTGTCGTCGCCTACTTTACCTGTCGTCTAATTCCAAATGTGTCTTTGTCGACCACGTGTGGTTATGTCGTATTTTCTGTCTGTGGCTGTCTATATCTTCTGCTCACCACCTTGTCTTTAGGCGGTGATACTCTCTCTCTCTCTCTCTCTCTCTCTCTCTCTCTCTCTATCTCTCTCTCTCTCTCTCTCTCTCTCTCTCATCTCAGTTTCTATTCATCAGGTGAAGTGTAAAACCGCTTTATCCCGAAAATGTGTCACGAAAATAGACCAATTACGTAATTATATTTTGAGTCGACTTGTTCCTGAGATCCGCGAACGCAAACTATTCGCTGCTATGTCCAACACTAAGCAATGGTGAATAACATATTTAACCATAACTCAAGTTCGTTCTACAGACCCGTGCCAAAAGTGGTCGTCACTTCCAGTTGAGGACGTCATTTTACATAACGGGTTAAACTGCGACGTCAACAAGGACGGTAATTTGCTTTACTTTATTGGTCAGATGACCCTTCATTTTCACCGCTGCTCGCACAGGATCCGGTTTATAGTGCCTGAATATATCACACGGTCAAGTTGACCACTAAGTCTCTGATCGTTTCAAACAAGTCCTCTTTTGCCCTAATGTCGGGTTTGGATCGCTTTTTTTCATTTTCTACCAAATATTATCTAAGGCGTTTTAATCTGGTGACTTTCTCCAATTATACGCAGGGTCGGTTCTGCATATTACAATATGGTCGTAAAATTCAAAAATGAGTTATCTTCCACAGCCCTAATCCTTCCCTTACACCACACCACTCGTTTCTTACGATCTGTTTCTTGCACGACCGTATTTTTAACAATTCCTGTAAAACCCTACATTTTGAAAAGTTCACTGCATAGTCGTCCGAGACATAGGATGGTTCATATTCTCTTTAATTTTGGTGGTAATGTCCGTTAAAGTTTACTTACAATAATTTTTCAGCATTGAAAAGGCGAGGTATTGTCCCTGTTTGACAAAGATAAACACCGTCCTTTTCGAGGCCACTTTGCACACTTCCAGACACACGGAATTTTTCAAAAACACTGTGATGAATGGTCCTAGGAATCCCCAACAACCTGTCAATTTCACTAAATTTTTGTCGTTCCTGAAATAATCTCGTCAGACACAAAACATCGGAAATGCGCGAGCAGACGACAATTTCGTCTCATTACGTGCCCAAACTACAAATTCAATATGACAGGTGTATATGTCGCGTGGAACACGGCGCGAGAAGACAACGCTAAACCGACGTCACTCACCAAGACGGCGACGCTGAATGCAATACTTTAGGCAACAGTGTATAGTTAGTCTTCCAATGCCTGTAACAGCTATCAAGCTTTTGGAAACTGACCCACCTCCATGGCACCTTGGTGGTTGGTATCCGTCCTGGCACTGACCGTCAGGACACAGACCAGACGTCTTGTTACAAACAGCGTTGTTGAGACACATCCCACACGGGAACTCACAATTGGTGCCATAGAAGCCGGTTGGACATTCTGAAACAAGCCGTAATGTGATATTTCCTCATGAGTAGATACACTTCACCTACACTCACGTGCAAAAGAAACGTCCCCATTTATTTTATCGTCTCTCAAACAGCAATGACAAACACAATAAGTATGTTTAAGGTTTCATATCAATAAACAATAAATATATTTTACATTTCGGTAGGTTAACATAGAGATCAGGCTTGATTCAACATGTTTGTAGGCTACGTTTACAAACGACGGTTGATTGTCCGGTTTTCAAGCACATGCCAACAGGTACATCACAGCATAAAATGTTCCAAAGGGCAGGAAAGTCTCTAGTAACCTCAGTCATCTGATCACGTGATCTGGTACCTGTCGCCATTCTTCCCGCAGGGCCTGAATCAACGCATTCCTTGACAACGGAGGCGGTAAACGCTTTTGGATGCGACGTCCGAGACGGTCCAACAGGTGCTCTATAGGAGATATGGCTGGAGATTTTGCTGGCCAAGTCAAGACCCCAATATTGTTGGCGGTAAAAAGTTCCTTGTGCCAACATCTTTGTGGGAGGAGCATTGTCCTGTTGGAACAAAGTTCGTGGATTCCTTTGAAGAAAAGGCAGTACAACAGGCCGCGAACCGAGGTCAAGATATCGAATTGCATTCAAATTTCGTTCAATGATAACCAGTTCTGCCTTCTGGTTGCCACAAATGACCCCCAAACCATCACACTCGCACCTCCATAGGGCTCCACTTCCTGTACGCAACACCGCGCAGTCCGTTCACCACTCGCCTGTAGACTCGTACCCAACCATCAGGTCTCTTCATTTGGAACCTGCTTTCATCTGCGAAATGAACTCGACACCAATTTCGTTGCTGCCACTGACGAACATTCCTGGCCCTTGCCAATCTACGACGTCAATGTTCAACCGTAAACGCCGTGCCCTTGAAAGGTCGGTAGGCACGGATACCATGTGCATGAAGACGTCTGCTTACTGTCCATCTGCTGACCAAATGCCCAAGACTTTGCGCCGCTGATGACGTCACAGTTAGGAATCTGTTCCTCAGATGAAGCACCTGAAATAGGTGTGTGTGTGTGCGTGCGTGCGTGCGTGCGTGCGTGCATGCGTGCGTGCGTGCGTGTGTGTGTGTGTGTGAGTGAGAGAGAGAGATATATTCTTGCAACATGAGAGTGCGTGGCTCCCACCTCCAGCATACCAGTTGCTCGTTCTCTTTGCTCTGTTGATAATCGAGGCATATTTTGTTGGTCAAACGGGGGTAAGTGATGACAGAGAACAGTTCAACACGTGTTTTATATACAGATTGCATGCGGGTACTTTTCTGCACGTGCGGGAAGTTTAGGCGCTCAAAGTAATTTGTAGCGCTTAGGACATGCAACACGTGTTTTTCCTTCACATAAAACGTTAATGTGTGTTTGGGAGATGCACTCTCTACCATAATCCACGTATATGGCCATTTAGACGAAAATTATAATAATTTGTATTTTGGGGACGTTTCTTTTGCACGTGAGTGTATGACGACTAAATGGCTATTGTATGAATCTGATGATATATTATCACACACTTAGATAGAACACGCACATTACACTATCCTGAAATATCATGTCCAAAAATATGAAATATGGTGATCCTCCCTTCCCTGCCAACACCCACATCACTCTGTCAACGTCTTTACCTCCCTAGACGTGTCATTGAGAGGAGCGGAACTGTGTGTACAATTTTGATGTTACCTATATATAGTGCACATTTTTTGTCATTGAGAGGACCGGAACTGTCTATATAACTCTGATGTTACCTGTAGTGCACAGTGTGTCATTGAGAGGAGCGGAACTGTCTATACAACACTGATGTTACCTGTAGTGCACAGTGTGTCATTGAGAGGAGCGGAACTGTCTATACAACACTGATGTTACCTGTAGTGCACAGTGTGTCATTGAGAGGAGCGGAACTGTCTATACAACTCTGATGTTACCTGTAGTGCACAGTGTGTCATTGAGAGGAGCGGAACTGTCTATACAACACTGATGTTACCTGTAGTGCACATAGTGTAACTGAGAGGACCGGAACTGTGTATACAACTCTGATGTTACCTGTAGTGCACAGTGTGTCGTTGAGAGGAGCGGAACTGTCTATACAACACTGATGTTACCTGTAGTGCACAGTGTGTCATTGACAGGACCGGAACTGTCTATACAACACTGATGTTACCTGTAGTGCACATAGTGTAACTGAGAGGACCGGAACTGTCTATACAACTCTGATGTTACCTGTAGTGCACAGTGTGTCATTGAGAGGACCGGAACTGTCTATACAACTCTGATGTTACCTGTAGTGCACAGTGTGTCATTGAGAGGAGCGGAACTGTCTATACAACTCTGCTGTTACCTGTAGTGCACAGTGTGTCATTGAGAGGAGCCGAACTGTCTATATAACTCTGATGTTACCTGTAGTGCACAGTGTGTCATTGACAGGACCGGAACTGTCTATACAACTCTGATGTTACCTGTAGTGCACAGTGTGTCGTTGAGAGGACCGGAACTGTGTATACAACACTGATGTTACCTGTAGTGCACAGTGTGTCATTGAGAGGAGCGGAACTGTCTATACAACTCTGATGTTACCTGTAGTGCACAGTGTGTCATTGACAGGACCGGAACTGTCTATACAACTCTGATGTTACCTGTAGTGCACAGTGTGTCGTTGAGAGGACCGGAACTGTCTATACAACACTGATGTTACCTGTAGTGCACAGTGTGTCATTGAGAGGACCGGAACTGTCTATACAACTCTGATGTTACCTGTAGTGCACAGTGTGTCATTGAGAGGAACTGTCCGGAAACTGTCTATACAACTCTGATGTTACCTGTAGTGCACAGTGTGTCATTGAGAGGACCGGAACTGTCTATACAACTCTGATGTTACCTGTGGTGCACAGTGTGTCATTGACAGGACCGGAGCTGTCTATACAACACTGATGTTACCTGTAGTGCACATAGTGTAACTGAGAGGACCGGAACTGTGTATACAACACTGATGTTACATGTAGTGCACAGTGTGTCGTTGAGAGGACCGGAACTGTCTATACAACACTGATGTTACCTGTAGTGCACAGTGTGTCATTGACAGGACCGGAACTGTCTATACAACTCTGATGTTACCTGTAGTGCACAGTGTGTCATTGAGAGGAGCGGAACTGTCTATACAACTCTGATGTTACCTGTAGTGCACAGTGTGTCATTGAGAGAACGGAACTGTCTATACAACTCTGATGTTACCTGTAGTGAACATAGTGTAACTGAGAGGACCGGAACTGTGTATACAACTCTGATGTTACATGTAGTGCACATAGTGTAACTGAGAGGAGCGGAACTGTCTATACAACTCTGATGTTACCTGTAGTGCACAGTGTGTCATTGAGAGAACGGAACTGTCTATACAACTCTGATGTTACCTGTAGTGAACATAGTGTAACTGAGAGGACCGGAACTGTGTATACAACTCTGATGTTACATGTAGTGCACATAGTGTAACTGAGAGGAGCGGAACTGTCTATACAACTCTGATGTTACCTGTAATAGTGCACAGTGTGTCATTGAGAGGAGAGGAGGGACGGAACTGTCTATACAACTCTGATGTTACATGTAGTGCACAGTGTGTCATTGAGAGGAGCGGAACTGTCTATACAACTCTTATGTTACATGTAGTGCACAGTGTGTCGTTGAGAGGAGCGGAACTGTCTATACAACTCTGATGTTACCTGTAGTGCACATAGTGTAACTGAGAGAACCGGAACTGTGTATACAACTCTGATGTTACCTGTAGTGCACAGTGTGTCATTGACAGGACCGGAGCTGTCTATACAACACTGATGTTACCTGTAGTGCACATAGTGTAACTGAGAGGACCGGAACTGTGTATACAACTCTGATGTTACATGTAGTGCACAGTGTGTCGTTGAGAGGACCGGAACTGTCTATACAACACTGATGTTACCTGTAGTGCACAGTGTGTCATTGAGAGGAGCGGAACTGTCTATACAACTCTGATGTTACCTGTAGTGCACAGTGTGTCATTGAGAGGAGCGGAACTGTCTATACAACTCTGCTGTTACCTGTAGTGCACAGTGTGTCATTGAGAGGACCGGAACTGTCTATACAACACTGATGTTACATGTAGTTGACATAGTGTAACTGAGAGGACCGGAACTGTCTATACAATTTTGATGTTACCTGTAGTGCACAATGTGCCCTTGTATCCCGGGGCACAGCCGGAGGCGGGACAGGAACCATCAATATTGTTGCACATGACGCTGTCGGCACAGTTGCCACACTCTAATGTGCAGTTGTCTCCGTAATATCCATTAGGACACCCTGAAACATATTTATAATCTGCTATGAATCTTAACAACACGGGGGCCGATGTGTTGTATCTTCTCGCCAACATACCACAACAAGGAACAGGCTTGTGCGATAATATCTGGATCATCTTTAGGCATTCCAATCCTTAATGACGGCTAAATAATATAACAAACATTAAAGTGACAAACTAAATAACTAATCGTCCTTCCAGGGAAATAGATCGTATACTGCAGCTGATGTAGTACCATTTGAACAGTTTGGATAATTAGTCTCTTAGAATATACCTGATTTTGCAGAAACTAACTGAAACATTCTCCAGTCCACCTACAAAATCCCCAGACTAATCCCAAAGAATATCAAATTTATAGAAAATTGACGGGTATTTGTTACCTTGGTTACAGTAATTCGATGTCCATCCTGGGTCACAGTTCCCAGGACACAAACCGGATGTCATGTTACATGTCACATTGCCCAAGCAATGCCCACACGCGAAACACGTTTGCCCGTAGTAACCTTGCCTACAAGCTGAAATGGTGAATACAAAATGGAACCTTCGGCTGCATTGTCTCACTGAAACATCTCGACGGGAAAACTTGATAAAATAAAATAAAATAAAAAAGTGTATACGTTAACGATACTATCAAGATCGGATTAAAAGGAAGTATTTTGCAGTTGTCAGTGACATACCCATTTACAACAAAAGGGTTACGATAAAACTGGTTGGGGAAAAAAACGTCATATGAACCAAAAACTCTTACAGTCTGTTTAACATAACAACGCCAAATAGCTTTCACAATCCTATACTGCTGGTTAGCGCTATCTTCGGTATTACAATGATTGTTCCGCCTCACCTAGACACATCCTTCCCTTCCAGCCGTCCTGGCAGCCACGTGTGCAGGTGCCCGATGTCCGGTCACAGTTCTCCCCGTACAGACAGTGCCCACACACCTTCGTACACATGGGACCGTAACGGCCAACCACGCAGTCTGCCAGACAAGTACATGACTCAATACCACTCAAAGAAGAAAGTACATGACTCAAAAGTAAAATATCTATTTATTCATAACTGTGTAGCTGTGGTCGCTTGGGGATATCGACTCTGGGCCGCTGGGTACAAGACAAAAACAATGGTGATGATTTGATGAGTTCATTATGAGTATGGGGCTATTGCTGACGTATCTGAAGAAAGAAAAGATGTTTCCACCTCAGCAACAGCAAATGGAGTGAGGTGGAAGACAGGTAACATATCAAAGGACGACTTTGATGTGGCTTATAAATGGAATAGGAAAGGCCCAGAGGATGGGTACTGAATCAAAAAATAGAACAGAAGTAAAGTGAAATCCTTGTTGACAAGGCTCCAGGAAACAGATGAAAAGGTGATAATTAAGAGAGGCGGCATTCAACGGCAAACACGGACTACATAGAACAAATGAACATTTAACATATAATGATGTTTGTGATACATGATGAAATGAATTGTGATTGAGCTTAGTTTGGGGGCAATATTAATAAAAGCACTGCTACAACTGCAAATCAATAACAATTTTATGATATTGACTAATATTTGTCTTCAAAGTTTGAGCAATAATGTGTGTACACAAAGCATGATTATAAATACAGACCAAGGATACCTTTTAGGGTCACTCAAGCCACTCAGCATTTTAGCGGAAACTATGGAAACGAACGCAATCATTGCGGTACAGAGATTTAATTTCTTCATTTCAATACAAACGAAATCTGTAGAAAGTATGTGGAGCCCGTCCTCAATCAGATGCCCTTTACGTGACATTAAAATAAAATAACCAAAGAAACTAATCTAAACAAGTTGCGTCTAAAACTAGTAGTATACTAAACTACGGATATACTAGTAGTATACATAAATTTAAGTTCTGGGCCCCGCTCCAGCAAGCCATCGTAGCGCAGGAAGTCGTTACTCCTGCACTTCCGGTTTCTAAGGTGAATTTATATATCGCTTTACATCGTTCTCTACTGTATGGAATCATCGTTACCTGTACACGTATCGCCGTCAAAGTTCTGCTGGCAACCAGACGGGCACCTGCCGGTGTCTTTCTCACACACGTTTGTATTGGAACAGCGTCCGCATGTCATGTTACATCCCTCACCATACAGACCCGCCGTGCAGTCTGTGAACACATGTACATCGAAAACACTGCTTAAAAGTTGTATGTTTATAACTGGTGTCTGTATGACCAGGATTTTCTGTTTGAAAGTAAACATCAGGTGAGTGAGTTACTTGGTTTTATGCCGCTTTTAGCAACATTCCAGCAATATCCGGGCGGGGGACAACAGAAATGGGCTTCACACATTGTACCCATGAGGAAAATTGAACCCAGCTTTGGCGTGACGAGCGTACGCTTTTACTACTGGGCCACCCCGTCGCCCCTTAAACATTAGGTAACATTAAAAATGTATATTCGTCAGATGAAACAGTAATATACGTCATATACGACTTACTTTGACACAGCTGTCCAGTAAACCCTGACTCACATCCACCAGCGCAGCTCCCTGTGTGGACATCACAGTCCACGTTGTTGTGACACGCACCGCATTGGAACCAGCAGTTGGCGCCGTATGTGTTATTGGCACATGCTAGAAAAGTGCAGGATAAACCTCTATTTCATAGACAAGAACAGGATAAACCTATATTTTATAGACAAGAACAGAATAAACCTATATTTTATAGACAAGAACAGGATAAACCTTTATTTCATAGACAAGAACAGGATAAACCTCTGTTTGTAGACAAGAAGAGGATAAACCTCTATTTTATACACAAGAACAGGATAAACCTCTGTTTATAGACAAGAAGAAAATAAACCTCTATTTTATAGACAAGAACAGGATGAACCTCTATTTTATCGACAAGAACAGGATAAACCTCTATTTTATAGACAAGAACAGGATAAACCTCTGTTTATAGACAAGAACAGGATAAACCTCTATTTTATAGACAAGAACAGGATAAACCTCTGTTTGTAGACAAGAACAGGACAATCCTCTATTTTATAGACAAGAACAGGATAAACCTCTATTTTATGGACAAGAATAGGATAAACATTTAATTTATAGACAAGAACAGGATAAACCTCTACTTTATAGACAAGAACAGGATAAACCTCTATTTTATAGACAAGAACAGGATAAACCTCTATTTTACAGACAAGAATAGAACAAACCTCTGTTTAGTTCAAGCTAAGTATGTAATTGACTTGCCAGCAACATAAATACAAGACTGACTTGACTAGAACATTTGTACAAGATGGATCATTTGTACATTTTACAGGATTGACATGCCGAGAAAGTTGGACAGGATTGACATGTCTAGGACATTTGTAAGAAAGGTGGTCATCTAGGGCATAGCGATAACGAGTCCTCAAAAGGAAATGATGTCATCAACCCCCCTTATCCCCTTGTTAGTGTTTACTTGACTAAGTGTCATATTATATAGAATCACGACAATTCTGATAATCACGGAATGTCATACCATACTGGTTAAATCAGATTAAACTTGACGCGTTTTATATGTGTCAGATAACAGTTGCTAAGCACGAAATGTATTTCGCGTTGACCCACTCACTGGTCGAACCTTCCTATATAGCGTCGCTTCGTTATACATTATAGGGGTAGCTCGAAGTTCATGGAAGCAATCACTGGAGTTTCTTCGACAGGCATTTTAGAAGTTGTATAGATGAACGCCGCACTCATTGCAATAAAGAAGTTGACTATCCATAGAACTTGGTTTTCCTTTATCTATAAAACTTCTAAAATGCCTCTCAAAGAAGTTATCTGCCGTCTACATGGAGACGTGGCAATTCAGTCCATCAACAAACTTATCACTTGCTTGATAACGGTGTTAGTACCTACACCGAAACGCCGCACTCATTGCAATAAAGGAGTTGACTATCCATAGAACTTGGTTTTCCTTAATCACTGGAGTGTTTGGTCCAGTTTGAATAATCCTGATGACTATGAAATAAACGAACGTATATTTTCAATCCCTACTACTACTGCTGCTACTGCTGCCGCTGTTGTTGCTGCTGTTGCTGCTACTACTACTACTACTACTACTACTACTACTACTACTACTACTACTACTACTACTACTACTACTACTACTACTACTACTACTACTACTACTACTACGGACAATCCCTATAACACTATTGTGGCAATGACCAAATTCTTTGAGTGAAGCCATATTAACTCACTTTCATTACACATATTTCCCCTGTATCCAGCACGACATCCCCGCTGGCACCGCCCTCTGATGTCACAGTCGTCGTCATCACACGTCAGACAGGGCTCACACCGTCCGTCCCGGGGGTAGGTACCTTTCCGACAATCTGTACAGACAACATCCGCCAATTACCCCCTGCCATCTTCCTGTCTGGTTGCAACTAGCTTTGAATTATTTGACTGGATAATTTATTTAAGATTTATCAATGCTCTGAGATGGATGTCGGAACAATGTCCGAAGTGAAACAGGTCACAGATCCACAAGAAAATGAATGGCGTTGAGAACCCTAAAAACAAAATCACGACGACTCTAGGATTCGAACCCAAGATCACAATGTTCTAACATGGCCAACAGTAGCCCGGCGAATACCATGGCAACAAGGGGCTAGTTGAACAGATGCCCTACATTTATTGAGCACGTGTTTCCACGGTGTATCATTGCTCAGCGTTGTTTTCGGTATGCATCTTTACGGCGTTATCGCAGACACTGTGGGATATCGTCGTGTAGTTATACATCCTTGAAGCAAGGATAGTTACCATGGCAACGGTAGCCTGCCCACAACCCGTCACACAGACCGTCTGGACATTTCCCTGTCACCGTGTTGCAGGCAGATCCACCGGCGCAGTGACCACACACACCGGAACAGTTCAGCCCATAGTGGCCGCTTGGACAACCTAGAACAAGAGTATGTATATACTACGTGTATACAGGCATGGCGTGTAGATTATTTAATATTTATATGTATAAATATGTTTGTGTCAGACAAGTTGCAGTTATGCTGCATATATAACTAACAAACCTGAATGTACAAACAAGTAACTAGGCACCCGGTGTTCGATTCCGCTCGTCACTCAGAAACATGGCAATCACCCATCCTGTACACCACTTTTTAGACAGAAACTTCGCAGCCAGCCACCCGGTGTTCAACTCATCACTCAGTAAACATGGCAATCACCCATCCTGTAGACCACTCCTCAGGCAGAAACCTAGCAGCCAGCCACCCGGTGTTCAACTCAATCAGTAACATGGCAATCACCAACCCTGTACACCACTCTTCAGGCAGAAACCTAGCAACCAGCCACCCGGTGTTCAACTCAATCAGTAACATGGCAACCACCAACCCTGTACACCGCTCGTCAGACAGAAACCTAGCAACCAGCCACCAGGTGTTCAACTCATCCCTCAGAAACATGGCAATCACCCACCCTGTACACCACTCTTCAGACAGAAACCTAGCAACAAACCGCCCGGTGTTCAACTCATCACTCAGAAACATGACAATCACCCACCCTGTACACCACTCTTCAGACAGAAATTTAGCAGCCAGCCACCCGGTGTTCAACTCATCACTCAGAAACATGTCAATCACACACCCTGTACACCACTCTTCAGACAGAAACTAAGCAGCCAGCCACCCGGTGTTCAACTCATCACTCAGAAGCATGTCAATCACCCACCCTGTACACCGCTCTTCAGACAGAAACCTAGCAACCAGCCACCAGGTGTTCAACTCATCACTCAGAAACATGGCAATCACCAACCCTGTACACCACTCCTCAGGCAGAAACCTAGCAACCAGCCACCCGGTGTTCAACTCAATCAGTAACATTGCATCCACCAACCCTGTACACCGCTCTTCAGACAGAAACCTAGCAACCAGCCACCCGGTGTTCAACTCATCACTCAGAAACATGGCAACTCAATCACATTGCATCCACCAACCCTGTACACCGCTCTTCAGACAGAAACTTAGCAACCAGCCACCCGGTGTTCAACTCATCACTCAGAAACATGGCAATCACCCACCCTGTACACCACTCTTCAGACAGAAACTTAGCAGCCAGCCACCCGGTGTTCAACTCATCACTCAGAAACATGTCAATCACCCACCCTGTACACCACTCTTCAGACAGAAACCTAGCAACCAGCCACCGCCCGGTGTTCAACTCATCACTCAGAAACATGGCAATCACCCACCCTGTACACCACTCTTCAGACAGAAACTTAGCAACCAGCCACCCGGTGTTCAACTCATCACTCAGAAACATGTCAATCACACACCCTGTACACCACTCTTCAGACAGAAACCTAGCAACAAACCACCCGGTGTTCAACTCATCACTCAGAAACATGTCAATCACCCACCCTGTACACCACTCTTCAGACAGAAACTTAGCAACCAGCCACCCGGTGTTCAACTCATCACTCAGAAACATGACAATCACCCACCCTGTACACCATTCTTAAGACAGAAACTTATATAATAAAATAATAATTTATGGAGAATAGGAACAGCCATATCAAAACAGAAAGAGACCCACTCACACACAAATGATCCGAGAAAACCTCGACCGGTGGACCTCGACCGAAAGAGTCCACACGGGCATTAACACTAGCTCTCACCTTGTATGGACACGTTAATCGTTACAACTGTTACAAGACATAACAGAATGATTCTGTGTGTAGAATACGTCATGTGTGTACCCCTCTGTCCTGGATCCCAGAAAAGCATGGGTGTACGGTACTTTGTTTACAGCAGCCCCCCGGTATAACGCTGTCCGATAAGAAAGGTAGCAATGCAGGTCATGGCGATAACGAGCCCGTCAAAGGAAATGACGTCATGATTGCCCTATTCCTGTTCGTGTGTACCTTACTACGTGTGGTATTACATAGAATCTGATCTGATTTCTGATAATCACTGAATTTCATACCATGCTGGTTAAATCAGATTAAACTTAAAGTGTTTTAAACGTGTCAGATAATTCAGTTACTAAGAACGAAATGTATTTCGTGTTGACCCACTCAGCAGTCGATACTTCCGTCAAGCTCGGAGTACACCTACTTCGACAGTAGTCTGTGTGCCCTGACAACACCTAACATCCACCCACCTTGTGTACAACTCTGTCCCGTCAAGCCCGGAGTACACCCACTCCGACAGTAGCTTGTGAGCCCTGACAACAATCTAGCAACCACCCACCTTGTGTACAACTCTGTCCCGTCAAGCCCGGAGTACACCCACTCCGACAGTAGCTTGTGTGCCCTAACAACAATCTAGCAACCACCCACCTTGTGTACAACTCTGTCCCGTCAAGCCCGGAGTACACCCACTCCGACAGTAGTCTGTGTGCCCTGACAACAATCTAGCAACCACCCACCTTGTGTACAACTCTGTCCCGTCAAGCCCCGGAGTACACTAACTCCGACAGTAGTCTGTGTGCCCTGACAACAATCTAGCAACCACCCACCTTGTGTACAACTCTGTCCCGTCAAGCCCGGAGTACACCCACTCCGACAGTAGCCTGTGTGCCCTGACAACAATCTAGCAGCCACCCACCTTGTGTACAACTCTGTCCCGTCAAGCCCGGAGTACACCCACTCCGACAGTAGCTTGTGTGCCCTGACAACAATCTAGCAACCACCCACCTTGTGTACAACTCTGTCCCGTCAAGCCCGGAGTACACCCACTCCGACAGTAGCTTGTGAGCCCTGACAACAATCTAGCAACCACCCACCTTGTGTACAACTCTGTCCCGCCAAGCCCGGAGTACACCCACTCCGTATCCTGACAACACCTAGCAGCCACCCACCTTGTGTACAACTCTGTCCCGCCAAGCCCGGAGTACACCCACTCCGAATCCTGACAACACCTAGCAACCACCCACCTTGTGTACAACTCTGTCCCGTCAAGCCCGGAGTACACCCACGCCGTACCCTGACAACAACCTAGCAACCACCCACCTTGTGTACAACTCTGTCCCGTCAAGCCCGGAGTACACCCACTCCGACAGTAGCCTGTGTGCCCTGACAACAATCTAACAGCCACCCACCTTGTGTACAACTCTGTCCCGTCAAGCCCGGAGGACACCCACTCCGACAGTAGCCTGTGGTCTTGTTGCAAACTTCCGCGACATCATTACAACTGCAGGTAGCTTCACAGTCTAACCCGTATTTGAAGTCATCACACTCTGTAGTAAAGCAAAGGAAACATATTGTTGATAGATAAATAGATGGACAGATAAGTAGATGGATAGATGGATGGATGGATGGATGGATGGATGGATAGGTAGACCAGAGGTTTGTAAAGTCGTAAGTTTTGTACACATATAGCCGTGGGCCCCGTGTTATGGATAGAAGCCAGCATTTCACTCTTTTAGTCAGAGTCGGTTAATTTAGGCTTAGTGTTTACAATGTCTGATTTTTGCCAGTTGAGAGTCCTGGTGCTCTGTTGTAATGGTGTGTTTGTCGTGCCGGTTGTAACCTCCACCATGCCTCAGCTGAATTATCTAACAGGTGTTGTCACAGACCATACAACAAGTTGAAAGTCCACAACTGTTATATCGTGACGACCTCTTCCCGAGGCACGAGTTTCTAACAGCTCAAATCAAAGTCAAGTTCTCACCCTTGCCATTTTATGTCTGCTTCTATGCTCGATTTATCGCGCCAAAAGGACGAGTTGTGTCCCCTGTAGTGACAACGCGATATCCAATCAGATCGCGGTTCTCATTTCCAATGACGTCATAAATTTCAAAAGTTGATGACCTGGTCGATCACACTGAAAGGGTTCGAGATTTATTCCTGCCAGAAATACAACATGACAGTAAAGAAACTTGTCAGTTTTTGTGGATCCCCGATGTTCATTTCATAAAACCAAAGATGTACATTTCTACTTCTTTAGTCAAACGGGATTTGTTTCTGATTGAACTATTGATATGTAGATAGTCGGCTTAAAAGGCAAGAACTGGACATTGATATAGGTTAATGGATAATTTTGCCTCGGGAAGATGATATAAATGAGAATTTATTTACCGTAAATATTCTGATTATTGTCAACAACACATTCTATTTACTTTAGCAGCAGCACGTTTTAGTTATAATAATCGTTTGTGATTTTGGTTTACCATAAACTTCCACTTCACATAAACTGAGTATATGTTGTCCTTGTAACGCGGATGGGAGCAGAATGGACACATTAGAACCGGAAATGACGTCAGTGCAGTTAAAGTCAATGACAGCAGATGGCGTGACTGTGGTACTGGCCTGGTAACACGCAGCGCCGTCTACCGTGACTTTGAATCCTCTCAGGTAGTCAAGATCTGAATGAAGAGTGACATTTGCGCCTTAAACCTCCATTATAACAGTATACATCACTATGTAGTGTACGACAGTATAGACCGTTGTATTGAAGTAACAGTAACATCCATGTATAGAGCATGACAGTATAGACCGTTGTATTGAAGTAACAGTAACATCCATGTATAGAGTACGACAGTATAGACCGTTGTATTGAAGATAACAGTAAAACCCCTGTATAGAGTACGACAGTATAGACCGTTGTATTGAAGATAACAGTAACACCCCTGTATAGAGTACGACAGTATAGACCGTTGTATTGAAGATAACAGTAACACCCTGTATAGAGTACGACAGTATAGACCGTTGTATTGAAGATAACAGTAACACCCATGTATAGAGTACGACAGTATAGACCGTTGTATTGAAGTAACAGTAACACCCCTGTATAGAGTACGACAGTATAGACCGTTGTGTTGAAGATAACAGTAACATCCCTTGTATAGAGTACGACAGTATAGACACGTTGTATATACGACAGTATAGAAGTTGTATTGAAACAGTAACACCCCCTCTATAGAGTACGACAGTATAGACCGTTGTATTGAAGTAACAGTAACACCCCTGTATAGAGTACGACAGTATAGACCGTTGTATTGAAGATAACAGTAACACCCCTGTATAGAGTACGACAGTATAGACCGTTGTATTGAAGATAACAGTAACACCCCTGTATAGAGTACGACAGTATAGACCGTTGTATTGAAGATAACAGTAACATCCCTGTATAGAGTACGACAGTATAGACCGTTGTATTGAAGATAACAGTAACACCCCTGTATAGAGTACGACAGTATAGACCGTTGTGTTGAAGATAACAGTAACATCCCTGTATAGAGTACGACAGTATAGACCGTTGTATTGAAGATAACAGTAACATCCCTGTATAGAGTACGACAGTATAGACCGTTGTATTGAAGATAACAGTAACATCCCTGTATAGAGCATGACAGTATAGAATGTTGTATTGAAGTAACAGTAACATCCATGTATAGAGCATGACAGTATAGACCGTTGTATTGAAGACAACAGTAACATCCCTGTATAGAGTACAACAGTATAGGCCGTTGTATTGAAGATAACAGTAACACCCCTGTATAGAGTACGACAGTATAGACCGTTGTAATGAAGATAACAGTAACACCCCTGTATAGATTACGACAGTATAGACCGTTGTATTGAAGTAACAGTAACATCCCTGTATAGAGTACGACAGTATGACGCTGTACTAAACAAACCTGTCTACCAAAGCCTCACGTGGGTTCTCTTTATTACATTTTAAAATTAAAAAACAGTGTGATAACCTACACAGCTTCAGCGTATATGTGCGCCAAGATTCTGAATCCTTAGCGCGAGAAATAATGGGTGAGTGAGTGGTTACAATTTACGCTGCCGTTTTCCAGTTGCGTCACAGCGTTTCAGCATGCTGACAGACCAATGCCTTAGTGATTCCTGGGTTACTCGTTTACCGCTTTGTGAAACCCACTAGCACAGATAAGAGGCAGACTAACCAAGGCTCAACACCAGGGTGAACTGAGATTCGAACCTACGATCTTTGAAGTGTCCTAGGGAAACACCTTGAAACAGCGAATTCCGGCGACTTTACAGAAGTCAGCCCGCGCTGATTCTATACAATTGTGACAATGTCTGTGCACAAGGAGCGATTCGTACCATCCCTTAGTTGATTCGTAACAAAATCGATAACAAATTATGATATAAAAAAAACCCGTAGCGTTGGAATAATATTTGTTTGTGTTTGTTCCATGGCTTAAAGTGCTGTCGGATATGGTTACACTTCAAAGAGAGCATGAATGCATGTTGATCATTTCCCTAAATGATTGTCTTCCAGGGCCCCGTTCCTCAAAGCGATCGTAGCGCTACGACAGTCGTAAGTCTATGTTAAAGTATGTGAGTTACGACTGTCCTAGCGCTACGATCGCTTTGAGGAACGGGGCCCTGTTCGTATCGATTAGTACAACCAGGACATACGGTGTTTGTTGTTGTAGATCCTGAAGCTGTGGATGTCCCGAGTCTTCTCCAGGTCAACACTCCAGGACGACGAGGGTTGACCGGACGCGGTGTATGAACACGACCCATTTATACTCCTTGTGTCCCCATCCACGGCTTGACCAGCTGATGTCGCACATTGAGGGGATGTTTTGCTGACACATACTGACCCTGTATACGTGCTGCTTTGTACGGCTTTCCGGTCCAGTGCCACATTAACTGACGGAGAAGTAGATAAGACAGTAGGGGTTAGTACATATAAGTTCCAGTCCATATTGGCATTTGGACGAGATATGATACAAATGTCAACGTATATAAACCAGTTACTCTGAAAATGTTCTTACGGCAGTCATGGGACAAGTTCATGACTCAGTCTCGCATCATTGGTTCTGACTAGATCTACTCCAGACGTATGGTAAAGTAAGAGAAAGAGGACGAGGCTAAATGAACCTCACGCAATTATGTATGTTTCGACAACTATTTTGTTTTACTGTCTATGCTTTCATCTAAAATCAGCTTCATTTGGGGGCAAAATTCAAAGAATAGAAACCTTCAAAAACATCATGAAAAAGCTGACACTCTTTATGGGGATTTGTGAATCATTGAAAGGAACATAGTAGCATTGTTTTCATATTGTTCTCCCGTAACACATTCATATTGTTCTCCCCTTAACACATTCATATTGCACATACAGTTGCCATGTTGTGCCATGTGTCTGAAAAATAACACTGACTACCATCGTAATTTCACATTTGGCATTGTCTGTGTAATGTCTAATTTATTTATTTTAGAAGTAAGTGAGATCGGTTAAAGTCGCTTTAAAGGGCCGATGAAAAAAGTCAAATAGGCCGTGGTGAAAGTCAAATGGGCCGTCACAAAAAGTCAAAAGGGCCTTATTTCTAGTCATATGGGCCGAACAGAATAAAAGTGTACAAAGGTTTTACATCATTTATTGACACATATAGTATTAAAACATAATATCACCATAACATTAATAAAATGGCAATGGCACGGTAATAGCCAAGCATGTCATTAATGGCAGTACATGTACATATAGTTTTCATGTGATGGCAATACATATAGTTCATAATTTACTTAATTAACACAAGTTCTCATAATTAACAAACATAATAAAATGGTATTTTACACAAGTTCATTCGTTCATAATTTACACAAGTTCATTCCTGAACTTCAAGAGTGTCATCGACAGCAACTGATGCAGAATCCAACTGACACAAGAAATTAAATTCTTCTCCACTTCTGCATAAGTCTAGGTAGTTAAGACACTGAGTTGAGATACTTTACAATAAAACATTAGACTCCCATGTTTTAATTAGATTTGGATTAAAAACTTACAACAACAACAAAAACAAACATCCCTTACGGATTAGCCATGCCACTGAGTCAAGACACATCAGAATGAAAACATTTGAGTCACATGTTCAAATTCCATTTAAAATAACAACAAACTAAACACTATTTACACTATTTACTATGTAATTTATTAATTTTTTATTTTTCGACCATTTCGATATAAAATTTCTTTCACGCTTCGATTTTTCATATTCTCTATCAGATTCTCTTTTTTCTTTGTTTAGTAATAACGGGAATTTTGCCTTGAAACGAGGCCTTAATATCTGCCTGCCGTTTCGGCATGTTTTTTTACATGGCGCCATTTGTAAATGATGAAGGATGCGTCGGCTATTTTGATTGGTGTTTATTTCTTAACACTGGCCAATCACGACGTGTCTTAGAAACGGGTTAGGGTTTCAGCTTCGTGTGTAGTTTCACTAAGCTAAGAATTGTCTGCTTGAAAACAAAACAAAAAATACTAAATGAATTAGGAAGTTTGTAATGGAAAAAGGCCATGAAGAGAATTTTTCACAGACTGAAAATTTACACTAGCAAATCGCGCTACCGTCATTCTATTTTTACTAGCCCGGGGAAGTTTTACCTAGCATCGGGCTACCGGGCTAGTGGTTATTTCGAACGCTGAGCTGAAGTGGATCAGGTCGACTGCTACTGTTGTGAAAGACACAAACTGACAAGCTGCTGATAAATCTAGCAACATCATCCGAGCCAACTGGGATCGGAACCCTGTGTATATTTCTGGGGTGTGAAAGGGTTCGCATGTAGAAAGGTTAACGTTAGTGACACCATATCTTGGTTAGAATAACACCCACTCATCTGACAATCGGCTCCTGCCCTCCCCGCTGCACACCCAGACAGACAGTGACCTGTGACCTTGTGACACACCTCTGACATGTTGTGACAGTGGCACCTTTTGTCACACTTGGACCCGAACCAGAAGTCGCTGCAGTCTGCCAGAACATGAACAGGGGTCTCACATCACATACTGGTTGTACACAATAGCTGTAAAACATTGACTATGCAGTGGTATGTGATGGATGATGATGATGATGATGATGATGGTGATGATGTCAACATCAGATGACACAAGTGAAGGTTGTGCGTGCGCAATAGGGGATTTCACTCACTTTGTGATGGGCTTGTCACCACTGAATTGGAGTACGTGAAATTATTGTTGGAACAGATGTACACTAACGTTTAATCTCTGCTGAACATATGTAATTGCGATAGAAACTCCATTTTAATTGAATAGAAGCATCAGTGTGCTGGGAGATCCAGAACTTAGTTCTTCATTTAGAGCTTTAGCATTGCAGGAATGGCTGGGTGGAAAGGGAACATTATGTTGTTCGGGGATTATGAGACAGACTATGGGAAGACGGTGTTTGGGTCTGTCACCCATTCACCCCTGTAATAGACACGTGTTGTTCCCTGCTCTACAGGCACAACAGCTATACATCTTGGGATCTGTTGGATTGACATTTTAGAAGTTAGTGAGCATCAATAACGGCAAAATACTTATATGTACTATATTGTATTATGATGCGACGTTTTGGTAGAGATATACTATAATAAGAATGAACTCGATGTTTGATTGGCATTTTAGAAGTTGCTATTTGATGAACATAGAGAATTTTCTGGGTTTCATCTTCTTTTTCTTGACAAACAATAAAAAAAGATGAAACCCATAAAATTCTCTATGTTCAAGAATGAACTCGCAAGAAAATTTGGACATATGAGTGTGGATATGCTGTAGATGCTTACAAATTTTACATACACAAGATGTAGATGCTTGCAGTTTAGTTAGTTTTCACTTACTAGACACAGTTACTAATGAAACATCTCTAAAGAATCCAATAAATAGTATATTTGTTGAAAAAAAGTTTACCCACTCTTCGCCAACTACAGGCACTGAGTGCGTCACTTACCGTACACCAGTACTTCACACAAGTCCAACACAGGCTGGTAATTGTTTATGGGGCCTGGTGGACTAAGGATGGTCAGGTTGGATCCGGTCAACGGCTGGACGCACGTAATGTCTGCAACAAGGTGACCGCCCGCCTGTGCTGTCCAGTTCTGACACCACTGGTCACTCACAAAGAGCTGGAACGTCTTGAAGGCCGATGGCTCTGGGTGGAATATCATGTGGCGCATAGGTTACCGTTTGACGTTCTTGAAAGACATTTAGAAGTTGGACGAACATGAATGCATGACACGTTTTTATGGATAACAACTTCTTTTTATTCTGTATACGATGTTCCAGAGCTAATTCTTGTTATTTCATTCACCTGATGAAGGAGCAGGAATAAGCTCTGTAACGTCCCCGATCCACCCACTTTTGGTGGATCGGGCGACAATTTTTTTATTCTTTATATGACGTTACAGAACTAATTCTTGCTCTTTCATTAGATGAATGAAGGAGCAGGAATTAGCTCTAATGAAGGAGCAGGAATTAGCTCTGATGAAGGAGCAGAAATTAGCTCTGATGAAGGAGCAGGAATAAGCTCTGATGAAGGAGCAGGAATTAGCTCTGATGAAGGAGCAGGAATTAGCTCTGATGAAGGAGCAGGAATTAGCTCTGATGAAGGAGCAGGAATTAGCTCTAATGAAGGAGCAGGAATTAGCTCTGATGAAGGAGCAGGAATTAGCTCTGATGAAGGAGCAGGAATTAGCTCTAACGAAGGAGCAGGAATTAGCTCTGATGAAGGAGCAGGAATTAGCTCTGATGAAGGAGCAGGAATTAGCTCTGATGAAGGAGCAGGAATTAGCTCTAATGAAGGAGCAGGAGCAGGAATTAGCTCTGATGAAGGAGCAGGAATTAGCTCTGATGAAGGAGCAGGAATTAGCTCTAATGAAGGAGCAGGAATTAGCTCTGACAAAGGAGCAGGAATTAGCTCTGATGAAGGAGCAGGAATTAGCTCTGATGAAGGAGCAGGAATTAGCTCTGATGAAGGAGTATGAAGGAGCAGGAATTAGCTCTAATGAAGGAGAATGTAGGAGCAGGAATTAGCTCTAAACGTGGTATAAAGAATAAAAAGAAGCTGTTATCCATAAAAGCGTGTCATATTCAGGTTACCGTTTGCTGTTGAAAATATCCAGCGAAATTCAAATGTGAAGTTTGTGTAATTTTAGAAAAAACACAATACAACTTGCTCTGTCTCTGAATAATAAATACTTGATCCACCCCTTCATGTGAGTTCTATAGCCACCCTAACACAGTCAGTACAACTGAATCATATTTCAAGTCAACTGGTTCATATAGAATCTGAAAGAAACTTACGATCATCGTCAGTGTGAATGACCACGTGACTGATCACGTGACTATCGCCAAGGTTGACACTCCATCTGGCGGTGTTGTTGTTGTAGGGTATGGTGTGAGTACAAGACCCATGCCAGTAGTTGTGATCGGCATCGCCGTCAACCGCCAGACTGCCGCTCTTCACCCCACACACATTACGGCCGAAATGGGGGTCTGGGGGTGGGCAGAACGCGGTGTCGTTGAAGGAGCCTGTTTGTTCTGTAGGTCGACCGAGAGCAATATTTCCTGGAACAACCATGAAACAGTGTTGTCATTTGGTGGACCAAGGACACTGTTACCTGTTAACTGTGAGGTATGAACCGTAAAGGGTGTCGAGGGCAGAGTCATCATGAAGGACACTGTCTGGTGTGTTCAGTAGGTGCATCGGGGACAGTGCTATCTGGAGTGACAGTGTTAGGTGTGTTTAGTAGATAAATGGAGTGCGGTTTGTGGTGAGACAAGAGTGCAGAGTGTTCAGCAGGTGGGCCTGGGAAAGTGTTAGTGGTGAGGATAGAAGGTATGTTTAGTAGGTGGACCTAGGACAGTGTTAGTGGTGAGGCTAGAAGGTATGTTCAGCAGGTGAACCTAGGACAGTGTTAGTGGCGAGGCTAGAAGGTATGTTCAGCAGGTTGGACCAGGACAGTGTTAGTGGTGAGGCTACAAGGTATGTTCAGCAGGTTGGACCAGGACAGTGTTAGTGGTGAGGGGGCGTAGGGGTAGCCTAGTGGTTAAAGCGTTGGCTCGTCACGCCGAAGACCCTGGTTCGAATCCCCACATGGGCACAATATGTGAAGCCCATTTCTGGTGTCCCCCGCCGTGATGTTGCTGGAGTATTGCTAAAAGCGGCGTAAAACCAAACTAAGTCAGTCAGTCAGTCAGTTAGTGGTGAGGCTAGAAGGTATGTTCAGCAGGTGGGCCCAGGACAGTGTTAGTGGTGGGGCTAGAAGGTGTGTTCAGCAGGTTGGCCTAGGACAGTGTTAGTGGTAAGGCTAGAAGGTATGTTCAGCAGGTGGGCCTAGGACAGTGTTAGTGGTGGGGCTAGAAGGTATGTTCAGCAGGTTGGCCCAGGACAGTGTTAGTGGTGAGGCTAGAAGGTATGTTCAGCAGGTTGGCCCAGGACAGTGTTAGTGGTAAGGCTAGAAGGTATGTTTAGCAGGTGGGCCTAGGACAGTGTTAGTGGTGGGGCTAGAAGGTAGGTTCAGCAGGTGGGCCCAGGACAGTGTTAGTGGTGAGGCTAGAAGGTATGTTTAGCAGGTGGGCCCAGGACAGTGTTAGTGGTGGGGCTAGAAGGTATGTTCAGCAGGTGGGCCCAAGACAGTGTTAGTGGTGAGGCTAGAAGGTATGTTCAGCAGGTGGGCCCAGGACAGTGTTAGTGGTGAGGCTACAAGGTATGTTCAGCAGGTGGGCCCAGGACAGTGTTAGTGGTAAGGCTAGAAGGTATGTTTAGCAGGTGGGCCCAGGACAGTGTTAGTGGTGGGGCTAGAAGGTATGTTCAGCAGGTGGGCCCAAGACAGTGTTAGTGGTGAGGCTAGAAGGTATGTTCAGCAGGTGGGCCCAAGACAGTGTTAGTGGTGAGGCTAGAAGGTATGTTCAGCAGGTGGGCCCAAGACAGTGTTAGTGGTGAGGCTAGAAGGTATGTTCAGCAGGTGGGCCCAGGACAGTGTTAGTGGTAAGGCTAGAAGGTATGTTCAGCAGGTGGGCCCAGGACAGTGTTAGTGGTGAGGCTAGAAGGTATGTTCAGCAGGTGGGACCAGGACAGTGTTAGTGGTGAGGCTAGAAGGTATGTTCAGCAGGTGGGACCAGGACAGTGTTAGTGGTGAGGCTAGAAGGTATGTTCAGCAGGTGGGCCCAGGACAGTGTTAGTGGTGAGGCTAGAAGGTATGTTCAGCAGGTGGGCCCAGGACAGTGTTAGTGGTGAGGCTAGAAGGTATGTTCAGCAGGTGGGCCCAGGACAGTGTTAGTGGTGAGGCTAGAAGGTATGTTCAGCAGGTGGGCCCAGGACAGTGTTAGTGGTGGGCCAGAAGGTATGTTCAGCAGGTGGGCCCAGGACAGTGTTAGTGGTGAGGCTAGAAGGTATGTTCAGCAGGTGGGCCCAGGACAGTGTTAGTGTTAGTGGTATGGCAGGTGGGCCCAAGAAGGGTAAGGCCATGTTTAGCAGGTGGGCCCAGGACAGTGTTAGTGGTGAGGCTAGAAGGTATGTTCAGCAGGTGGGCCCAAGACAGTGTTAGTGGTGAGGCTAGAAGGTATGTTCAGCAGGTGGGCCCAAGACAGTGTTAGTGGTGAGGCTAGAAGGTATGTTCAGCAGGTGGGCCCAAGACAGTGTTAGTGGTGAGGCTAGAAGGTATGTTCAGCAGGTGGGCCCAGGACAGTGTTAGTGGTAAGGCTAGAAGGTATGTTTAGCAGGTGGGCCTAGGACAGTGTTAGTGGTAAGGCTAGAAGGTATGTTCAGCAGGTAGGACCAGGACAGTGTTAGTGGTGAGGCTAGAATGTATGTTCAGCAGGTAGGACCAGGACAGTGTTAGTGGTGAGGCTAGAAGGTATGTTCAGCAGGTTGGCCCAGGACATTGTTAGTAGTGAGGCTACAAGGTATGTTCAGCAGGAGGGCCCAGGGCATTGTTAGTGGTGAGGCTAGAAGGTATGTTCAGCAGGTGGGCCCAGGACATTGTTAGTGGTGAGGCTAGAAGGTATGTTCAGCAGGTGGGCCCAGGACATTGTTAGTGGTGAGGCTAGAAGGTATGTTCAGCAGGAGGGTCTAGGACAGTGTTAGTGGTGAGGCTAGGAGGTATGTTGAGCAGGCGGGCCCAAGACAGTGTTAGTGGTGAGGCTAGAAGGTATGTTCAGCAGGTGGACCCAGGACAGTGTTAGTGGTGAGGCAAGAAGGTATGTTTAGCAGGTGGGCCCAGGACAGTGTTAGTGGTGGGGCTAGATGGTATGTTCAGCAGGTGTGCCCAGAACAGTGTTAGTGGTGAGGCTACAAGGTATGTTTATCAGGTGGGCCCAAGACAGTGTTAGTGGTGGGGTTAGAAGGTATATGTTCAGCAGGTGGGCCCAGGGCAGTGTTAGTGCAAAGGCTAGAAGGTATGTTCAGCAGGTGGACCCAGGACAGTGTTAGTGGTGAGGCTAGAAGGTATGTTTAGCAGGTGGTCCAAGGACAGTGGTTTATTCATACACCTTTCGTCCGATTTCTTTAATGATTTGGCAGTGATCCCTTCATATATTTCCCCCACTATCCAATGCAAGTATGTCCAATGCAATCTGCTTCTTAGGATAACAGAGATTGGATATTCTCTGCCGTTGATGATTGTATTTAGAGAACAATCTATATGTGTTTGAAGTTTCAAAACTAAGTGTACCTTTGCTAAGTGTCAATTTGAGATCAGTATACGGTATATATACTTACGTCTATGACAAAAGCCTCCATCCCGACCTGTGATGCAGCGCGTGACACACGGTATCGGAGGGTAGGAACACCCGGAAGTGCACCCACAGTCAGTGATACCTGTCGTGTGAGTGAGTAAAGAGGATGCAGACATCACATACATAATCATAACAATATGAAGATAACAAGAAGATGCAATCTGACGAGACAAGGCCAATACAGAGAACAAACGGTTTCCTACAGCAACGACAGGTGTCTGGACTGGTGAGCGTTAGGCTGACCCTGTACACAGGGAATATATGGTAATTCCATTAGGTTTTCAATTTCTGAATCGGCAATATTCAGGATAACGTTCCCAATACAACCATAATGTTGTCAGTTTACCTTGGCTACCGACCACCGCCACGAAACCAGAGTAACACAGTAAAATAACGGTCACTGTTTGTGTCGTCATGTCTCGTTCTGTCATCCCTAGGTGTACACCAGTAGAGACTGCACATGATACCACAGAGATAACAACCCTTAGTATTTAGGTCATGGCGATAACAGGACGGATCATATGAAATAACCAAGAGAACTTCACTGTACTTTGTCTGTATTGAAATGCCCCTGAGAAGGTGTATTTATTAACGTCGACATGTCAGAGGTGAACCATCATGACGGAAGGGCAGATTTGGGCAGTTTTAGTTATTCTGTTAGAAGTTCTATTGACTGTGTGTGTTTGTTGTCCAACCTCAACAATATTGCAGCTATATCTGGAAGTAACAGATGTTATATTTGGGATAACACTTTCTCAATGAAGCCGAATTCTAGTACTTTTGTTTTGTACTGAAGTACCTGATTAAGACTACCAGTTGTTCGACTTTCAGTTTTGTGGAACCGCGATGGCTGAGTGGGTTAGATGGCCGACTTTGTGTGCTGACGATTAGGTGCCTGTCAGACCAGTGGTTGATGTTATGAGCAACGAGCCACACCATGGAGGTAGCCACACCATGACACACACTCAGCAGGACTGACCACCCGACAATATAAATACAGTTAAATTAGTTCATCTGTGTTCGTTTGTTTGTTTGCAATAGAACTGCAAGTATAGTGCCAAGGTTATGTTGGACGTAAGTTTATATGATTGGTTTGGTTTGAATCACGAAGATTCCCACACAGTTTCAACTCAACATATACACCGCTTCGTCGACCTCGACGAAAGAACTGTTATTGGCAAAATGGCAAAAAAATACAGAACATGTATAAGCGTGAATCTGTGATCATTTGCGGGGAACCGATATGCCTTGGTTAAGTGTTGCCATCTCATCTTCACACCCATCTAGGTAGCTGGGACGTCACTATCACCCGACAACGTTCTTGCATGAAACATAGACAATCTTGAGGTGTTATTTGCAGCCATGGTTTTATGCGCAGGCCACGTGTAAATACGCAGGTTAAATATTTGTTTGTTTGTTGTATAACGCCGCCCTGATCAACATTCCTGCTATATTACGGCAGTCTGTAAATAACAGAGTCTGGACCAGACAATCCAGTGATTGACATCATGAACATCAAGCTACGCACCCGGGATAGCCACGTTAGTGACCACCCTTCCCGTTAGTCGCCTCTGACGACAAACATGGGTTGCTCAATGCCATTTAGTGGTCACACGTATGTCATGTTTTGGATTACACTTTCTCGGTACTTTCTGGGATGAATCCCACTCAGTCAGGCACCTAATCACCAGCTCACAGAGTCGGCGGTCTAACCCACCCAGCCACCGACTTCCACAGCGTTGTTAGTAATGAGGACGCACATGGCTACAGGTGAAGTAAAGTATCGGCCAATAACCTGGAAGACCGAGGAAGACCAATAACCGTGATAACCGAGTCCTGATTCGTCTAGCAAGCACACACGCATACACACGCATCTCGAGGACGAAGTCATGCACGTCCACCATCCCTTAAATGACTTGGTTACTTTGATAACCAGCCCAAGGTGATTTGGTCCACCTTTCCGCACTGGTGGAAGACGACGGCGAAACTTTTACTGTCATAAGCCATGGACCGGAACACCTTCCAGAACCGGACGAGCTGTAGGTGATTTGGTCCACCTGCATGATGGGACGTCATGGTCAGCCGCCACGGAACACCTGACATAGTGCAGGTGCACGTTATGGTCAGGCCACGTTGAAGGCTCACTTGATATAATGCAATATTTTATGCTTATTCGTGCAGCGTCTTCCTAATGTTTCACTAACCGGACAGGGGCGGTTGGGTAGCCCAGTAGTTAATGCGTTCGCTCGTCAGGCCGAAGACCCGGGTTCGATTCCCACCGTGGGTACAATGCGTGAAGCCCATTTCTGGTGTCCCCCACAGCGATTTTGCTCCCCTATTGCTAAAAGCGACGTAAACCCTCACTCACTCACACACTCAAACCGGACAACTTGTCAAAAAACGGACAACTGGTGGGGTAGACAAAATAATATTAGGGTTTATGGTAACGTGTTCAGTCCGAAATGGGAATAAAATAAATAATTGGGAATATCTTGATGGCGAAATAGGGTTTAAAAAATAACTACTAGAATCGGATTCAACGCGTTCCTAAATCCGCAAATAAATGAATAAAATAAATACATTTCTGACACAAATAAATGACCAAATAAATATATAGAAATACAAACAAACATGAATAATAAAAACATCCGATAAAAAAAACAACTGAGTTTTGCCAATGTACTATGAAACTGTTCGCTTATGTGATTGTATATGTATGTTATGCCATCTATGAATGTGAATAAATGAAAACAAGTATGTATTGTTAGTATTTTTTATTTCTGTGAATATTTTTACATACGATGAAGATAACTAGATCTACCATTTGTGATATGCATGCAACAGTATGACGATCATGACATTTAGTAAAGATTGATATTTTCACACAAATACATTAATCCGACATTTTCATTAATCCGACATTTTCGTTAATCCGACATATTTCTCTGCAACCACAAGTGTCGGATTAACGAGAGTTGACTGTATGGGAGTTACGATAATCTTAGCGCTACGTTAGCTTTGTGGACCGGGACGCTGGTCTACAGAGTTGACGGTAATGTTGAGGGAATTTAAGGAGTATCGCAACAACTCATATTTTTCATAGTATCAATATGTCACCATTAACCATAACAAAGCAACTTATCCAAACGTCAGTTTAACTCACTATATGGATAAACTGGCCCTCGGGGAATGGCAAATCTAAACGCAGCAACAAGAACGAAAACATGAAGTTAATTCAGAGATGCAAGCCTGGCAAAACTGACTCATTACAAAATGGTGAAAACTATGGTCGGTTTAACAAGTGCGGTCATTTTCAGGATTCTGGCATCAATCCTCAAGAAATCACATATGTATCAATAACCGAACACAATGTCATTATCTGGTGCAACCTCCGCCATCTGCACTGACATCCCTGACCCACAACCTCAGGACGTATCAGACGTTGAATATATTAACGTTTAGGTATTGCGTTCCGTTCTTGATGGAGGGCTTGCCCCAATACATCAATATTTTGCACTGGGGGAATTCTCTGGCATATTCTACGACCCACAATTTCCCAAACATAATCTATCTGATTATGAACAAATATATTGAATTTCGTTCGACCAGTGGACCCTTCCCCATGACCTCAAATTCCAGTGACGTCAAGCTTGACGTCAAGGTGGTCGCATTGCTTTGTACTGTAGTATAGGGGTAACAACGGACGCTCATAGGTCGGCTGGCTCTATACCCGGTCAAGTTTAGCGATTTCGACCGTCCTGTTGGTCAAACGACGATGTGGAAGCCACTGTGTTTTAACACGTCACCTGACATGATTGTTAATTCTTGTGCTTCTGAGAAGGCTGTATCCTCCCAAGGACGACAATGACAACAGTTGTCAGTTCAGGAGGCCCCATACTTTCTCATCTACAACAAAATCAATTAATTTTCCCAGTTATCGAGCTGTAAGAAACTTAACTTGTTAACGTAGGGTTTGATAGTGAACTGAATGAAATGCAAGAAGACTTAGTAAATTCATTCATTTCATGGAATAAAGAAAACATAATCTTTGGCGAAGTAAAACTTTGGCATCTGTGGAAAGAAATATGGTGCCAAGAACGCTGGCTACTGAATAAACTGAGTCCTGTATTGTCATGTACAGCTCCATCAACTCAATCCATTACCTCCCAAATATGGTGCACTAAATGCGTCAGTAATACTACATACTATCAAAACTCATGGATCAAGAGAATAATTATCAGCCGCAACTGAAAATGGTGAACCTGCCTTCCCACAGAACAGATTATTATAGTGAGTTAGTGAGTTTAGTTTTACGCCGCACTCAGCAATATTCCAGCTATATGGCGGCGGTCTGTAAATAATCGAGTCTGGACCAGACAATCCAGTGATCAACAGCATGAGCATCGATCTGCGCATTTGGGAACCGATGACATGTGTCAACCAAGTCAGCGAGCCTGACCACCCGATCCCGTTAGTCGCCTCTTACGACAAGCATAGTCGCCTTTTGTGGCAAGCATGAAGACCTATTCTACCCCGGATCTTCACGGGTCAGATTATTATAAATAGATCAAGTTTACATTAACAACACTACTATCCCATACCTCTCTAATATTGTGAAGGCTTGAGTTTCAATTTAAAGTACTGTCATACAAATGAAAGTAGAGATGCAATATGTCTGGAGTCTTCGTGGCACAACAGTAACATCACAAAGGATGGTAAAGCAATTAGATGTGTTGAAATGGGTTAAGAATGCATGGGGCAAATAAATGACATATTTCATGAAATGGAGTAAGATAAAACATTCAAGCATTCACAGAAAAATATAACATCAATATTTGTCATAAAAGAAATACATATGTACAAAATGCATACTGAATGCCATTGCTTCATTTTATGTGAGATTGTTAAAACATCATAATAAAGATAGCAAAATGATTTCCAAGACTCTTATATATGTAACATTTACAAAACAAAGTCACATAGAAAGGGAAGAATGGTTTCAACAACAATATAGTGAGTGAGTTAGTTTAGTTTTACGCCGCACTCAGCAATATTCCAGCTATATGGCGGCTGTCTGTAAATAATCGAGTCTGGACCAGACAATCCAGTGATCAACAGCATGAGCTTCGATCTGCGCATTCCGGAACCGATGACATGTGTCAATCAAGTCAGCGAGCCTGACCACCCGATTCCGTTAGTCGCCTCTTACGACAAGCATGGGTTACTGAAGATCAATATTCTAACCCGGACCTTCACGAGTATAGCAACAATATAGAGATAAATATGAGAATGTTAGGTACTGCCAATAGATGCAAGGAGAGTGTAAGTATAATATTACTCCAATTCAAATTAATCATAACATTCAACTAATAATTGTTTTCTATTTCACATTTCATACATTCAAACCCTTTGCACACTTAGCGAGTAGGCACCAGAGAAAATAGTTCGTGTATGATGCGAATATGGAAGATATGGACAGATTGAACAGATTGGCTAGACTAAATATCATTAAGAGAGGTAATGTTTATAAACGAAAATATCATATTTGTTTATACAGGTTATTATATAAATATTACCCTTAAATGCACCCTTTAGTGACCAACACAATTAGCTTTTATTCCTTCTCAGGCTACTGTCAATCCAAATTTTCCTGCTCTGGACATCAAGCCATACAGTGGAGGTAACGTACAATTTTAACTGTATGCCACACTTTAACATGCTAAATGATTGCAAAAATAAATCTGAAGAAATTACAGATACTGACTGTTCTGTGTGTCGATACGAGAAGGTAGTATATATAGTAAAGGTTATGAATGTAGGTTCTACCACTCTAAATCAGAATCACTGGCTCAAAAGCACATCCATCCAGTAATTAAAAATGACCACAATTTTAAGTATTTAATGCAGTCATTTTTATCAACATGACTTGTGCTTAATGTGTATACAGATATTTTCAAGTAGGTGAAATTTGGTGCGGAACTGGGGAAAATAGGCAGAAAAAGTTAGCCGGAATTTCTGTATTTATTGTAGTTTACAGGCCAGACTGTACCCATGTTTTCCTCGAATGGCTGTTGACAGCCTGGATGATTTTTTAAAAAAAATATAACGTTACTAGAGAAGTCTATGGGAAAACATTTGGGTTTGTGTAACCTGCAGCTATACAGCTGACGTCACGAACCTCAGACTAAGCAAGTGCAGTTACCTCCCCTGCCTTGAAGCACAAACAAATCTTGTCCTCAGCCAGGTTCCAGACCATGTGACTATTTCATAAATACATGCCTGTAACATACGAGTTGTGTAACCGACTCTTTGAACAATAGTTTTTTAATTGTAGCTTTTATTTAAATTTGCGTCAGCAATCCCTCACTTGGGTATCACAAACTTGCAGCCCACACCGAGATTCCTGAACGCCCATTGTTCGCCCCCACTGCACCGAGTTGTGCTGTGACGTTGTTGTGGAGTAACTCACTGACCAAACATGTTTACCTTCGGTTCTTTCTGTGGCCACGATAGTGTATTTATTCAACACAGTTTCCAATGTGTATTGCTGCTCAAATGATGACATGCACCAATAAGCTATCCACTCACAGTTTGACACAAAACCTTTTTCACGCAGATTGATTTACTTCATTTGCTCTCAGCCGAAACAAATACAACATCCTAGCGGAGAATGGGCTTTGGAAAACAGTAACCTTGATATCATTGTGTATGAAAAAATGAAAGTGCTATACCCTCCTTGTCTCTTAACCAGTGAAGATCCGGGTTAGCATTGGCCTCAGTAACCTATTGGGCTTCAGTACCACACAAGATGTGCTATATTGTTAATCAGCTACCGATGTCTTTCTGTGGAAACGTCCCTGTCGGACATACTCGATGGAAGACTAAAGTGATGAATATTTCAGTTTGCCCTTACGTGTCAGGCAGCCGTCCCCTGTCCATCCATTTCTACAGCCACTGATACAGTTTCCACTTGATTTGTCGCATACCTCACTCGTGTTCTTACAACCACATCGTTGGCTACAATCCGCGCCGAATCTTTTGTCTTGACACTCTGTAAATATAATGTAAATGACTGAAAAGAAACCCGTCCATATTCCAAAGCTTACACTTGCTGGAAAACAAATAGATGATTATTTGCTGTTGAAGAATGAGAGCATGAATGTGAGATAATGCAAGTCGGCACTTGGATACATTTGTCTAGGTTAATATTTGGATCTTTTTTATCTCCTCGGGAATCTATATTCTCCAAAGATTCAGTTTTGGTATTTCCTGACCATATATAAGTTTCGCAGACGAGTCTGACACCGGTTCACACAGGCGAATCACGTAACTTGAAATATGTAGTTTTAAAAACGTTTCTTGAACGTGACTTGCCTTAAAAACAAAGACTTTGTATGATGTAACTGTATATAGCTGCACTATATTCCTCGCTCCTTACCTTGACAAAGCGGAGGCTTGAATCCAGCAACACATGTCTGACACTCCCCGTCAGTTTTGTCACATGGCTGTCCACCCTGACACCTCCCACATCTGCCTGTACAGTTGAAGCCGTAGGTCCCGTCCTGGCACGCTGTGAAATGAAAAGTCATTGATAGCTAAATCACAAAGTCATGGGTCATCTGATGAATCAATAGTGCAGGGCAAATCTGTGCTTCGGTACACGTCACATGGGATTAGAGCAAACTATATATATTTCTTTTCTAAGATCCCGAACCTAAAACTATCCTGATGTTTTATAAGAGATGGTTGTGGAATTAAACCCGAAAGAAGATGCGCTGTAAACTGGAACAGGGCGGACTATAAAGTCATTCTGCTAAATTGGGAAATTGAGAAACAATGGTTTAAACAAAATCGGGTTAAATAAGTCACATTGTAATATCCGTTCAGAGTGATTATACATAACCTTGTGCAGCAAGAAGTATTAAAAATTGTTATTTTTCTGGAGGTTGTTTTCTTTTAGTTTAATAACATCAATCGTCACATTACGCAAGAGCATTGTGGGGCCATGTAAACATGTGACCAAAGTTTGGTGTTACTAGTTATTGTGGGTTGAGATGGGTTTTTTAAAAGTTATTTTAGCAACAAGTCACGACATGATAACCGATAAATGCAACTGATGTAATTGAAACAAATATTTGAAACGTATGATTTATCGTAAACTAGTATTATGACGTTGCACCTTCATTGTGACCCAGGGGATACGTCGTTGTAGTGAAATTTAAAGAAAAGCCTAATAGCAATGATCCGTGGTTCCTCAATTCACAAAAGTGTTAAATAATGTCTTTTAGTTAACATTTATCATGTTTTTCAGCCCAAAATGTATTTTCACACATGCTTTGAACCTTGTACTGAATACAACTCTCTTCTACATAATGAGCGTATGTTACATGGGTTTGGCAGCTGGAGGTGGTCATCACAATGACCACACTACTCACGTGTATTACAGTCCAGTCCTGTCCATCCGTCTTCACATTCAGAGTCACACTGACCTGTCCTCTTGTCACACACTTCCTGCCTGTCCTTACATCTACACTCAATGTCACATTGGTCACCGAACCTGTAGTCACTACACTCTGGAACGTCACACAACATTCAACAATCCACGCGAGTGGCCTCATGAAGCGTGTGTTCCAAGTACTTTCAACCAAAAGACATTACAAAAGAGTTGCAGGTTCGTGTGTATTTGACAATAATTATTCAACTATTCCCCAATGCTACTATCTACTTCACACATAATGGACTCCCTGTTCTGTGGAAACCAAAGTACTGATAAAGAAATGAAAGCTGTCCGGATCTTTTCTCTATCCCAGTAATAAGCGGTGCCGTGAATTGAAAATCATGGAACAGGTTTTACTGGCGGGATCCAACCATTGTAGACAAAATGTAAAGGGTCCAAAGGAAATATTTGTATTAGATACGCATCTAATTTGTGAATGTATAGAATATTTTTAGATGAGCAGAGAAACAAACACAGTCATGGAAAACACATTTGAATAGTATAACGTGTGGGTTAAGTTAAGTGACGACTGTATATGTTTGTGGTAGCTAGCCTGTTGGTGCAGAAATACCAAGTGCAAACACAGCTTCTACAAACACAATCAGGCAGTATAGACAGTCACATCTCCCTACTTGACATACTAGATGCATGCTATCTCGATTCCATAACAGGTATAATTAAACAAACTTTACAATTGTTATAGTGGGTTGTAGATACATTAGGGTACAGAAACATAAAAAAAAATATTCCAAAATATTGTACCGTGATTTCTTTGAAGCAAAATTGCTTTTATTTAAGTGAAAGTGAAAGACAAACGATCTGGTTACCTTGGTCACACGTCATCCCTTGCCATCCTGGTTCACATCCATCCGGGCACTCGCCTGACGTGTTGTTGCAGGTGGCGTTGTCACGACAATGGCCACATCTAGAGCTGCATTGCTCCCCATAGAAGTAGTCCTCACACTCTGCATGACAGACAGTTACTTTACATTGTGGACATAGTACTCCTAGACGAAAGTAGGCATACCTTCACAAACCGATTCCATGAATTGATTATTAAACGGATAGTGTGAATAATATCCTGCAATCTTGATGCACTTTATTTGCAGCTCCTTACCTTGACAAAACGGTGGCTTGAATCCGGGGGCACATGTTTGACACTCTCCTCCTATTTTGTCACATGGCTGTCCACCCTGACACCTCCCACATCTGCCTGTACAGTTGAAGCCGTAGGTCCCGTCCTGGCATGCTGTGAAAATTACATCAGAATAACCGTGGAGGGAGGATCCAATATTACAGGTGCAAAACGTAGGTGATAATCAATATGTAGTTATGTTACTGGTCCTTCGGCAAAAGGTCTTTGACTTTATCCTTTGGAGTTAACGTTAAATATCAAAAGATACCATTTTGTTTTCTCCAATATATTGGTGAATCGTATGTCAATACGATGAAAGTCACAATTGTTTATTCATAGTAATTAGTCATAAAAGATTGTGTACATGTAACTGTCTTCTATAAATAAATACCGAAGATGCACTTAGTATGAAACTAGTTCTGAAATATTTCAGGTATTTCACAGATACGTGTATAATAAGTGGGTCTGACAGCTGACGGTGATCACAATGACCACACTACTCACGTGTCTGACAGTCCAGTCCTGTCCATCCGTCTTCACATCCAGAGTCACACTGACCTGTCCTCTTGTCACACACTTCCTGCCTGTCCTTACATCTACACTCAATGTCACACTGGTCACCGAACCTGTAGTCACTGCACTCTGGAACGTCACACAACATTCAACAATCCACGCGAGTGGCCTCATGAAGCGTGTGTTTCAAGTACTTTCAACCAAAAGACATTACAAAAGTGTTGCAGGTTCGTGTGTATTTGACAATAATTATTCAACTATTCCCCAATGCTACTATCTACTTCACACATAATGGACTCCTGTTCTGTGGAAACCAAAGTACTGATAAAGAAATGAAAGCTGTCCGGATCTCTTCTCTATCCCAGTAATAAGCGGTGCCGTGAATTGAAAATCATGGAACAGGTTTTACTGGCGGGATCCAACCATTGTAGACAAAATGTAAAGGGTCCAAAGGAAATATTTGTATTAGATACGCATCTAATTTGTGAATGTATAGAATATTTTTAGATGAGCAGAGAAACAAACACAGTCATGGAAAACACATTTGAATAGTATAACGTGTGGGTTAAGTTAAGTGACGACTGTATATGTTTGTGGTAGCTAGCCTGTTGGTGCAGAAATACCAAGTGCAAACACAGCTTCTACAAACACAATCAGGCAGTATAGACAGTCACATCTCCCTACTTGACATACTAGATGCATGCTATCTCGATTCCATAACAGGTATAATTAAACAAACTTTACAATTGTTATAGTGGGTTGTAGATACATTAGGGTACAGAAACATAAAAAAAATATTCCAAAATATTGTACCGTGATTTTTTTGAAGCAAAATTGCTTTTATTTAAGTGAAAGTGAAAGACAAACGATCTGGTTACCTTGGTCACACGTCATCCCTTGCCATCCTGGTTCACATCCATCCGGGCACTCGCCTGACGTGTTGTTGCAGGTGGCGTTGTCACGACAATGGCCACATCTAGAGCTGCATTGTTCCCCATAGAAGTAGTCCTCACACTCTGCATGACAGACAGTTACTTTACATTGTGGACATAGTACTCCTAGACGAAAGTAGGCATACCTTCACAAAACCGATTCCATGAATTGATTATTAAACGGATAGTGTGAATAATATCCTGCAATCTTGATGCACTTTATTTGCAGCTCCTTACCTTGACAAAACGGTGGCTTGAATCCGGGGGCACATGTTTGACACTCTCCTCCTATTTTGTCACATGGCTGTCCACCCTGACACCTCCCACATCTGCCTGTACAGTTGAAGCCGTAGGTCCCGTCCTGGCACGCTGTGAAAATTACATCAGAATAACCGTGGAGGAGGGATCCAATATTACAGGTGCAAAACGTAGGTGATAATCAATATGTAGTTATGTTACTGGTCCTTCGGCAAAAGGTCTTTGACTTTATCCTTTGGAGTTAACGTTAAATATCAAAAGATACCATTTTGTTTTCTCCAATATATTGGTGAATCGTATGTCAATACGATGAAAGTCACAATTGTTTATTCATAGTAATTAGTCATAAAAGATTGTGTACATGTAACTGTCTTCTATAAATAAATACCGAAGATGCACTTAGTATGAAACTAGTTCTGAAATATTTCAGGTATTTCACAGATACGTGTATAATAAGTGGGTCTGACAGCTGACGGTGATCACAATGACCACACTACTCACGTGTCTGACAGTCCAGTCCTGTCCATCCGTCTTCACATCCAGAGTCACACTGACCTGTCCTCTTGTCACACACTTCCTGCCTGTCCTTACATCTACACTCAATGTCACACTGGTCACCGAACCTGTAGTCACTGCACTCTGGAACGTCACACAACATTCAACAATCCACGCGAGTGGCCTCATGAAGCGTGTGTTTCAAGTACTTTCAACCAAAAGACATTACAAAAGTGTTGCAGGTTCGTGTGTATTTGACAATAATTATTCAACTATTCCCCAATGCTACTATCTACTTCACACATAATGGACTCCCCTGTTCTGTGGAAACCAAAGTACTGATAAAGAAATGAAAGCTGTCCGGATCTTTCTCTATCCCAGTAATAAGCGGTGCCGTGAATTGAAAATCATGGAACAGGTTTTACTGGCGGGATCCAACCATTGTAGACAAAATGTAAAGGGTCCAAAGGAAATATTTGTATTAGATACGCATCTAATTTGTGAATGTATAGAATATTTTTAGATGAGCAGAGAAACAAACACAGTCATGGAAAACACATTTGAATAGTATAACGTGTGGGGTTAAGTTAAGTGACGACTGTATATGTTTGTGGTAGCTAGCCTGTTGGTGCAGAAATACCAAGTGCAAACACAGCTTCTACAAACACAATCAGGCAGTATAGACAGTCACATCTCCCTACTTGACATACTAGATGCATGCTATCTCGATTCCATAACAGGTATAATTAAACAAACTTTACAATTGTTATAGTGGGTTGTAGATACATTAGGGTACAGAAACATAAAAACAATATTCCAAAATATTGTACCGTGATTTTTTTGAAGCAAAATTGCTTTTATTTAAGTGAAAGTGAAAGACAAACGATCTGGTTACCTTGGTCACACGTCATCCCTTGCCATCCTGGTTCACATCCATCCGGGCACTCGCCTGACGTGTTGTTGCAGGTGGCGTTGTCACGACAATGGCCACATCTAGAGCTGCATTGCTCCCCATAGAAGTAGTCCTCACACTCTGCATGACAGACAGTTACTTTACATTGTGGACATAGTACTCCTAGACGAAAGTAGGCATACCTTCACAAACCGATTCCATGAATTGATTATTAAACGGATAGTGTGAATAATATCCTGCAATCTTGATGCACTTTATTTGCAGCTCCTTACCTTGACAAAACGGTGGCTTGAATCCGGGGGCACATGTTTGACACTCTCCTCCTATTTTGTCACATGGCTGTCCACCCTGACACCTCCCACATCTGCCTGTACAGTTGAAGCCGTAGGTCCCGTCCTGGCATGCTGTGAAAATTACATCAGAATAACCGTGGAGGGAGGATCCAATATTACAGGTGCAAAACGTAGGTGATAATCAATATGTAGTTATGTTACTGGTCCTTCGGCAAAAGGTCTTTGACTTTATCCTTTGGAGTTAACGTTAAATATCAAAAGATACCATTTTGTTTTCTCCAATATATTGGTGAATCGTATGTCAATACGATGAAAGTCACAATTGTTTATTCATAGTAATTAGTCATAAAAGATTGTGTACATGTAACTGTCTTCTATAAATAAATACCGAAGATGCACTTAGTATGAAACTAGTTCTGAAATATTTCAGGTATTTCACAGATACGTGTATAATAAGTGGGTCTGACAGCTGACGGTGATCACAATGACCACACTACTCACGTGTCTGACAGTCCAGTCCTGTCCATCCGTCTTCACATCCAGAGTCACACTGACCTGTCCTCTTGTCACACACTTCCTGCCTGTCCTTACATCTACACTCAATGTCACACTGGTCACCGAACCTGTAGTCACTGCACTCTGGAACGTCACACAACATTCAACAATCCACGCGAGTGGCCTCATGAAGCGTGTGTTTCCAAGTACTTTCAACCAAAAGACATTACAAAAGTGTTGCAGGTTCGTGTGTATTTGACAATAATTATTCAACTATTCCCCAATGCTACTATCTACTTCACACATAATGGACTCCCTGTTCTGTGGAAACCAAAGTACTGATAAAGAAATGAAAGCTGTCCGGATCTCTTCTCTATCCCAGTAATAAGCGGTGCCGTGAATTGAAAATCATGGAACAGGTTTTACTGGCGGGATCCAACCATTGTAGACAAAATGTAAAGGGTCCAAAGGAAATATTTGTATTAGATACGCATCTAATTTGTGAATGTATAGAATATTTTTAGATGAGCAGAGAAACAAACACAGTCATGGAAAACACATTTGAATAGTATAACGTGTGGGTTAAGTTAAGTGACGACTGTATATGTTTGTGGTAGCTAGCCTGTTGGTGCAGAAATACCAAGTGCAAACACAGCTTCTACAAACACAATCAGGCAGTATAGACAGTCACATCTCCCTACTTGACATACTAGATGCATGCTATCTCGATTCCATAACAGGTATAATTAAACAAACTTTACAATTGTTATAGTGGGTTGTAGATACATTAGGGTACAGAAACATAAAAAAAATATTCCAAAATATTGTACCGTGATTTTTTTGAAGCAAAATTGCTTTTATTTAAGTGAAAGTGAAAGACAAACGATCTGGTTACCTTGGTCACACGTCATCCCTTGCCATCCTGGTTCACATCCATCCGGGCACTCGCCTGACGTGTTGTTGCAGGTGGCGTTGTCACGACAATGGCCACATCTAGAGCTGCATTGCTCCCCATAGAAGTAGTCCTCACACTCTGCATGACAGACAGTTACTTTACATTGTGGACATAGTACTCCTAGACGAAAGTAGGCATACCTTCACAAACCGATTCCATGAATTGATTATTAAACGGATATTGCGAATAATATGCTGCAATCTTGATGCACTTTATTTGCAGCTCCTTACCTTGACAAAACGGTGGCTTGAATCCGGGGGGCACATGTTTGACACTCTCCTCCTATTTTGTCACATGGCTGTCCACCCTGACACCTCCCACATCTGCCTGTACAGTTGAAGCCGTAGGTCCCGTCCTGGCACGCTGTGAAAATTACATCAGAATATCCGTGGAGGGAGGATCCAATATTACAGGTGCAAAACGTAGGTGATAATCAATATGTAGTTATGTTACTGGTCCTTCGGCAAAAGGTCTTTGACTTTATCCTTTGGAGTTAACGTTAAATATCAAAAGATACCATTTTGTTTTCTCCAATATATTGGTGAATCGTATGTCAATACGATGAAAGTCACAATTGTTTATTCATAGTAATTAGTCATAAAAGATTGTGTACATGTAACTGTCTTCTATAAATAAATACCGAAGATGCACTTAGTATGAAACTAGTTCTGAAATATTTCAGGTATTTCACAGATACGTGTATAATAAGTGGGTCTGACAGCTGACGGTGATCACAATGACCACACTACTCACGTGTCTGACAGTCCAGTCCTGTCCATCCGTCTTCACATCCAGAGTCACACTGACCTGTCCTCTTGTCACACACTTCCTGCCTGTCCTTACATCTACACTCAATGTCACACTGGTCACCGAACCTGTAGTCACTGCACTCTGGAACGTCACACAACATTCAACAATCCACGCGAGTGGCCTCATGAAGCGTGTGTTCCAAGTACTTTCAACCAAAAGACATTACAAAAGTGTTGCAGGTTCGTGTGTATTTGACAATAATTATTCAACTATTCCCCAATGCTACTATCTACTTCACACATAATGGACTCCCTGTTCTGTGGAAACCAAAGTACTGATAAAGAAATGAAAGCTGTCCGATCTCTTCTCTATCCCAGTAATAAGCGGTGCCGTGAATTGAAAATCATGGAACAGGTTTTACTGGCGGGATCCAACCATTGTAGACAAAATGTAAAGGGTCCAAAGGAAATATTTGTATTAGATACGCATCTAATTTGTGAATGTATAGAATATTTTTAGATGAGCAGAGAAACAAACACAGTCATGGAAAACACATTTGAATAGTATAACGTGTGGGTTAAGTTAAGTGACGACTGTATATGTTTGTGGTAGCTAGCCTGTTGGTGCAGAAATACCAAGTGCAAACACAGCTTCTACAAACACAATCAGGCAGTATAGACAGTCACATCTCCCTACTTGACATACTAGATGCATGCTATCTCGATTCCATAACAGGTATAATTAAACAAACTTTACAATTGTTATAGTGGGTTGTAGATACATTAGGGTACAGAAATATAAAAAAATATTCCAAAATATTGTACCGTGATTTTTTGAAGCAAAATTGCTTTTATTTAAGTGAAAGTGAAAGACAAACGATCTGGTTACCTTGGTCACACGTCATCCCTTGCCATCCTGGTTCACATCCATCCGGGCACTCGCCTGACGTGTTGTTGCAGGTGGCGTTGTCACGACAATGGCCACATCTAGAGCTGCATTGCTCCCCATAGAAGTAGTCCTCACACTCTGCATGACAGACAGTTACTTTACATTGTGGACATAGTACTCCTAGACGAAAGTAGGCATACCTTCACAAACCGATTCCATGAATTGATTATTAAACGGATAGTGTGAATAATATCCTGCAATCTTGATGCACTTTATTTGCAGCTCCTTACCTTGACAAAACGGTGGCTTGAATCCGGGGCACATGTTTGACACTCTCCTCCTATTTTGTCACATGGCTGTCCACCCTGACACCTCCCACATCTGCCTGTACAGTTGAAGCCGTAGGTCCCGTCCTGGCACGCTGTGAAAATTACATCAGAATAACCGTGGAGGGAGGATCCAATATTACAGGTGCAAAACGTAGGTGATAATCAATATGTAGTTATGTTACTGGTCCTTCGGCAAAAGGTCTTTGACTTTATCCTTTGGAGTTAACGTTAAATATCAAAAGATACCATTTTGTTTTCTCCAATATATTGGTGAATCGTATGTCAATACGATGAAAGTCACAATTGTTTATTCATAGTAATTAGTCATAAAAGATTGTGTACATGTAACTGTCTTCTATAAATAAATACCGAAGATGCACTTAGTATGAAACTAGTTCTGAAATATTTCAGGTATTTCACAGATACGTGTATAATAAGTGGGTCTGACAGCTGACGGTGATCACAATGACCACACTACTCACGTGTCTGACAGTCCAGTCCTGTCCATCCGTCTTCACATCCAGAGTCACACTGACCTGTCCTCTTGTCACACACTTCCTGCCTGTCCTTACATCTACACTCAATGTCACACTGGTCACCGAACCTGTAGTCACTGCACTCTGGAACGTCACACAACATTCAACAATCCACGCGAGTGGCCTCATGAAGCGTGTGTTCCAAGTACTTTCAACCAAAAGACATTACAAAAGTGTTGCAGGTTCGTGTGTATTTGACAATAATTATTACACTATTCCCCAATGCTACTATCTACTTCACACATAATGGACTCCTGTTCTGTGGAAACCAAAGTACTGATAAAGAAATGAAAGCTGTCCGGATCTTTCTCTATCCCAGTAATAAGCGGTGCCGTGAATTGAAAATCATGGAACAGGTTTTACTGGCGGGATCCAACCATTGTAGACAAAATGTAAAGGGTCCAAAGGAAATATTTGTATTAGATACGCATCTAATTTGTGAATGTATAGAATATTTTTTAGATGAGCAGAGAAACAAACACAGTCATGGAAAACACATTTGAATAGTATAACGTGTGGGTTAAGTTAAGTGACGACTGTATATGTTTGTGGTAGCTAGCCTGTTGGTGCAGAAATACCAAGTGCAAACACAGCTTCTACAAACACAATCAGGCAGTATAGACAGTCACATCTCCCTACTTGACATACTAGATGCATGCTATCTCGATTCCATAACAGGTATAATTAAACAAACTTTACAATTGTTATAGTGGGTTGTAGATACATTAGGGTACAGAAACATAAAAAAAATATTCCAAAATATTGTACCGTGATTTTTTTGAAGCAAAATTGCTTTTATTTAAGTGAAAGTGAAAGACAAACGATCTGGTTACCTTGGTCACACGTCATCCCTTGCCATCCTGGTTCACATCCATCCGGGCACTCGCCTGACGTGTTGTTGCAGGTGGCGTTGTCACGACAATGGCCACATCTAGAGCTGCATTGCTCCCCATAGAAGTAGTCCTCACACTCTGCATGACAGACAGTTACTTTACATTGTGGACATAGTACTCCTAGACGAAAGTAGGCATACCTTCACAAAGCGATTCCATGAATTGATTATTAAACGGATAGTGCGAATAATATCCTGCAATCTTGATGCACTTTATTTGCAGCTCCTTACCTTGACAAAACGGTGGCTTGAATCCGGGGGCACATGTTTGACACTCTCCTCCTATTTTGTCACATGGCTGTCCACCCTGACACCTCCCACATCTGCCTGTACAGTTGAAGCCGTAGGTCCCGTCCTGGCACGCTGTGAAAATTACATCAGAATAACCGTGGAGGGAGGTTCCAATATTACAGGTGCAAAACGTAGGTGATAATCAATATGTAGTTATGTTACTGGTCCTTCGGCAAAAGGTCTTTGACTTTATCCTTTGGAGTTAACGTTAAATATCAAAAGATACCATTTTGTTTTCTCCAATATATTGGTGAATCGTATGTCAATACGATGAAAGTCACAATTGTTTATTCATAGTAATTAGTCATAAAAGATTGTGTACATGTAACTGTCTTCTATAAATAAATACCGAAGATGCACTTAGTATGAAACTAGTTCTGAAATATTTCAGGTATTTCACAGATACGTGTATAATAAGTGGGTCTGACAGCTGACGGTGATCACAATGACCACACTACTCACGTGTCTGACAGTCCAGTCCTGTCCATCCGTCTTCACATCCAGAGTCACACTGACCTGTCCTCTTGTCACACACTTCCTGCCTGTCCTTACATCTACACTCAATGTCACACTGGTCACCGAACCTGTAGTCACTGCACTCTGGAACGTCACACAACATTCAACAATCCACGCGAGTGGCCTCATGAAGCGTGTGTTCCAAGTACTTTCAACCAAAAGACATTACAAAAGTGTTGCAGGTTCGTGTGTATTTGACAATAATTATTCAACTATTCCCCAATGCTACTATCTACTTCACACATAATGGACTCCTGTTCTGTGGAAACCAAAGTACTGATAAAGAAATGAAAGCTGTCGGATCTTTTCTCTATCCCAGTAATAAGCGGTGCCGTGAATTGAAAATCATGGAACAGGTTTTACTGGCGGGATCCAACCATTGTAGACAAAATGTAAAGGGTCCAAAGGAAATATTTGTATTAGATACGCATCTAATTTGTGAATGTATAGAATATTTTTAGATGAGCAGAGAAACAAACACAGTCATGGAAAACACATTTGAATAGTATAACGTGTGGGTTAAGTTAAGTGACGACTGTATATGTTTGTGGTAGCTAGCCTGTTGGTGCAGAAATACCAAGTGCAAACACAGCTTCTACAAACACAATCAGGCAGTATAGAGACAGTCACATCTCCCTACTTGACATACTAGATGCATGCTATCTCGATTCCATAACAGGTATAATTAAACAAACTTTACAATTGTTATAGTGGGTTGTAGATACATTAGGGTACAGAAACATAAAAAAATATTCCAAAATATTGTACCGTGATTTTTTGAAGCAAAATTGCTTTTATTTAAGTGAAAGTGAAAGACAAACGATCTGGTTACCTTGGTCACACGTCATCCCTTGCCATCCTGGTTCACATCCATCCGGGCACTCGCCTGACGTGTTGTTGCAGGTGGCGTTGTCACGACAATGGCCACATCTAGAGCTGCATTGTTCCCCATAGAAGTAGTCCTCACACTCTGCATGACAGACAGTTACTTTACATTGTGGACATAGTACTCCTAGACGAAAGTAGGCATACCTTCACAAACCGATTCCATGAATTGATTATTAAACGGATAGTGTGAATAATATCCTGCAATCTTGATGCACTTTATTTGCAGCTCCTTACCTTGACAAAACGGTGGCTTGAATCCGGGGCACATGTTTGACACTCTCCTCCTATTTTGTCACATGGCTGTCCACCCTGACACCTCCCACATCTGCCTGTACAGTTGAAGCCGTAGGTCCCGTCCTGGCACGCTGTGAAAATTACATCAGAATAACCGTGGAGGGAGGATCCAATATTACAGGTGCAAAACGTAGGTGATAATCAATATGTAGTTATGTTACTGGTCCTTCGGCAAAAGGTCTTTGACTTTATCCTTTGAGTTAACGTTAAATATCAAAAGATACCATTTTGTTTTCTCCAATATATTGGTGAATCGTATGTCAATACGATGAAAGTCACAATTGTTTATTCATAGTAATTAGTCATAAAAGATTGTGTACATGTAACTGTCTTCTATAAATAAATACCGAAGATGCACTTAGTATGAAACTAGTTCTGAAATATTTCAGGTATTTCACAGATACGTGTATAATAAGTGGGTCTGACAGCTGACGGTGATCACAATGACCACACTACTCACGTGTCTGACAGTCCAGTCCTGTCCATCCGTCTTCACATCCAGAGTCACACTGACCTGTCCTCTTGTCACACACTTCCTGCCTGTCCTTACATCTACACTCAATGTCACACTGGTCACCGAACCTGTAGTCACTGCACTCTGGAACGTCACACAACATTCAACAATCCACGCGAGTGGCCTCATGAAGCGTGTGTTCCAAGTACTTTCAACCAAAAGACATTACAAAAGTGTTGCAGGTTCGTGTGTATTTGACAATAATTATTCAACTATTCCCCAATGCTACTATCTACTTCACACATAATGGACTCCCTGTTCTGTGGAAACCAAAGTACTGATAAAGAAATGAAAGCTGTCCGGATCTCTTCTCTATCCCAGTAATAAGCGGTGCCGTGAATTGAAAATCATGGAACAGGTTTTACTGGCGGGATCCAACCATTGTAGACAAAATGTAAAGGGTCCAAAGGAAATATTTGTATTAGATACGCATCTAATTTGTGAATGTATAGAATATTTTTAGATGAGCAGAGAAACAAACACAGTCATGGAAAACACATTTGAATAGTATAACGTGTGGGTTAAGTTAAGTGACGACTGTATATGTTTGTGGTAGCTAGCCTGTTGGTGCAGAAATACCAAGTGCAAACACAGCTTCTACAAACACAATCAGGCAGTATAGACAGTCACATCTCCCTACTTGACATACTAGATGCATGCTATCTCGATTCCATAACAGGTATAATTAAACAAACTTTACAATTGTTATAGTGGGTTGTAGATACATTAGGGTACAGAAACATAAAAAAAATATTCCAAAATATTGTACCGTGATTTTTTTGAAGCAAAATTGCTTTTATTTAAGTGAAAGTGAAAGACAAACGATCTGGTTACCTTGGTCACACGTCATCCCTTGCCATCCTGGTTCACATCCATCCGGGCACTCGCCTGACGTGTTGTTGCAGGTGGCGTTGTCACGACAATGGCCACATCTAGAGCTGCATTGCTCCCAATAGAAGTAGTCCTCACACTCTGCATGACAGACAGTTACTTTACATTGTGGACATAGTACTCCTAGACGAAAGTAGGCATACCTTCACAAACCGATTCCATGAATTGATTATTAAACGGATAGTGTGAATAATATCCTGCAATCTTGATGCACTTTATTTGCAGCTCCTTACCTTGACAAAACGGTGGCTTGAATCCGGGGCACATGTTTGACACTCTCCTCCTATTTTGTCACATGGCTGTCCACCCTGACACCTCCCACATCTGCCTGTACAGTTGAAGCCGTAGGTCCCGTCCTGGCACGCTGTGAAAATTACATCAGAATATCCGTGGAGGGAGGATCCAATATTACAGGTGCAAAACGTAGGTGATAATCAATATGTAGTTATGTTACTGGTCCTTCGGCAAAAGGTCTTTGACTTTATCCTTTGGAGTTAACGTTAAATATCAAAAGATACCATTTTGTTTTCTCCAATATATTGGTGAATCGTATGTCAATACGATGAAAGTCACAATTGTTTATTCATAGTAATTAGTCATAAAAGATTGTGTACATGTAACTGTCTTCTATAAATAAATACCGAAGATGCACTTAGTATGAAACTAGTTCTGAAATATTTCAGGTATTTCACAGATACGTGTATAATAAGTGGGTCTGACAGCTGACGGTGATCACAATGACCACACTACTCACGTGTCTGACAGTCCAGTCCTGTCCATCCGTCTTCACATCCAGAGTCACACTGACCTGTCCTCTTGTCACACACTTCCTGCCTGTCCTTACATCTACACTCAATGTCACACTGGTCACCGAACCTGTAGTCACTGCACTCTGGAACGTCACACAACATTCAACAATCCACGCGAGTGGCCTCATGAAGCGTGTGTTCCAAGTACTTTCAACCAAAAGACATTACAAAAGTGTTGCAGGTTCGTGTGTATTTGACAATAATTATTCAACTATTCCCCAATGCTACTATCTACTTCACACATAATGGACTCCCTGTTCTGTGGAAACCAAAGTACTGATAAAGAAATGAAAGCTGTCCGGATCTTTTCTCTATCCCAGTAATAAGCGGTGCCGTGAATTGAAAATCATGGAACAGGTTTTACTGGCGGGATCCAACCATTGTAGACAAAATGTAAAGGGTCCAAAGGAAATATTTGTATTAGATACGCATCTAATTTGTGAATGTATAGAATATTTTTAGATGAGCAGAGAAACAAACACAGTCATGGAAAACACATTTGAATAGTATAACGTGTGGGTTAAGTTAAGTGACGACTGTATATGTTTGTGGTAGCTAGCCTGTTGGTGCAGAAATACCAAGTGCAAACACAGCTTCTACAAACACAATCAGGCAGTATAGACAGTCACATCTCCCTACTTGACATACTAGATGCATGCTATCTCGATTCCATAACAGGTATAATTAAACAAACTTTACAATTGTTATAGTGGGTTGTAGATACATTAGGGTACAGAAACATAAAAAAAATATTCCAAAATATTGTACCGTGATTTTTTTGAAGCAAAATTGCTTTTATTTAAGTGAAAGTGAAAGACAAACGATCTGGTTACCTTGGTCACACGTCATCCCTTGCCATCCTGGTTCACATCCATCCGGGCACTCGCCTGACGTGTTGTTGCAGGTGGCGTTGTCACGACAATGGCCACATCTAGAGCTGCATTGCTCCCCATAGAAGTAGTCCTCACACTCTGCATGACAGACAGTTACTTTACATTGTGGACATAGTACTCCTAGACGAAAGTAGGCATACCTTCACAAACCGATTCCATGAATTGATTATTAAACGGATAGTGTGAATAATATCCTGCAATCTTGATGCACTTTATTTGCAGCTCCTTACCTTGACAAAACGGTGGCTTGAATCCGGGGGCACATGTTTGACACTCTCCTCCTATTTTGTCACATGGCTGTCCACCCTGACACCTCCCACATCTGCCTGTACAGTTGAAGCCGTAGGTCCCGTCCTGGCACGCTGTGAAAATTACATCAGAATATCCGTGGAGGGAGGTTCCAATATTACAGGTGCAAAACGTAGGTGATAATCAATATGTAGTTATGTTACTGGTGCTTCGGCAAAAGGTCTTTGACTTTATCCTTTGGAGTTAACGTTAAATATCAAAAGATACCATTTTGTTTTCTCCAATATATTGGTGAATCGTATGTCAATACGATGAAAGTCACAATTGTTTATTCATAGTAATTAGTCATAAAAGATTGTGTACATGTAACTGTCTTCTATAAATAAATACCGAAGATGCACTTAGTATGAAACTAGTTCTGAAATATTTCAGGTATTTCACAGATACGTGTATAATAAGTGGGTCTGGCAGCTGACGGTGATCACAATGACCACACTACTCACGTGTCTGACAGTCCAGTCCTGTCCATCCGTCTTCACATCCAGAGTCACACTGACCTGTCCTCTTGTCACACACTTCCTGCCTGTCCTTACATCTACACTCAATGTCACACTGGTCACCGAACCTGTAGTCACTGCACTCTGGAACGTCACACAACATTCAACAATCCACGCGAGTGGCCTCATGAAGCGTGTGTTCCAAGTACTTTCAACCAAAAGACATTACAAAAGAGTTACAGGTTCGTGTGTATTTGACAATAATTATTCAACTATTCCCCAATGCTACTATCTACTTCACACATAATGGACTCCCCTGTTCTGTGGAAACCAAAGTACTGATAAAGAAATGAAAGCTGTCCGGATCTTTTCTCTATCCCAGTAATAAGCGGTGCCGTGAATTGAAAATCATGGAACAGGTTTTACTGGCGGGATCCAACCATTGTAGACAAAATGTAAAGGGTCCAAAGGAAATATTTGTATTAGATACGCATCTAATTTGTGAATGTATAGAATATTTTTAGATGAGCAGAGAAACAAACACAGTCATGGAAAACACATTTGAATAGTATAACGTGTGGGTTAAGTTAAGTGACGACTGTATATGTTTGTGGTAGCTAGCCTGTTGGTGCAGAAATACCAAGTGCAAACACAGCTTCTACAAACACAATCAGGCAGTATAGACAGTCACATCTCCCTACTTGACATACTAGATGCATGCTATCTCGATTCCATAACAGGTATAATTAAACAAACTTTACAATTGTTATAGTGGGTTGTAGATACATTAGGGTACAGAAACATAAAAAAAAATATTCCAAAATATTGTACCGTGATTTTTTGAAGCAAAATTGCTTTTATTTAAGTGAAAGTGAAAGACAAACGATCTGGTTACCTTGGTCACACGTCATCCCTTGCCATCCTGGTTCACATCCATCCGGGCACTCGCCTGACGTGTTGTTGCAGGTGGCGTTGTCACGACAATGGCCACATCTAGAGCTGCATTGCTCCCCATAGAAGTAGTCCTCACACTCTGCATGACAGACAGTTACTTTACATTGTGGACATAGTACTCCTAGACGAAAGTAGGCATACCTTCACAAACCGATTCCATGAATTGATTATTAAACGGATAGTGTGAATAATATCCTGCAATCTTGATGCACTTTATTTGCAGCTCCTTACCTTGACAAAACGGTGGCTTGAATCCGGGGCACATGTTTGACACTCTCCTCCTATTTTGTCACATGGCTGTCCACCCTGACACCTCCCACATCTGCCTGTACAGTTGAAGCCGTAGGTCCCGTCCTGGCACGCTGTGAAAATTACATCAGAATATCCGTGGAGGGAGGATCCAATATTACAGGTGCAAAACGTAGGTGATAATCAATATGTAGTTATGTTACTGGTCCTTCGGCAAAAGGTCTTTGACTTTATCCTTTGGAGTTAACGTTAAATATCAAAAGATACCATTTTGTTTTCTCCAATATATTGGTGAATCGTATGTCAATACGATGAAAGTCACAATTGTTTATTCATAGTAATTAGTCATAAAAGATTGTGTACATGTAACTGTCTTCTATAAATAAATACCGAAGATGCACTTAGTATGAAACTAGTTCTGAAATATTTCAGGTATTTCACAGATACGTGTATAATAAGTGGGTCTGACAGCTGACGGTGATCACAATGACCACACTACTCACGTGTCTGACAGTCCAGTCCTGTCCATCCGTCTTCACATCCAGAGTCACACTGACCTGTCCTCTTGTCACACACTTCCTGCCTGTCCTTACATCTACACTCAATGTCACACTGGTCACCGAACCTGTAGTCACTGCACTCTGGAACGTCACACAACATTCAACAATCCACGCGAGTGGCCTCATGAAGCGTGTGTTCCAAGTACTTTCAACCAAAAGACATTACAAAAGTGTTGCAGGTTCGTGTGTATTTGACAATAATTATTCAACTATTCCCCAATGCTACTATCTACTTCACACATAATGGACTCCCTGTTCTGTGGAAACCAAAGTACTGATAAAGAAATGAAAGCTGTCCGGATCTTTTCTCTATCCCAGTAATAAGCGGTGCCGTGAATTGAAAATCATGGAACAGGTTTTACTGGCGGGATCCAACCATTGTAGACAAAATGTAAAGGGTCCAAAGGAAATATTTGTATTAGATACGCATCTAATTTGTGAATGTATAGAATATTTTTAGATGAGCAGAGAAACAAACACAGTCATGGAAAACACATTTGAATAGTATAACGTGTGGGTTAAGTTAAGTGACGACTGTATATGTTTGTGGTAGCTAGCCTGTTGGTGCAGAAATACCAAGTGCAAACACAGCTTCTACAAACACAATCAGGCAGTATAGACAGTCACATCTCCCTACTTGACATACTAGATGCATGCTATCTCGATTCCATAACAGGTATAATTAAACAAACTTTACAATTGTTATAGTGGGTTGTAGATACATTAGGGTACAGAAACATAAAAAAAATATTCCAAAATATTGTACCGTGATTTTTTTTGAAGCAAAATTGCTTTTATTTAAGTGAAAGTGAAAGACAAACGATCTGGTTACCTTGGTCACACGTCATCCCTTGCCATCCTGGTTCACATCCATCCGGGCACTCGCCTGACGTGTTGTTGCAGGTGGCGTTGTCACGACAATGGCCACATCTAGAGCTGCATTGCTCCCCATAGAAGTAGTCCTCACACTCTGCATGACAGACAGTTACTTTACATTGTGGACATAGTACTCCTAGACGAAAGTAGGCATACCTTCACAAACCGATTCCATGAATTGATTATTAAACGGATAGTGTGAATAATATCCTGCAATCTTGATGCACTTTATTTGCAGCTCCTTACCTTGACAAAACGGTGGCTTGAATCCGGGGGCACATGTTTGACACTCTCCTCCTATTTTGTCACATGGCTGTCCACCCTGACACCTCCCACATCTGCCTGTACAGTTGAAGCCGTAGGTCCCGTCCTGGCACGCTGTGAAAATTACATCAGAATATCCGTGGAGGGAGGATCCAATATTACAGGTGCAAAACGTAGGTGATAATCAATATGTAGTTATGTTACTGGTCCTTCGGCAAAAGGTCTTTGACTTTATCCTTTGGAGTTAACGTTAAATATCAAAAGATACCATTTTGTTTTCTCCAATATATTGGTGAATCGTATGTCAATACGATGAAAGTCACAATTGTTTATTCATAGTAATTAGTCATAAAAGATTGTGTACATGTAACTGTCTTCTATAAATAAATACCGAAGATGCACTTAGTATGAAACTAGTTCTGAAATATTTCAGGTATTTCACAGATACGTGTATAATAAGTGGGTCTGACAGCTGACGGTGATCACAATGACCACACTACTCACGTGTCTGACAGTCCAGTCCTGTCCATCCGTCTTCACATCCAGAGTCACACTGACCTGTCCTCTTGTCACACACTTCCTGCCTGTCCTTACATCTACACTCAATGTCACACTGGTCACCGAACCTGTAGTCACTGCACTCTGGAACGTCACACAACATTCAACAATCCACGCGAGTGGCCTCATGAAGCGTGTGTTCCAAGTACTTTCAACCAAAAGACATTACAAAAGTGTTGCAGGTTCGTGTGTATTTGACAATAATTATTCAACTATTCCCCAATGCTACTATCTACTTCACACACATAATGGACTCCCTGTTCTGTGGAAACCAAAGTACTGATAAAGAAATGAAAGCTGTCCGATCTTTTCTCTATCCCAGTAATAAGCGGTGCCGTGAATTGAAAATCATGGAACAGGTTTTACTGGCGGGATCCAACCATTGTAGACAAAATGTAAAGGGTCCAAAGGAAATATTTGTATTAGATACGCATCTAATTTGTGAATGTATAGAATATTTTTAGATGAGCAGAGAAACAAACACAGTCATGGAAAACACATTTGAATAGTATAACGTGTGGGTTAAGTTAAGTGACGACTGTATATGTTTGTGGTAGCTAGCCTGTTGGTGCAGAAATACCAAGTGCAAACACAGCTTCTACAAACACAATCAGGCAGTATAGACAGTCACATCTCCTACTTGACATACTAGATGCATGCTATCTCGATTCCATAACAGGTATAATTAAACAAACTTTACAATTGTTATAGTGGGTTGTAGATACATTAGGGTACAGAAACATAAAAAAAATATTCCAAAATATTGTACCGTGATTTCTTTGAAGCAAAATTGCTTTTATTTAAGTGAAAGTGAAAGACAAACGATCTGGTTACCTTGGTCACACGTCATCCCTTGCCATCCTGGTTCACATCCATCCGGGCACTCGCCTGACGTGTTGTTGCAGGTGGCGTTGTCACGACAATGGCCACATCTAGAGCTGCATTGCTCCCCATAGAAGTAGTCCTCACACTCTGCATGACAGACAGTTACTTTACATTGTGGACATAGTACTCCTAGACGAAAGTAGGCATACCTTCACAAACCGATTCCATGAATTGATTATTAAACGGATAGTGTGAATAATATCCTGCAATCTTGATGCACTTTATTTGCAGCTCCTTACCTTGACAAAACGGTGGCTTGAATCCGGGGCACATGTTTGACACTCTCCTCCTATTTTGTCACATGGCTGTCCACCCTGACACCTCCCACATCTGCCTGTACAGTTGAAGCCGTAGGTCCCGTCCTGGCACGCTGTGAAAATTACATCAGAATATCCGTGGAGGGAGGATCCAATATTACAGGTGCAAAACGTAGGTGATAATCAATATGTAGTTATGTTACTGGTCCTTCGGCAAAAGGTCTTTGACTTTATCCTTTGGAGTTAACGTTAAATATCAAAAGATACCATTTTGTTTTCTCCAATATATTGGTGAATCGTATGTCAATACGATGAAAGTCACAATTGTTTATTCATAGTAATTAGTCATAAAAGATTGTGTACATGTAACTGTCTTCTATAAATAAATACCGAAGATGCACTTAGTATGAAACTAGTTCTGAAATATTTCTGGTATTTCACAGATACGTGTATAATAAGTGGGTCTGACAGCTGACGGTGATCACAATGACCACACTACTCACGTGTCTGACAGTCCAGTCCTGTCCATCCGTCTTCACATCCAGAGTCACACTGACCTGTCCTCTTGTCACACACTTCCTGCCTGTCCTTACATCTACACTCAATGTCACACTGGTCACCGAACCTGTAGTCACTGCACTCTGGAACGTCACACAACATTCAACAATCCACGCGAGTGGCCTCATGAAGCGTGTGTTCCAAGTACTTTCAACCAAAAGACATTACAAAAGTGTTGCAGGTTCGTGTGTATTTGACAATAATTATTCAACTATTCCCCAATGCTACTATCTACTTCACACATAATGGACTCCCTGTTCTGTGGAAACCAAAGTACTGATAAAGAAATGAAAGCTGTCCGGATCTTTTCTCTATCCCAGTAATAAGCGGTGCCGTGAATTGAAAATCATGGAACAGGTTTTACTGGCGGGATCCAACCATTGTAGACAAAATGTAAAGGGTCCAAAGGAAATATTTGTATTAGATACGCATCTAATTTGTGAATGTATAGAATATTTTTAGATGAGCAGAGAAACAAACACAGTCATGGAAAACACATTTGAATAGTATAACGTGTGGGTTAAGTTAAGTGACGACTGTATATGTTTGTGGTAGCTAGCCTGTTGGTGCAGAAATACCAAGTGCAAACACAGCTTCTACAAACACAATCAGGCAGTATAGACAGTCACATCTCCCTACTTGACATACTAGATGCATGCTATCTCGATTCCATAACAGGTATAATTAAACAAACTTTACAATTGTTATAGTGGGTTGTAGATACATTAGGGTACAGAAACATAAAAAAATATTCCAAAATATTGTACCGTGATTTCTTTGAAGCAAAATTGCTTTTATTTAAGTGAAAGTGAAAGACAAACGATCTGGTTACCTTGGTCACACGTCATCCCTTGCCATCCTGGTTCACATCCATCCGGGCACTCGCCTGACGTGTTGTTGCAGGTGGCGTTGTCACGACAATGGCCACATCTAGAGCTGCATTGCTCCCCATAGAAGTAGTCCTCACACTCTGCATGACAGACAGTTACTTTACATTGTGGACATAGTACTCCTAGACGAAAGTAGGCATACCTGCACAAACCGATTCCATGAATTGATTATTAAACGGATAGTGTGAATAATATCCTGCAATCTTGATGCACTTTATTTGCAGCTCCTTACCTTGACAAAACGGTGGCTTGAATCCGGGGGCACATGTTTGACACTCTCCTCCTATTTTGTCACATGGCTGTCCACCCTGACACCTCCCACATCTGCCTGTACAGTTGAAGCCGTAGGTCCCGTCCTGGCACGCTGTGAAAATTACATCAGAATATCCGTGGAGGGAGGATCCAGTATTACAGGTGCAAAACGTAGATGATAATCAATATGTAGTTATGTTACTGGTCCTTCGGCAAAAGGTCTTTGACTTTATCCTTTGGAGTTAACGTGAAATATCAAAAGATACCATTTTGTTTTCTCCAATATATTGGTGAATCGTATGTCAATACGATGAAAGTCACAATTGTTTATTCATAGTAATTAGTCATAAAAGATTGTGTACATGTAACTGTCTTCTATAAATAAATACCGAAGATGCACTTAGTATGAAACTAGTTCTGAAATATTTCAGGTATTTCACAGATACGTGTATAATAAGTGGGTCTGACAGCTGACGGTGATCACAATGACCACACTACTCACGTGTCTGACAGTCCAGTCCTGTCCATCCGTCTTCACATCCAGAGTCACACTGACCTGTCCTCTTGTCACACACTTCCTGCCTGTCCTTACATCTACACTCAATGTCACACTGGTCACCGAACCTGTAGTCACTGCACTCTGGAACGTCACACAACATTCAACAATCCACGCGAGTGGCCTCATGAAGCGTGTGTTCCAAGTACTTTCAACCAAAAGACATTACAAAAGTGTTGCAGGTTCGTGTGTATTTGACAATAATTATTCAACTATTCCCCAATGCTACTATCTACTTCACACATAATGGACTCCCTGTTCTGTGGAAACCAAAGTACTGATAAAGAAATGAAAGCTGTCCGGATCTTTTCTCTATCCCAGTAATAAGCGGTGCCGTGAATTGAAAATCATGGAACAGGTTTTACTGGCGGGATCCAACCATTGTAGACAAAATGTAAAGGGTCCAAAGGAAATATTTGTATTAGATACGCATCTAATTTGTGAATGTATAGAATATTTTTAGATGAGCAGAGAAACAAACACAGTCATGGAAAACACATTTGAATAGTATAACGTGTGGGTTAAGTTAAGTGACGACTGTATATGTTTGTGGTAGCTAGCCTGTTGGTGCAGAAATACCAAGTGCAAACACAGCTTCTACAAACACAATCAGGCAGTATAGACAGTCACATCTCCTACTTGACATACTAGATGCATGCTATCTCGATTCCATAACAGGTATAATTAAACAAACTTTACAATTGTTATAGTGGGTTGTAGATACATTAGGGTACAGAAACATAAAAAAAATATTCCAAAATATTGTACCGTGATTTCTTTGAAGCAAAATTGCTTTTATTTAAGTGAAAGTGAAAGACAAACGATCTGGTTACCTTGGTCACACGTCATCCCTTGCCATCCTGGTTCACATCCATCCGGGCACTCGCCTGACGTGTTGTTGCAGGTGGCGTTGTCACGACAATGGCCACATCTAGAGCTGCATTGCTCCCCATAGAAGTAGTCCTCACACTCTGCATGACAGACAGTTACTTTACATTGTGGACATAGTACTCCTAGACGGATGTAGGCATACCTGCACAAACCGATTCCATGAATTGATTATTAAACGGATAGTGTGAATAATATCCTGCAATCTTGATGCACTTTATTTGCAGCTCCTTACCTTGACAAAACGGTGGCTTGAATCCGGGGGCACATGTTTGACACTCTCCTCCTATTTTGTCACATGGCTGTCCACCCTGACACCTCCCACATCTGCCTGTACAGTTGAAGCCGTAGGTCCCGTCCTGGCACGCTGTGAAAATTACATCAGAATATCCGTGGAGGGAGGATCCAATATTACAGGTGCAAAACGTAGGTGATAATCAATATGTAGTTATGTTACTGGTCCTTCGGCAAAAGGTCTTTGACTTTATCCTTTGGAGTTAACGTGAAATATCAAAAGATACCATTTTGTTTTCTCCAATATATTGGTGAATCGTATGTCAATACGATGAAAGTCACAATTGTTTATTCATAGTAATTAGTCATAAAAGATTGTGTACATGTAACTGTCTTCTATAAATAAATACCGAAGATGCACTTAGTATGAAACTAGTTCTGAAATATTTCTGGTATTTCACAGATACGTGTATAATAAGTGGGTCTGGCAGCTGACGGTGATCACAATGACCACACTACTCACGTGTCTGACAGTCCAGTCCTGTCCATCCGTCTTCACATCCAGAGTCACACTGACCTGTCCTCTTGTCACACACTTCCTGCCTGTCCTTACATCTACACTCAATGTCACACTGGTCACCGAACCTGTAGTCACTGCACTCTGGAACGTCACACAACATTCAACAATCCACGCGAGTGGCCTCATGAAGCGTGTGTTTCAAGTACTTTCAACCAAAAGACATTACAAAAGTGTTGCAGGTTCGTGTGTATTTGACAATAATTATTCAACTATTCCCCAATGCTACTATCTACTTCACACATAATGGACTCCCTGTTCTGTGGAAACCAAAGTACTGATAAAGAAATGAAAGCTGTCCGGATCTTTTCTCTATCCCAGTAATAAGCGGTGCCGTGAATTGAAAATCATGGAACAGGTTTTACTGGCGGGATCCAACCATTGTAGACAAAATGTAAAGGGTCCAAAGGAAATATTTGTATTAGATACGCATCTAATTTGTGAATGTATAGAATATTTTTAGATGAGCAGAGAAACAAACACAGTCATGGAAAACACATTTGAATAGTATAACGTGTGGGTTAAGTTAAGTGACGACTGTATATGTTTGTGGTAGCTAGCCTGTTGGTGCAGAAATACCAAGTGCAAACACAGCTTCTACAAACACAATCAGGCAGTATAGACAGTCACATCTCCCTACTTGACATACTAGATGCATGCTATCTCGATTCCATAACAGGTATAATTAAACAAACTTTACAATTGTTATAGTGGGTTGTAGATACATTAGGGTACAGAAACATAAAACAAATATTCCAAAATATTGTACCGTGATTTCTTTGAAGCAAAATTGCTTTTATTTAAGTGAAAGTGAAAGACAAACGTTCTGGTTACCTTGGTCACACGTCATCCCTTGCCATCCTGGTTCACATCCATCCGGGCACTCGCCTGACGTGTTGTTGCAGGTGGCGTTGTCACGACAATGGCCACATCTAGAGCTGCATTGCTCCCCATAGAAGTAGTCCTCACACTCTGCATGACAGACAGTTACTTTACATTGTGGACATAGTACTCCTAGACGAAAGTAGGCATACCTGCACAAACCGATTCCATGAATTGATTATTAAACGGATAGTGTGAATAATATCCTGCAATCTTGATGCACACATAATGGACTCCCTGTTCTGTGGAAACCAAAGTACTGATAAAGAAATGAAAGCTGTCCGGATCTTTTCTCTACACCCAGTAATAACCGGTGCCGTGAATTGAAAATCATGGAACAGGTTTTACTGGCGGGATCCGACCATTGTAGACAAAATGTAAAGGGTCCAAAGGAAATATTTGTGTAAACGCAAGATTGCATGTTTCATTATTCATTAAAATGTGTTAACATTGATTAAAGTTTAAAGTTTGCCAAGGAAACAATTAGTTGACATTTTGTTGGTTCCTTACGTTGAAACAACGTTGACAACTAAAGGAATCTCGACTAACTTTCTTTGGTCGCATGATAAACGTTGAATCAACGTTTATGAAAGGTTGATCAACCAAACAACCAAACGTCAACGTTGATTAAACGTTGACTAGACGTTTTTGCCCGCTGGGGTTACTATAGAAGTCTATGGGAAAACATTTGAGTTTGTGTAACCTGCAGCTATAAAGCTGACGTCACGAACCTCAGACTAAGCAAGTGCAGTTACCTCCCCTGCCTTGAAGCATGCTCCAACTCGTCCTCAGCCAGGTTCCAGACCATGTGACTATTTCATAAATACATGCCTGTAACATACGAGTTGTGTAACCGACTCTTTGAACAATAGTTTTTTTATAATTGTATCTTTTATTTAAATTTGCGTCAGCAATCCCTCACTTGGGTATCACAAACTTGCAGCCCAAACCGAGATTCCTGAACGCCCATTGTTCGCCCCCACTGCACCGAGTTGTGCTGTGACGTTGTTGTGGAGTAACTCACTTACCAAACATGTTTACCTTGGGTTCTCTCTGTGGCCATGATAGTGTATTTATTCAACACAGTTTCCAATGTGTATTGCTGCTCAAATGATGAAATGCACCAATAAGCTATCCACTCACAGTTTGACACAAAACCTTTTTCATGCAGATCCATTTACTTCATTTGCTCTCAGCCGAAACAAATACAACATCCTAGCGGGGAATGGGCTTTGGAAAACAGTAACCTTGATATCATTGTGTATGAAAAAATGAAAGTGCTATACCCTCCTTGTCTCTTAACCAGTGAAGATCCGGGTTAGCATTGGCCTCAGTAACCTATTGGGCTTCAGTACCACACAAGATGTGCTATATTGTTAATCAGCTACCGATGTCTTTCTGTGGAAACGTCCCTGTCGGACATACTCGATGGAAGACTAAAGTGATGAATATTTCAGTTTGCCCTTACGTGTCAGGCAGCCGTCCCCTGTCCATCCATTTCTACAGCCACTGATACAGTTTCCACTTGATTTGTCGCATACCTCACTCGTGTTCTTACAACCACATCGTTGGCTACAATCCGCGCCGAATCTTTTGTCTTGACACTCTGTAAATATAATGTAAATGACTGAAAAGAAACCCGTCCATATTCCAAAGCTTACACTTGCTGGAAAACAAATAGATGATTATTTGCTGTTGAAGAATGAGAGCATGAATGTGAGATAATGCAAGTCGGCACTTGGATACATTTGTCTAGGTTAATATTTAGATCTTTTTTATCTCCTCGGTAATCTATATTCTCCAAAGATTCAGTTTCGGTATTTCCTGACCATATTTAAGTTTCGCAGACGAGTCTGACACAGGTTCAAACAGGCGAATCACGTAACTTGAAATATGTAGATTTAAAAATGTTTCTTGAACGTGACTTGCCCTAAAAACAAAGACTTTGTATGATGTAACTGTATATTGCTGCACTATATTCTTCGCTCCTTACCTTGACAAAGCGAAGGCTTGAATCCAGCAACACATGTCTGACACTCCCCGTCAGTTTTGTCACATGGCTGTCCACCCTGACACCTCCCACATCTGCCTGTACAGTTGAAGCCGTAGGTCCCGTCCTGACACGCTGTGAAATGAAAAGTCATTGACAGCTAAATCACAAAGTCATGGGTCATCTGATGAATCAATAGTGCAGGGCAAATCTGTGCTTCAACACTTACCTACGTCACATCTCTACCTTGTTCACCCTTCTTGACAACACTTACCTACGTCACATCTCCACCTTGTTCACCCTTCTTGACAACACATACCTACGCCACATCTCTACCTTGTTCACCCTCCTTGACAACACTTACCTACGCCACACTCCACCTTGTTCACCCTCTTTGACAACACTAACCTACGCCACATCTCCACCTTGTTCACTCTCCCTGACAACACTTACCTTCGCCACATCTCCACCTTGTTCACTATCCTTGACAACACTTACCTTCGCCACATCTCCACCTTGTTCACCCTTCTTGACAACACTTACCTACGTCACATCTCCACCTTGTTCACTCTCCCTGACAACACTTACCTCCGCCACATCTCCACCTTGTTCACTATCCTTGACAACACTTACCTTCGCCACATCTCCACCTTGTTCACCCTCCTTGACAACACTTACCTACGCCACACTCCACACCCTCTTTGACAACACCACCTCTCCACCTTGTTCACCCTCTTTGACAACCTTGTTCACTCTCCCTGACTAACCTACGTCACATCTCCCCCTTGTTCACCCTCCCTGACAACACTTACCTACGCCACATCTCCACCTTGTTCACTCAACCCCTGACAACACTCTCCCCTGACAACACTAACGTCCACATCTCCACCTTGTTCACCCTCCTTGACAACACTTACCTACGCCACATCCACCTTGTTCACCCTCCCTGACAACACTTACCTACGCCACATCTCCACCTTGACAACACTCACCCTCCACTCTCCCGGACAACACTTACCTTCGCCACACTCCAATTTGTTCACCCTCCCTGAACACAGGTGACTTACCGTCGTCACATCTCTGCCCCGTCCATCCATCACGACATCCTTCTTGATCACATGATCCATTTACAGGGCTGCACTTCCCTGCACACTGACCACAAGCTTCTGAACACCCGTCACCATATCTGCCTTCGTCACATTCTGTCAACAAGAGTTTAGTTGTCCACAGTCTCTAAAATCTAAACCGTAATCCTCCAACATTATCCAACTAAGCAAATCTCACCATGCAGTAGACTGCCTGTATGAAATGCCTTCTACAAACACAGTCAGGCAGTACAGGCTGTTATACCTCCCTACCTGACATACTCAACTTGTCACGAAGCATCTCGTTTCCAAAACAGATGTAATTAAAAGAACTTTATAATTGTTATAGTGGGTTGTAGGTGCATTAGGGTGCAAGAATATAATTATAAAACATTCCAAAATATTGTACCACGATTTATTTGAAGAAAGATAGCTTTCCTTTAAGTGAAAGTGAAAGACAAACGATCTGGTTACCTTGGTCACACGTCATCCCTTGCCATCCTGGTTCACATCCATTAGGGCAATCTCCTGACCTGGTGTTGCAGATGGCGTTGTCACGACAATGGCCACATCTAGAGCTGCATTGCTCCCCATAGAAGTAGTCCTCACACTCTGCATGACAGACCGTTACTTTACATTATGAACTTCGTACTCCTAGACGAAAGTAGGCAAACCTTCACAAACTGATTCCATGAATTGATTATTAAACGGATATTGTGAATAATATCCTGCAATGTTGCTGAACGGTTTTCGTTCTTCCTTACCTTGACAAAACGGAGGCTTGAATCCGTCAGCACATGTTTGACACTCTCCTCCTATTTTGTCACATGGCTGTCCACCCTGACACCTCCCACATCTGCCTGTACAGCTGAAGCCGTAGGTCCCGTCCTGGCACGCTGTGAAATTACATCAGAATATCCGTGGAGGAAGATGCATTTAATATAATAATAGCGCTCTAAATATTCTACTTTTTACTGACCAAATATAATCTGTGAAGACGCCTATGACTTGCAGTTTGTGTGTCCCCATTGTCAGAGGTGAGCATAATCAGTTATCAACTTTTAGATGAGATGTCAACGCTAGATGATGTTAAGGGGACAGGTTGGGAATATAGAACCCAATACTATGTTATATGTAGGATGACGTTTTATATGATCAATCATCAAACACAAGATGTTGATACTCAACAGTTGTATTTTTACACCAAAATACTTAAGTTACGTATATGAAAGGCACTTACTGTGTGTAAATAAGTTTAATATGACGCGACACCGTTCATTTCAACCCAGTAGATATAAGGTAACCGTCAGACATTCAGGGACACCTCACATCGGTCCTTAAAATCGTATTTATGCTTTAATAGTGAATTACTCTTCCCACCAACTCTCTAGTTTGTAACCTACACAACATACGTGTATAATAAGTGGGTCTGACAGCTGGCTGTGACCACCACCCACTCACGTGTATAACAGGCCAGTCCTGTCCATCCGTCTTCACATCCAGTGTGACACTGACCTGTCCTCTTGGCACACACTTCATGCCTGTCCTTACATCTACACCTCCTGTCACACAGGTCACCGAACCTGTAGGCACTACACGCTGTAAAAACAACGCGACAATCTACAATCTACAAAGATTACAGGGTTTTTTGTACAGACAACGAATAACAATCAACAATCACGAGAGTACGGAAAGTTTTGTACAGACAACGAATAACAATCAACAATCACGAGAGTCCGGAAGATTTTGTACAGACAACGAGTAACAGTCAACAATCACGAGAGAACTAAAGGTTTTGTACAGACAACGAATAACAATCAACAATCACGAGAGTACGGAAGGTTTTGTACAGACAACGTATAACAATCAACAATCACGAGAGAACGGAAGGTTTTGTACAGACAACGAATAACAATCAACAATCACGAGAGTACGGAAGGTTTTGTACAGACAACGAGTAACAGTCAACAATCACGAGAGTACGCAAGGTTTTGTACAGACAACGAATAACAATCAACAATCACGAGAGTACGGAAGGTTTTGTACAGACAACGAATAACAATCAACAATCACGAGAGTACGGAAGGTTTTGTACAGACAACGAGTAACAGTCAACAATCACGAGAGAACGAAAGGTTTTGTACAGACAACGAATAACAATCAACAATCACGAGACGGAAGGTTTTGTACGGAAGGTTTTGTACAGACAACGAATAACAGTCAACAATCACGAGAGTACGCAAGGTTTTGTACAGACAACGAATAACAATCAACAATCACGAGAGTACGGAAGGTTTTGTACAGACAACGAATAACAATAACAATCACGAGAGTACGGAAGGTTTTGTACAGACAACGAGTAACAATAACAATCACGACGAGTCAACAATCAGTAACGAACAATCACGAGAGAACGAAAGGTTTTGTACAGACAACAAATAACAATCATGAGAGTACGGAAGGTTTTGTACAGACAACGTATAACAATCAACAATCACGAGAGTACGGAAGGTTTTGAACAGACAACGAATAACAATAACAATCACGAGAGTACGGAAGGTTTTGTACAGACAACGAATAACAATCAACAATCACGAGAGATCGAAAGGTTTTGTACAGACAACGAATAACAATCAACAATCACAAGAGTACGGAAGGTTTTGTACAGACAACGAATAACAATCAACAATCACGAGAGTACGGAAGGTTTTGAACAGACAACGAATAACAATCAACCATCCCGAGAGTACGGAAGGTTTTGTACAGACAACGAATAACAATCAACAATCACGAGAGTACGGAAGGTTTTGAACAGACAACGAATAACAATCAACAATCACGAGAGAACAGAAGGTTTTGTACAGACAACGAATAACAATCAACAATCACGAGAGTACGTAGGTGCCAATGGAAGTGAAGTTCTTCCCGTATATTGCCGCCAAAATAAAGTCCATTAGTAAGCTTGGCAACAACCCCTTCTGGTAGATCCCCTAGGAGTTCTTCTAGAGCGGTCTCTGATCGGGGCATTACCTTGTCTGGTCAAACATCTTCCCGAATGGAGACACAATGCTTCATGGGTGGGTTAAGCATTTGTTAGGTTTGCCGACTTAATGTATAGTGAGTCTATATATGTTCCAAAGCCAGGTAATACAGTCACTAGCCTGTAACCACCAAGTCATGTTATACTGTCACCCTCTGTTGGAACGTAAACACCTATATTATCCAACTTCTGTTGGAGCTCAGAGAGGTGAACTCTTGAAAACAGTGCCACTTCGCCCCTGAGCTGACATGTTAACAAAAGCTTGACATTCTCCTGATGAACAATCCCTTCTATGTTTAGGTCAAAACCGTCATCACATTCTGTGAGTAGTGACATGAACTAATGTCTGCAGGACAAGGTCTGAAACATTATTGGCCATACTTTGAGAGCATACGTTTGGTGTCATGCCCATACTTTGAGGTATTTTTGTGACGTCAAAGGTAACATAAGGGGGAAATACTGGGCGTGTTTGGAAAGTGTGCTCATGTTTCTTGGGCCTCCTTGTCCGGTTAGGAATCCGGATCTTGCCTGATGCTCCTAGTCGAGTATTAATTTGGGGTTCTCTGTGGAGGATAGGGTACCCCTATGAACACACCAGGCAATATAGATAATCAGGGTACTCTTCTACCTGTGTGTTTGTCATCCACACCAAGAGTCCACGAGACCATAAAAGTTGAATTTCTTGTTGCTCTTGGACAAAACAAATACTTGTCTCGCATACAACCTTAAATAGGGATGAGCCACCAGCCTGATGGCCTGAGTGAGGGATTGACGTGATGTCAACACCGAGAGACCTGTCGCTGCTGAGAGGCTAATCATACTTTCAGTGGTGGCTCCATTAAGTATTGTCAGACGTTTTGTCTGGTGGTCACAGAAGGTGTCCATGTGTGGTGACGAAGTGTAAAGACATACCCCACAGAAAGTTCTTCAGCACACACATCATCCAGTAAGGTCTAGGTAATTAAAGATTCGCCTGTGATCATGTCAGAAACTTCCACTCACTTATTACGTGACTCCACAAACCGCAGCTTCGAAAGTGCTTCCTCAAATCGGTCTTGTACTTTGCATAGAAAATCTTGGGGTGTGATGGTTTGTGATAGATCTTATAACCTTCGCATCGTCTACAGTGCGGATTTCTTTCAGTAGTCAGTTTAGAAGATTTCAGGTTTCAGTGGAGCCATCGTTCATAAGTGGAGATCTGGACCATGGCGTTGTTTAACCAATTTGGACAATGCAACATGAATGCAATTCCGGTTAGCACCATAGACTTTTCCAATGACGGGGCATATACCTCATCTTGTCTGGGTCAATCCTCCTGTCGTTCATTGGGTTCGAGCTTGATGTCGGACATGTAAATGAGCACCTGTCGGACTTGTCGGACGGTTTTGCATTTGTGTGTTATACCTTTGAGAAGCGCAGACCGTGTCTGGAGAGCCGGAAGTCGGACAAGGGAGATAACTCTATTTTCTATTAACCCATCAAGCAAAAGTGCAATGGCGCAAAGTCGATGAACAAGCATACAACACAACTTTGACGTATAGTCATTCCCGATACTACATAAGTACACCTGACTCTCGTTGATTAATAATGATATGTGTTTCCATTTAGAGATCGGGGCCGACATTGTACAATAGTGCGTACAACTGGATAATTGCATATCAATTTAACTTGTGAACTAAACCGTCTTAACTGTGCATCACAGTACACCTTCCATCCCTTGAACTTTAAAACCGGAAAGTCCGGCGTTTACGCCATTTTTACATGCATGGAGCACACCTCAGTAAACGTAATATGAATATAGTTTTAATCAATTGTGTGAATAGATCGGTAGAACAATTCACCATCTGACTGGCATGGTACCACACTGGGCACAAACAATTCCAAGAAGTCAGAGTGTCAAAGCCTGGGTACAAACCTTTACACAATGTTCCACTCCAGTAGCCCTGGCAGCCATGTGTACAAGTCCCATCCACACTGTGACAGTGCTGATCTCCTCCAGCACAATGTCCACACGCCTCCATGCAGCCAGAACCATAGCGTCCCTCAGGACAAGCTGTAACGATATTCGTAGCATCTTGTTGTTGGGTACATGATAGCGTATGGGAAAAAGCATAATATTTAAACTGTAGCCAATCGCACATCACATTTAATTTTAAATAAATTTTGACAGAAAAAAACGTTCTGTCGTGCACTTACTTTCCTGACAGCCAGTCCCAGTGTATCCATCGGGGCAACCACTCTCACAGTGTCCAGTGGTTTTGTCACACACCTCATATGTGTTCCTACAGTAGCACCAGGAACTGCAGCCAGGCCCGAAACTCCCGTCAGCACACTCTGGAAAGTGGCGAAATATGTACTGTTATCTTATGCAACTGATTGGTCAAGACGTACAATATAATAACAGTATGATTAGCATAGAATCCCCCATAACATGGGTCATCATACTAAATATATTTTGGACATGTCTATTTGAAATCATAGAATCCTTAATATTCTTTCTTTACTAACCATATATTTCCACCTCACAGAGATTGAGAATGTACTCCGAGCGGGCCAGTTTTGGCAGCTGGACAGTGACATGTTGTCCACGTGTGGGTGTGTAACAGCTGATGTCGACGGGGGAGCTAGGACGGTAGGACTGGCTCTGTCGATAGCACAGGCGACGATTGTCTACCCATACCAAGAAACCTCGCATTCGATCTAGAAACAAACAAAACATTATGTATATGAAGGCGGCCACAGTATACAGTATGATGGTCATCGCTTCAAGGTATGTGTACCAACATCAGTGGGGTCAGTGATGGTTTAACTAAGATATGTGGTTTAATCGTACGACTGATAGATCCCAGGGCACTGAGTAGATCAACTTCAATCTCGGCAGCACATTCATTCTGTAAACGTTTTGCAAATGGATGAGACAGAAACTGCTGCCATGAACTGACGAGGAAATGATCAGCTGGCAGTATTCCCCAACAGCTGGTGACCTGTTGTAAACATTGGTTGCATCTTATCCCATTATGAGGCATTTAAAGTTGACCAGTCTTTGCTCATTACCGTAGAATGAATTAAAGATACTTGCGTGGATGTGAGAAGAATATTGTCAGATTGGTGATGAGGTGTGTCTCTTCAAGATCCACTGTCCACCATGTAGGTGATGAAGCTGTCTGGCCATGTTTGGTGTGTGTACACGTCCCTGACCAGTACCTGCTGCTGGCCACACCGTCCACTGCCAGGGAGGAAGTCTTGTCCCCACACACCCTCATCTTGGTGCTTGTTGTCGCATACGGGCAGTCATTGAGAGTACTGGTTTGTTGAGTGGGTTTGTTCAGAGCTATGTTTTCTGGAAATTAACATACGGGTGTTTATAGACACAAATGAGCTTGATTCGTTTGCTAAAGCAGCATTCACTATCAATGTCTAAATCACTCAGTACTGATTCAGGAGAATTACATCACAACAACAACGTATGACAGCTACAGCCGTTGGGTGGTCGTATGACTTGTAGGAAAGTGCTTCATCCCAGCCATTGTCAGTGAATATTTGTATAGCTCTGTGAACTCACATACTGGACCATAGAGGTTGTGGTGACTACTGTATACGGTATGTGTTGTAAAGGACGTTGGGCAGTAAGTACAACCGAAATAGACGGAGAGAATGATATCCCCATTTGAGGGACTGTGTTTCTGCTTTATGACGTCATGTTGTGTACTTGGAGAACCAAAGTTGCAAGATTTGCTCTTGACACCGTAGGTTGACTCACTCCACTTTGGATTACCAAGTTGCCATGCTACGGACGGTCAATGACAGTTTCGATGGAAGTGCAGTATTATTATGTAAACCAATTTTGTTTGCATACACACAAATGGCTATATATAGATTGAATGCAACCTGAACGCTGCATTGAACAAAAGCCGCTTCACTCAGTGTCTTCGATAGCACGAAACAGTTCCCGTCATCTTTTGACATTACTGAGATAATTACACTGTGTTTTCAATGTGGAACTAGATTAGGTACTGAAACCTGTCCTTCACTCTGCCAGTGGTACTATCTTTCCAACAAAGATAGCGATTGGTTTACAGTAACAGGCTCTCTGATTGGACCTTGATATTAAGGAATTATGTGATTGGTTAACAATCTGAGCACACATCTAGACTTTTTTAACCAAGGCAGCAAGTTGTGTATAGCGCACAATGAGTTGTATCACAGATTTTATATATGGCCCATCATGAGGACCAGCATGAAATTGATTCTGAAGCTGTTTTGGGAGATGCCGAAAAATGTCCTCGGAGTGTTGGTGTTCTTTCAAAATTAGGTCCTCACAATGTAGGAAGGCAGAAATAAAACACACAAGTCCTTGTGTAACACACATCAAGGTCCTCACAATGTTGGCGCTGTTGGAAGACAGAAATAAAATATACAAGTCCTCCTGTAACACACACACATCAAGGTCCTCTCAATGGTGGCGCCGTAGAAACGAAAATACAGCACAGTACAGCTCAAACTAAGTTATTCTATTTATGTATGCACAGTGAGGACTCATAGAAGCACATGTCAAGTATCATGCGTTTTGAGGACTTGGTGCAGTGCATGGTAGGTAATGTCCTCGGTTTGCACGTTGTCACAAGTCATGCAACTGTGGAAAATGCCAGTCTCTAATACCATCTACATTTCAAGTCAAATAAACCGATGATGTTGTTAATGGTTGATACACGTGTGTGTGTGTGTGTGTGTGTGTGTGTGTGCGCGCCTGCGTGCGTGCGTGCGTGCGTGCGTGTGTGTGTGTGTAAAACTCAAGGGCAAAATTTCTGAACGCTGTTAGGCAGGTACGGAATCAAACCACAGACATAGTGTTCTACGCACTTATCTGACAAGAGGGGCCTGACCAACCCTGCAGACAGCCACTTGTGCACCGGACGTTGACGTCACATCCGCTTGAACAGTGACACTCACGAAATGGTGTACCTGGAACAAAGCGTCAGGCTTCAACACAGTCGACACATTATGCATCCCAAACACTATCGAAAGTGTGCATGTGTTAAAGTAAATCGTTTGAACATATACAGGAAATCTACAATGGTTAATTGCAAAGGGAGATATTTCTATTTTCTGTGCGTAAATACACTCGTCATCATATATCTCCATATATGATATCGGCAACTGCCACTACATGGCATACAATAGTAATCAAGATCCTTAATATACTAATAGACTATAAAGCACACAGTGATCCTATCCATGTGCATGGTGCCATAGATTATTATTGAAGGCATGTGATCCACTGACCATCATCAGAGTGACCCTATTCCTATGTAGTATGATGTATATTGTTACTGGAAGCCCGGGTCCCCTGGCCGAGTATATTGCCTAAAAATGAACCTTGTCGTATCTTAGGTACATTACATTATTCCTGAAGGTTCCTAATCCCTTGATCTACTTTATGGTAGACACTGATACTATTCCTGCATAAGACGCAATACAATTACCCTAAAGGTCCCCAGGACCTGATATGGCATTGAATTAACCTTAAGATATAGCATGACCAGAAATTATTGAGAAATTTAGGAATATGTTTAATTGGATTTCTAGTATAAACAACCTTGACCAGCTATCAAGTGCTTGATTCCATTCAAGAGAGACAATTCCGTTAATCCTTGTTCATTAGTTTGTGAAGAGTTATCCCCCTCTGTTTACTTTCTAGCAGACGACATTTTCAGTGATCCTCAGTATGGATGATTTAGAGAAGAGGAAGTTGATTTTAGAGTATTATAACAAGGACATCAGATCAGCTAAAGTGATTTCAAGTAGAACAGGCATCCCTTTGTCCACTGTTTATCGTGTTTTGAAAAATATTGCAAATGGATATGGCATTGAGCAATAGGGAGGCGCAGGTAGGCCCAGAAAATTGACTGTCTGTGACAGGAGGCGGCTTGGTATTCTTGTTTCTAAAGACAAACGAAGGAGTTTAGAAAACTTAAGGCTGGATATGATTGATAGAGGAACTGTGGCTGTCTGTAAGGAGACAATTAGAACTGAGCTGCATGCAATGGGTTGGCAGAAACGTCGACGAATTCCATCACCGATCACGAAACCTGAACAAAAGGAGCGAAGGTTGAACTGGTGCTTACAGCATAGACATTTTAACTGGAACAATGTGATTTTCTCAGATGAAAGTTCTGTGTGGCTGTTTCCTAAAACACTGAAATTCTGGACCAAACAAACTGAAAAACCTTTTTATCAGCGCCCAAAGTACAGTCCGAAATTTAACGTGTGGGGTGGCATATCTGTGTTAGGGGCAACGCCCCTCTGTGTATTTGAAGGGAATATGAACAGTGAGCGGTACACAGATATTCTCGAGGGATATTTACTTCTATCTGCTCACGTGTTCTGTGGAAATGTTTGGATTTTCCAGCAGGACAACGACCCAAAACATCGTTCAAAGCATTCCCAGGCCTGGTTTCGGACCCAAAATATGACATTATTAGATTGGCCAAGCTATAGCCCTGACCTAAATCCAATAGAAAATGTTGGGGACTTATGAAGGAAAGTGTCAATAAGAAAAATCTGACAAATATTACTGAAATGAAAGAAGAGGTGGTCCCATATTGGGACAGCATGGGCAATGACTTTCTACCTTCTTTGATCAGTAGTATGCATGCCCCGCCGCATTGAACCCTGCATTGCTGCCTGTTGTGACTTGACAATATACTAACTGTTCACCTGTCTTTGAATCTGGAGTTATGTTCTGCTAATATTCACGAGTAATGCGTGAAAAAAATATAAAATTTTACAATCTTTAAATTCTCAGTAATTTCTGGTTGTACTGTAAATGTGTCGAATTCTGATTGGTCAATAGCTAAAGCATACGAAACCATGTAGGCGGATTTGCCAGGGTGTACGGACCGTACACCCCGTCAAATTTGTCACGTGACACACTACACGGGTTGTACAAATGACCTTGACCTTAGATGAAATGTGGCTGCCAAAAAGCTGATCGCTTCGAAATTTTAGAGTTGGCGTATAGAATTATGAGTATAAACAGAGTAATAAAACTGTTGCTATAATTTCTTATATGTTTGTGTCAATTAAAATATCAAAAAATATAATGTGTCTGTATTTTTATTGTCGTTTAATACAACCTCAAATTCGATCATTTCTATCATTAACTAAGCCATCACGAGTTATCTCTCTTTATGACCGTTCGGGAAAAGATAAGCTAAGTAAACAGATCTTAAGGGTAATAAATCGTCACACGGTGTTTTGATGGGGGAAACCCCTGTAAATTCCATATTTCCAGAGGTGCAGTCCCGTACACCCTTTCAAAACACCGAGCAACTAATATTGTCAAAGGAATATGCATTCCTGTTAAAGGCATTATATTTTTACTGCAGGCACGTGATCCCTGACCCACTTTGTGAGCGTAATCCTAGGGTGCAACATGACATTATCAAATGTCCGAGATCCCCTGACCGACTATTTGACACGCAATAATCCTATTCCTTTGTAAGAGAGACCATATCACCGAAGGTCCTTAATTCCCTGGTCCACCGTGTGGCATACAATGAACGTACAGCTTGTTCAGCTTGACCTGAGCTACTCTACATATGCATGACCCGGGAGGTCAAATGGTACAAGCGGCAGGTCAAGTTAACTTCATTAAATAGGGGAGCAAAGAATGTTATTAATGCTGCTGCTCGCTGCCTAAAAGCTCGAATCGGAAACAATAAAACTTCTTTTTAAATAAAGTTAGGAAATTGCTGACGATTTCTCGACACTCAGGTGTCAAACGGCAACCTTGTCTCGCCTGTTCGGACATGTTGACAATCAATGCACCCCTTCACAATAATAGACCCAACCAGTTGTGACACGGCCACGCAATGCATTAGTATTCACTTGATCAGGTCAAGCTGAACGAGCTGGAGTAATATATGAACTACAGAATTCTATTCTTAATATATCACTAAGTGTCCATATTCCCTGACCCACTTGGTGGCATACAATAGCCCTATTCCTACTAAAGCCTCAGTATATTACTACTAAAGCCCCGAACCGCTAACCGTCTAGAAGGTTTACAGTGATCCTATTCCTATAATTACTGAAATCGCCAGATACCCTCAACGTCTTTATGGCATAAATGGTCCCATTCCTGTATAAAAACCCAGAAAATTCCTAACTGCAGGCCCGTGTTTCCCTGTCCGACTTTATGGCACACAATAATACTGTTCCTTTACAAGAGACAGTATATCACCCAATGTCCCTTTGATTCCCTGGTCCGCGTGCATACAATGAACATACTCCAACATAAGTTGCAGTATACTTATTCATCCCATTCCTATGCGTTTACACTATGTTTTACACCCTGGCGGAAAATATGACATGCATATATCCTATTCCTGTGTAAGATGCGGTATAAGTTTTACACCCTGGCGGACAGTATGACATGTATATATCCTAGTCCTATGTAAGATGCGGTATATGTTTTACACCCTGGCGGACTATATGGCATGTATATATCCTAGTCCTATGTAAGATGCGGTATATGTTTTACACCCTGGCGGACAATATGACATGCATATATCCTATTCCTGTGTAAGATGCGGTATATGTTTTACACCCTGGCGGACAATATGACATGTATATATCCTATTCCTATGTAAGATGCGGCATATGTTTTACACCCTGGCGGACAATATGACATGTATATATCCTATTCCTGTGTAAGATGCGGTATATGTTTTACACCCTGGCGGACAATATGGCATGTATATATCCTATTCCTGTGTAAGATGCGGTATATGTTTTATTCCTGTGTAAGATGCGGTATATGTTTTATACCCTGGCGGACAATATGGCATGTATATATCCTATTCCTTTGTAAGATGCGGTATATGTTTTACACCCTGGCGGACAATATGACATGTATATATCCTATTCCTGTGTAAGATGCGGTATATGTTTTACACCCTGGCGGACAATATGACATGGATATATCCTATTCCTATGTAAGATGTGGCATATGTTTACACCCTGGCGGACAATATGACATGTATATATCCTATTCCTATGTAAGATGCGGTATATGTTTTACACCCTGACGGACTATATGGCATGTATATATCCTATTCCTATGTAAGATGCGGTATATGTTTTACACCCTGGCGGACAATATGGCATGTATATATCCTATTCCTGTATAAGATGCGGCATATGTTTCAATCCCTGGCGGACAATATGACATGTATATATCCTATTCCTGTGTAAGATGCGGTATATGTTTTACTCCCTGGCGGACAATATGGCATGCATATATCCTATTCCTGTGTAAGATGCGGTATATGTTTTACACCCTGGCGGACAATATGACATGTATATATCCTATTCCTATGTAAGATGTGGCATATGTTTTACACCCTGGCGGACAATATGACATATATATATCCTATTCCTATGTAAGATGCGGTATATGTTTTACACCCTGGCGGACAGTATGGCATGTATATATCCTATTCCTATGTAAGATGCGGTATAAATTTTACACCCTGGCGGACTATATGGCATGTATTTATCCTATTCCTGTGTAAGATGCGGCATATGTTTTATACCCTGTCAGACAATATGACATGTATATATCCTATTCCTGTATAAGATGCGGCATATGTTTTACACCCTGGCGGACAATATGACATGTATGTATCCCATTCCTATGTAAGATGTGGCATATGTTTTATACCCTGGCGGACAATATGACATGGATATATCCTATTCCTATATAAGATGCGGTATATGTTTTACACCCTGGCGGACAATATGGCATGTATATATCCTATTCCTGTGTAAGATGCGGTATATGTTTTACACCCTGGCGGACAATATGACATGTATATATCCTATTCCTGTGTGAGATGAGGCATATGTTTTACACCCTGGCGGACAATATGACATGTATATATCCTATTCCTATGTAAGATGCGGCATATCTTTTATACCCTGGCGGACAATATGACATGTATATATCCTATTCCTGTGTAAGATGTGGTATATGTTTCACTCCCTGGCGGACAATATGACATGTATATATCCTAGTCCTATGTAAGATGCGGTATATGTTTTACTCCCTGGCGGACACAATGACATGTATATATCGCATTCCTATGTAAGATGCGGTATATGTTTTACACCCTGGCGAACAGTATGACATGTATATATCGCATTCCTATGTAAGATGCGGTATATGTTTTACTCCCTGGCGGAAAATAAGACATGTATATATCCTATTCCTATGTAAGATGCGGTATATGTTTTATTCCCTGGCGGGCAGTATGTCATGTATATATCCTAGTCCTGTGTAAGATGCGGTATGTGTTTTATTCCCTGGCGGACAGTATGTCATGTATATATCCTATTCCTTTGTAAGATGCGGTATAAGTTTACTCCCTGGCGGAAAATAAGACATGTATATATCCTATTCCTATGTAAGATGCGGTATATGTTTTGCACCCTGGCGGACAGTATGATATGTATATGTTACAGTCAATGTCTACAATCAGGCAATGTGTTCAATGACTGAAATAACCAGTCAATGTGTACAATGCCTTATTCACTCAGTCATTGTGTACATTGTCTAAAATTTCCAGGCATTGTGTACATTGCCTGATTAATTAACCCAATTATTGTACAGATTGACTGATTGTTGAACAGGGATTATTGAGAAGACAAGATTAGCACAGGTTTCGTTCTGTTTGAATGAATAAGTGGCGAATATCTAACAAATTCATTAATTGAAGCACTGATTGTAGATATTGACCGTAACATATATACACACAGTGACGTAATTCTTACGCAGAGAGCAGAATATTAATATTACTGTCATTCCCTTATCTCCTGACCAATATGACGTACACAGGGAAGGTTCCTACATGTATATGGGATATATCATGACATTATACGTAACCGTGTGGATAATAAGTGGATTACCTTGTGGAGTTGCTATACCTTGAATGACATATTGTGTATGTATTTTTCAAATGTATACCTCGGACTAATCCTAGAGCCAATATGGAGATTCATGAGGATCTGTCATTTCCTGAAGTAGAATGAACGAGATCGGACTCCCATAACCATGAGGTGGGAGTGCTTTCTTCCTAATCAACCATCTGGTGTCTAATAATTAATAATATGATTGTTTATATTCGTACCTCGCCATGTGCATCGGTTAATATTCAGTTGATGTAAACTGTATTGGTCTTTGACCTAATAAAAATCTTGTCTTGTCTTGTCTGATATATAAATTCACTCTGATTCGGCATGTTATCTCACTCACTCACTCACTCACCACTCACACACACTCACACACACACACACAGCTGCGTCAGTTGTGCTTGTTCAGCATGAACATAAATAAAGGTAAATAAATTACCGTGACTCGTTTGAAACAAGAACGATGTCATGTCATCGCATTGTGGTTTAAAAGTATAATACAATACGGTACGTCACCTAAATACGCCGTACTTGAACGGTGTATAAGGGACAGAAGCATTTATACATATAGGATATACGTGATTATATACGTTTCTAACCAGAAAAACGCCACCTGATTAACTATGTATACTGACAAAAAAAAATACACTATGTCCATGAAACCACATGGCACCATATGAAATGAATAAATAACTCACCTTGAGAAACACATGGCTGAAGGAAACATACCAGCAAAAGATGCAGTGTGCACAGAGCATCAGTCGTCGCCATGTCTCCGACCAACACACAAACACACAGACACACACAAGGAAGTGGTAGTATGTGATAACAAGGTACTAGTGAGGGACTTCCTGCATATTGTTGCGTGTATACCATTGCAAGCTGCAATAGTAAACTGAATGCTATTACATGTCTCCCTATGTCTCCTATATCACATCACAAAATGATATTCATTTGTGTCGATCAAAGAACATGTTTATTTTATTTGGTCAACTAAACATGAATAGAAATGTACAACCTATCACATTACAACATATATTGAACCTGGTGTTTGGACATTTAGTTTGCATTGTCTCACTGATCTTATTCTGGACTGCACAGTGTCACAGACAGACTGGTCCCGAGGTATAGTTTCAGTAACTTACTCTGTGTATACATGTTTCATTCGCTTCTCTAACTTCATGGACAGTGTCACGATATTTGTTATATGGTTTGTCTGCACATAATACTAGGTTAGAGTTCTGCCTTCACATGTAGAGTTGGTGCAAACTGATCATCCTGAATCAAGTTTCATTAAACTACCAACACTTTCAGCCCGTGGCTTTACTGGAGGAACGTATGACAACTGCAGCTGAGTGGAACACACAACCAGCTGAAAGCACGTTGTCAGCTCCCAGGGTAGGGACGATGACCAAGACGAAAGACAAATATCGTAGCCGGGTCAACGGTGTTTGTTCTTCTCGTTTAAAATTATACATATATATAAAGGTGTATCACGTAATAAGATATAGAAAACAGTCAATAATACGTTATACATAATACAGCATGCAAGACTGTAAAGAAGGTGGTGTCTTGTATCTATCTATCTATCTATCTATCTATCTATCTATCTATCTATCTATCTATCTATCTATCTATCTATCTATCTGTCTGTCTGTCTGTCTGTCTGTCTGTCATTCTGTCCGTCCATCCATCCGTCTGTATGTATATGTATGTCTGTCTGTCTGTCACGTACACAATTTTGCGGGTTGATAGTCACAGTCAAAAAACATTTCAAAATATTTACGTTGTTTTTGGAAAATATGGTCGTGGATTAATGATTCCAGGTTTGTCAGCTCCATGCCTTTATGTAACTAAAGTAATGTTCAGATCGGCGTTGAATCAACGTCTATGATATAGAGATACCGCCTGAGGTTGCAACACGACCTTTACACTAGAGGCGGACGATGTGAATAACTATACGTCCTGTCTAATCTAAACTGTTGTGTTGAACACAAAGGACACACACGTGTGTGTGTGTGTGTGCGTGCGTGCGTGCGTGCGTGCGTGCGTGCGTGTGTGCGTGCGTGTGTGCGTGCGTGCGTGTGTGCGTGTTTACCGGAGCATTGTTTCTTCACTTTTATCACTACATCCTTGGACCATTGACCATGTAAAGAGATAAACAAAATTCTTCTGGTCCTATATGCACCCGACTTCTTTCGCCGCTGGACGTTCTTCAGGTGTGCTGAAAACTTGAGCCTAGTCAAAATAAACCAGTATCATGCATTTCCAGTATTGGCTTTTGTACCACCAAAGAGTGGTTGAAAGAGAATAAACGAATTGTGAATTTAGTGTACATGTTGTGAGGCGTTGCCTCGTTCCCTTGGTTGAACAATAGAAAGGGAAATAATCGAAACGGTGACTATAAAAAGAAATATGGGTCGCGTCTGACGAATGTGCCATTCGCAGCCATTATTATTATAGGATATTTATATAGCGCATATATCCATGCAACTAGTGCATGCTCAAAGCGCTCGTATTGTTTTCCCTCGATCATTGGATGTCAATCTCAACGGCACATCGTATTATCAATCTCAACTCCCTGGGGAGTATACAACTCTTGCAGCCACTAGGCGCACCGAGTTATTGTGGCTTTCTCATCCTAACGAGGTACCCATTCACAGCTGGGTGGACTGGGACACATAGTCACAGTACTTTGTCCAAATTCACTGCACTTTGCTGTACCGGCAACTAGGTGTTTGCACGTATTCATGTGGCCACCATCTGGTCATATACCAACGGATTCGTGGGTTCTTTATTTAGGGGTTGTTATTTTGCTTTCTCTATTTAGTTGCATACCGAGCTGCCAGCCATGATGTCTCCGATGACAGGGATATCATCTCCACTCACTGCAGTAACATCAACACTCGCAAATATCAATACTCTTTAACATCTGTTATATTTGGGATTACACTTTCTTAGTAAAGTACAGATTCTAGTACTTTTGGGGGTTGAGTCCCATCCGGGATTCGAACCCACACCCTCAGAGTCAGGCACCTAATCGCCATCACTCAAAGTCAGACGCCTAGACCGCTCAGCCACCGCGGCTTCCACAAAAATGGAGGTCGGACAACTGGTAGCCTAGACTGCGGACTTTGTGTACCCCTCTGATAAGTGTTAATCGGCACGGCTCACACGGCCGAAAGCTATTAAAAAATACACAATGCCATTTTAGAAAGTGGTCAAATGTAACATATGTTATATTTGGGATTACACTTTCTTAGTAAAAAAGTAAAAAAAGTACTAGAATCTGTACTTTACTAAGAAAGTGTAATCCCAAATATCACATATGTTACATTTGACCAGTTTAGCCTAGTGGTTAAAGCGTTCGCTCGTCACGCCGAAGACCCGGGTTCGATTCCCTACATGGGTACAATGTGTGAAGCCCATTTCTGGTGTTCCCCGCCGTGATATTGCTGGAATATTGCTAAAAGCGGCGTAAAACTAAACTCACTCACTCACTCCTTCACTTTATGCAGTGTAATGTTGAGCATACCCATTACATATACCATAATGCCTAACGACGTCGGTAAATGTGATACATACATACATACTAACATTTTTATAGAGCCGATATCCAAGTCAGCTGCTCAAAGGCGCTTTGTTTTTCCCTCGATCACTGGATGTCAATCTCAACGGCACGTCGTATTATCAATCTCAACTCCCTGGGGATCATACGTGAACACTTATACGCATTTCTATATCATAACGCCGTCATTCTTGCATGAAGAATAGGCTGACATAAGGTCCACGTTGTGAAGGATTATGTTCTAACGGCAAACGTAACGGTGCAAAATATATATCTCGATATAAACATTAAACAAAATATATATCTCGATATAAACATTAAGCAAAATTGAAATTTAAAGGATGCATCTTTCTTCATCACCCAGTTATTGCCATATGACCCATGCAGGTGTTTTAATTAACGGTAACTGTTCGATATCAGTTGATAAATCAGGATAACAAGTTACAACTAAAGTATAAATATGTTACAAATATATATCGTCACATCTTTTAAGGTCATAGAGAATATTGATGATGAACTAAACTGTTTGATTATTTTACAGATTGATGAAGATTTGCAAAGAGTTAGTGAGTGAGGTTGGTTTTACGCCGCTTTTAGAAATATTCCAGCAATATCACTTCGGGGAACACCAGAAAAGGGCCTCTCACAGTGCGAACCACTGGGCTACTACCCCCACGCCACACCCCACACACCCCACCTCACCACCCCAGATTTGCAAAGAAATTGCCTCAGCAAAATATGGATGTTATAATCGTAATGTGAAGATAGATAAGGTAAACAGAGTTCCTTGTCAACATTATTCAAGTTGATGTTGGTGGTCCTTTATTGAACAAAGCCTTCTCTATTAACGTACTCATCTAGTTTTGTAGATGTACAAAGTTCAAGCCGAATGGTTGACAATCTGACCTACACCATAGCACAAACACTAAATCTCGGTTCATAAGAATTGAAATGAACAATTTAAGAAACATACGCTTGTCAGGCCTATATTCAGATCTGCAAGAATATCACAGTTTCGTGCGTTCATGATAACAGATTGTTTACACACTTAAGTCATTCGGGCCAGCCTTCACTCGATCGATATGGTATAAATAGTAAAGTAAATCTAGTAAGTGTGACGTCAGTGTCAATTAAGGGTATCGCACATGCGCAAAAATAAGCGACCTTTGTCGCACAGTACGCGCACCGAGGCTGCCTCCTGTGTAATCTCCTTTTAACGCAATCTAATCAACAGACGAAAATAAAGCTTGTAGTGGTGTAAATCTTGATATCCATATATATCACCAACAGCAATTCATTTTACCGCAAAGAAACTCACTGATACAAACCAAGCTCTGTTTACAGGCTAGAGATCGAGATAGCGCTATAACGAGGTGTTGAGCAATACCATCAAGCTGGGACTTGTACACACACGTGATCTATTTTCACCTGTGCTGACGCTGCCAATTTGTACTATTTCACCTGATAGTATTTGCAAACGCACGTGTTTACGGAACACGGGCACAGACGCTAGATCTAGACGGAACCAGGTGAGTCCTGTTTGTTGACACTAAACATCACTTTACACTCAGTTGATGCAGCACTATACGAACTATCTGTGGGCCCCTATCTGTGGGAACATGCACCGCTTTGTAGATGGGCGTGGCACCGGAGAAGTTATACCAATTGACATGGACGCTAATCTAACAAGTTATTATTTTGATTGTTTCATGTTCTATTCTGGCATCTGTTCTACAGCTTTTCATGCTGGTTCTATAGTAAGTCGCGGTCACCTTACCCAATGCTAAGAAACACAACCTCCATGTTGGAATGTTGAATATGGTTATTTAGAGATCTCACGGTGACGTTTTGCAACCACCCATCTCAATGAAACACTGACAGTTTAATTCCTGTTCTGTAAATGCTTTTTAATAATCATTACTTAAATGCTGGAACCCGGCAGTTAAGACGACGACTTGTGAAAGTCTCCGCTAGTCTCACACAATCTGTCCTCACTACTCCGTCATAGTCCCGTTCATTAGAGCATATCGTCAACCCTCATGTAGTTGGTGGTATGATCAGTGCATGTTAATTGAGAAATGATAACCCCGTACAATAATAAATATAATATAAGTATAATTATAATAGTTTTGCATAACTGCGCCATGACTAACCTGCTCGATGGTCAGAGATCCATGAGAATATCTTGACATGCTCGTGAAAAGGCATGAAAATTACAGAACATTTATCATTTAACTGTTAAACCACTGACAAATTCACAAAAGGAGTTTTGCTGTATTATCGTCATTATCTAATAATACACAGTGTCTTCACTCAAAATACAGATTTAATCGATCTGCGAGAAGCCGCGACACTGAACAGAAACCGGCAGATTTACTCTAGATTAACGCCAGCTATATCTGGGTCCGTGTATCTGATTTCAAGTCATATGCATGTGAAACGTTTACCTAGAAGTCGGGCATAAATCCCCTGACTGTTGGGTTTGTAGCGCTGTAGAGCTGTTCTTGATAATATTGTTTGAGGTAGAGCTGAGACACAAAGGCGGGTGCAGTCATTGATCTCATGTAACCCATGACTACATTAATACAAATACAGCGGGACAAAGACTCGACATTCTGAGTGCTACATATAGGACCTGTTACTTATTACTGTTGTCTTTTTTACTGTAAAACGTAAACTATGTGTTTTATGGATTTGTCAGTCTATTTATTATTGATTACTCATTGGTCTTGTGGGGTCCTCTACTAACTTCAGGCTTAGCATTTGAACGAACGAGCGAGTTTTAGTTTTACGCCGCTTTTAGAAGTATACCAGCAATATCACGGCGGAGGATATCAGAAATGGGCTTCACACATTGCACCCTTGTGGGGAATTGAACCCAGGTTTTCGGCGTGACGAGCGAACGCTTTAACCACTAGAATTTCAGGTGATTCCTTGGTGAAGTGAATTATAGTCATGGGGAGCTATAACTTGTGACGTCATTTCCGAAACGAACGAATCATTGGTTAAGACTGGATACGGCTCCCTTTGCGCGCGAGACGGGGCCCAGCTTAGAATGGGTCTGGAGATATAATGCACCAGATCATCGAATGTCGTTACATATATGACGTCACGTCACGGAACCACCCGATTGTCACCTAGTAGTACGGTGATGTCAAGATGTGTCGGCTCAATGTGGTAAGAAAGCCCGGGGTGACGCAAGTCTCATTAGCCGGCGCTGGTGAAATCCATACAATCGAGCAATACTTGACAGAAGACTTGCATTAATGTGTGTTTACCTTGATAATCCTATCACATGTGCATGTATATGAAGTGTTGCTAAGGGAGGTCGTTGATATGTGGTATTCATTTTTATACCCAGAGTAGGCTAGTAGTGTCTACGAATGTAAGCAATGTAACTTTGCAATAGCAAGGCACTGTTTGCTCGAACAAGATGTGCACAAATCACACCTAACCGTGAAACATCAAGAAATGAGTTCTATGGCGTCCATCAGGAAAATATAGGTATATTCTCAAATAACATTAGTGCTGGTTGTGAGACAGAAACTAAACACACAAAGGCGTGACGAACATAGACTATTTACGGCAAGGCCTGTGCACGTTCCTTTCTATATTGCAGGTAACGTAGCAGCATGCCGGGAGTAAAACGAAAGGCGTCACGTGCTTCGCCTTATGAACCGGTCAATAAACTGACCAAACAGCGAACCTCCACTGCTGCCAGCCCTGTCAGGGAGGAATCAACCGCCCGCCCACCGCTGCCTTTGCCAAAATGGCCAAGTCTTAAAAGAAAAACGACGAAAGACAGCGCCACCCCCGAGGGATCAGGAGACGCGTCCCCTCCACCGGGATTGAGAAGGGCCCCCACCCTAACCCTGGAGGATAAAGAATCCAAGTCGGCTTCACCTCTCGCTGGCAAGAAGAGCTTGTCCAAGAAAGGGTCTGTTGTAGTAGGCGAGGTCGTTACTGCCCCTTCTCTGCCTAAAACAGCGTCCATCGTTGAAGGTGACGATAGAGTTACGACCTTGACTCTACTGGCCTCTGGATCAACTGTTGGCCGCACCACCAGTTTCTCTGAAGCACCTGCTGCAATAAGCAAGGAACTCTCCAAGACATCCACCACCACCAAGACGCCTCTCATCTGTAAGAGCATCAGCAGAGGAGGCAGCATCGTCATCGGCGGGGGAGACGTCCCATCTCTCAGCAAGTCGTCGTCCAAGTCCAAGTCTGTGTCGTCGAAATCAGGCTCCGAGACTGGTGTTGCTTTGGAGAAGGTGCTCAGTCTCAGTAAATCTTTGTCCAAACCGTCTCTGACGAAGGAGAAGTCTGCCAGTCTCATCAGTGCCGCAGCCGAAGAAGCTGCAGCTGCTGATGAAGAGAATGGTGACGGTGCAGTCACAGTGGACATCCCCCTTCCACCTGGGGGACTCATGGAGATCGTTTTCTCCTTCGATACGACCGGCTCCATGATGAGGTGAGTGGTATGGTGTGGGGTGTTTGGAGGGGGCGACCATGTTTACACTGTTGACTAATATCAATCTGAACTATAATGCCATGCTGGCAATTCGTAAAGAAAAATATACTGGTTGTCAGCGTACCCTCCAAATCTAGGTACCTGTCGAAAATCTCTTCCTCCTGAATGGAAAATTTAGAGCGAGATTTCACACAGCCCCGTACTGTAAACTAAACTCAATATCATGCTGCCCACGACACTAAAACGGGTTCATATTTTGGCAGTTGTCTGGAGCAGGTTCGGAGCCAAATCCAGGATATGGTTCAGCGACTCCAGGCAGATATCCCTGGCATACGCATCGGCATATTCGCCCACGGCGACTACTGCGACGCCAGCAACTACGTTGTTCAGTGGATCGACTTCGGCGCATCAACCCCGGAGATCTGCAAGTTCGTTAAAGACGTAAAGCCTACTGGAGGTGGTGACTTCCCAGAGGCGTACGAGGTGGTCCTGAGACGCTGCCAGAGCGTTCTGTCCTGGACCCCCGGGAGTCAGCGTTCCCTGGTGATGATAGGGGACGCCATCCCCCACGAGGCCAAAGATCCTCAGAATGAGGAGAACATTGACTGGAAGACAGAGTGCAGGGCTTTGAGAGACATGGTATGTGGGGAAAACACGATGCGCATACAAAGTTCAGTCAATGTTAAACTCTTCCTTATTGAGTTTGATAGTAACTTTCCATATTTATTTAGGGTGTTAGCATCAGGTGTGTGACCGTGGTAGGGTTAAAGCTGATTATGTTAGTTTTGAATGGCGTTTAAGGTTATCGGAGGAGGATAATCCAAACTCTGTTATCAAATACCAAAGCTGAAATCAGTTACAGCAACTCTTTAAAATAATTCTGGTTCCATTTGCCGGGGATAAGAAGTTAGTTAATCAATGATGACGTTGCTCGTGCAGGGCGTCCGCATCTATGGTGTACAGGCCGGGTCAAGCAATGACACAAAAAAGTTCTTCAAAGAAATGACAAACATCACTCATGGCCGCCACTTGCAACTGGATCAGTTCTCGAACATCTTCGATATGATCATGGCTATCTGCTACAGAGAGAGGGGAGCGGACTTCCTCGAGGTGAGTCACTTGATACATGGGCGGGTAGCTGTGGGTCATGTGAAGGGATGGATTGCTGTGATGTTTGTATAAACAGGGTGGAAAGTTTGATGTGGGTATGTACAGGGTGGATAGCTGTAGTGTGGGTGTGTATAGGGTAGATAGCTGTGACGTGTGTGTACTGGGTGGATAGCTGTGATGTGTGCGTGTACTGGGTGGATAGCTGTGATGTGTGTCTGTACTGGGTGGATAGCTGTGGTGTGGGTGTGCTGAGGGGATAGCTTGATGTGGGTATGTGCCGAGTGGATAGCTTGATGTGGGTATGCACAGGGTGGATAGCTTGGTATGGGTATGTACAGGGTGGATAGCTGTGGTGTGGGTGTGTACTGGGTGGATAGCTGTAGTGTGTGTGTGTACTGGGTGGATAGCTGTGGTGTGAGTGTGTACTGGGTGGATAGCTGTGTGGGTGTGTGTGTGTGTGTACTGGGTGGATAGCTGTGATGTGTGTGTGTGTACTGGGTGTGTGTGATAGCTGTGATGTGTGTGTGTACTGGGTGGATAGCTGTGATGTGTGTGTGTGTACTGGGTGGATAGCTGATGTGTGTGGGGGTGGATACTGGGTGCTCATAGCTGTGGTGTGGGTGTGTACTGGGTAGATAGCTGTAGTGTGGGTGTGTGTGTACTGGGTGGATAGCTATAGTGTGTGGTGTGTACTGGGTGGATAGCTGTAGTGTGGGTGGATAGCTATAGCGTGGAGTGTGTACTGGGTAGATAGCCATGATGTGTAGTACTGGTGGGTGTGCGTACTGGGTGGATACTTGGGTGGTGTGTACTGGGTGGATCCGTGGAGGGTGTACTGTGATGCTTTGGTGTGGTGTACTGTACATAGGTGGATAGCTGTGATGTGGATAGTACATAGGGTGTGTACTGGGTGGATGTGATGTGGATAGTGGATGGATAGCTGTGATGTGGGTATGTACTGAGTGGATAGCTGTGATGTGGGTATGTGCTGAGGGGATAGCTTGATGTGGGTATGTGCTGAGGGGATAGCTTGATGTGGGTATGTACAGGGTGGATAGCTGTGATGTGGGTATGTGCTAAGGGAATAGCTTGATGTGGGTATGTTCAGGGTGGATAGCTGTGATGTGGATGTGTACTGAGGGGACAGCTTGATGTGGGTATGTGCTGAGGGGATAGCTTGATGTGGGTATGTTCAGGGTGGATAGTTGTGATGTGGGTATGTGCCGAGGGGATAGCTTGATGTGGGTATGTGCTGAGGGGATAGCTTGATGTGGGTATGTTCAGGGTGGATAGCTGTGATGTGGGTTATGCAGGATGGGTAGCAGTGATGTGGGTATATACAGGGTGGATGGCTGTAATGTGGGTGTGCTGAGGGGATAGCTTGATGTGGGTATGTGCCGAGTGGATAGCTTGATGTGGGTGTGTGCCGAGTGGATAGCTTGATGTGGGTATGCTCAGGGTGGATAGCTTTTATGTGGGTATGTACATAGAAGATAGCTGTGATGTGGGTGTGTACTGAGGGGATAGCTTGATGTGGGTATGTGCTGTGTGGATAGCTGTGATGTGGGCATGTTCAGGGTGGATAGCTGTGATGAGGGTATGTATAGGGTGGATAGCTGTGATGCTGCAATACAGACGTGTGCGCTATACACGTAGAGTTACATGCTATGTATTACAGGCATACGAGGACGAAGTTCGGGGCCGCCACGGAGGAGGGGCCATCAGTAAGGATCTGGAGGGACTGTTCGGGACGCTGAGGGATGACTCGGACTCTTCTTCGTCGACACCCGTAAAGACAGGGACCAAGAAGGGTATCCCGAAGGCCACAGCCCTGAAGAAACTGAAAGCAGTGGTGAAGGCTAAAGGTGCAGCTAAGAAGGTCAAGGGCGCCGGTAAAACCAAACCCAAAGCGAAACCGGCAAGGAAAAAGACTGGAGCAAAGAAAACCACCAAAACTAAGACGAAGGCCAAGAAAAGTAAGGTATGAAAACGAAGTATCATTTTCCATGAAGTGGTATATCCCTGCTAGGCTACATTTACAAACGAGCAGCTTGACTTACCCCCAGCTCCCTATTTTAGTTAGATCTTATGACTAGGATGGGTTACTCGAATCCCCCTAGGAGTTTAACCTCAGCAATGTCTGTGATTAATTCGTGTCATCATTATTTCAGAAGTTCCTACGTGAAAATGTAAACGACAAGAATTTCATCTTTGGTTCCAACGACGATGGTTGTGAAGATGCCTTGCTGATCGACATGGAATGGACGGACTGGAAGCGCGCCATCTACCCCGCGAAGACAAAGCTCCACTCGCCATCTAGGTCAGCCCGCGGCACTAAACGAACATTCAGAGGGGCTAATGGATATGTGAGGTCCGACCTGTTCAAATGGAACCATGACGTCCAGGCCATCTACGAGCTAGGTGTCCGACCTCCAGGAGGCAATCGGAAGCGTATCTACGCGACGCTGTTTAAATTTTCAAAGGGGTTTAAGAGCAATCAGGCATGGGATTCATTCCTGTTGAGGAACAAACGCGCGTTTGAGGCGGTGAGCAATGTTATCGCACGGGAGGGATTGATCTTTGTCAGGCGAGCTGTGTACCCTCCCGATAATGATATTTGGTTCCCAGATACCATCAAACGCATCAAGGAAATATTTGACTATGCGTGGAACAAGCCTTTGAAAGGAGGTGAAAACTTCCGAACCATTGAAAAGGGTAGTTTTCTCATCAGTGGCGTCCGAAAGGCTCGGAACACTCCCAAGAAGAAAACAGCCACCACCTCTAAGGGTAAGAGCTCATCTAAAAAGACAAAGGCAGCTGCTGTGAAGAAATCAAAGCCCAAAACCATAACCACTAAAAAGACAGCTAAAAAAACTAAACCAACCAAAAAGACAAAAGCACCCGCTAAAAAGACAAAAGGCAAAGGGAAGGCAGCTAAATAGACAGGGACTTATCTTCAACAGTGTTTAACTGCCATTATATTTTAATACTGACATTGGAACTATCATCATGGAACTATCATCAACATCTTCTCCAGCATACTGGATGCTTACAGAGGAATACTGGACCAAGAGGACGAGTACTAAATGCATCTTCACTTTACATTAATATCTCATGACTAGTATACATTGAAACATTATACACCATTTAAATAACACCTAATAACGATGGCTGGAGTTTTTTCCGATTTTATAGAATACCGCACTGTTTATTTAGCAATATATGAATGCATTTGATAAAGATTATTGCACTTTTTTAAAAGATGGTTTTGATAGAGATGCTTATGTTCTGAAAGGGATGTTGATAATCCCTGAAAACACCTCGACACTAATGAACTGGGCAGTTTTTGGTGGGCGGATTCACATCAAGAAATTAAAGTGCTTTAGTGAATAGATTGATGGCATGTTAAGATGAATGAGTGCATTTTGTTGAATGCTTTGTTTACCAAGATACCATTTCTCGCTAATTTTCATAATAATTCATGAGTATCAAGTATCATATTCGTTAATAATTACAATCAGAAAACGTGGGATGATAAATGGATTCTCATGATCGGGTCTTGTAAGATGAAATATGTCAGGATTTGGTGAAAGTCAAAATTTCTTCCGCAAGAGTAGTGGTATTTGTTTTATTGATCATATGTCAAATGTTTTATCTTGGAAATCACTCGGATGAGAGTCTGTATTTTATTTAATATGTTTGCCGGCCGTTTCGTCTTGTTTTTTGTAGATTGAAATATATAATCGAAAAAAATCTTAAGTCTTTTGCTTCATTAAGTGAGTGCCCCGACCGCGTCATACCAAAAGACGTTAAAATATGATACTTGTTGGTCCCTGCCTGGCGCTCGGCATTAATGGGTACAACAAGGACTGGTCGGCTTGGAGTTAGTATAATGTGTCTGAGTGGTGTATTCATGCTTCACTCCGGCATGGTATCTCAGTGGGCTAGCACAATAAAACCAGCTTCAGTCTGGGCTAGTACAAGCAGCCGCACATACACATACATACACACGCACGCACGTCGTCATATGAGCGAAATATTTTCCAGCGCGACGTTAAACCTAATTTCACCTCACCTCATTAAGTGAGTGAGTGTGTATGGTTTAATACCGATTTTAGCAATATTCCAGCAATGTCATTGCGGGGAAAACCAGAAATGGGCTTCACACATTGTACCCATGTGGGGAATCGAACCCGGGTCTTCGGCGTGACGAGCCAACGCTTTGACCAGTAGGCTACCCCACCGCCCCTTCTTCATTATGAGATGTGATAACAGCCCTGAGCATCTGAGAATACTTCATGGATGTGTAATAGGTGTGGAATATAGACGTTCTGGTCAGTTACAGTCCAGTACATCAGCTGACCCTTCCCACGAAATTCGGTTCGATCTGGACTTGTCTCGATCTGAATGCACCAGTGTCGTTCTGGTGAGTTTCAGAAACTCACAGTCAATGCGCTGCGGATCCTGGAGTTTAAAGGGTTCGTTTGGTACACTAAAGACGCGGATTCGAACCTAATTCTTGCAATTGACTCCCGGATGGTGCATGAATACTTGTATCGCTAAATGTAACGTAAGAGAATTGTCGCTCATTCACCTGAATGTATATGTATTGTATACAGCAGGTCATAAATACAACCCGCCTGCCTCAGTAAGTCTATCCTCAGGTGACCCGTGAAGATCCGGGTCAGAATTGGTCATCAGCAACCTATGCTTGTCGTAAGAGGCGACTAACGGGATTGGGTGGCCAAGCTCCAGGACTTGGTTGACACATGTCATCGGATCCCAGTTGCGTAGATCGATGCTCATGCTGTTGACCACAGGATTGTCTGGTCCAGACTCGATTATTTACAGACTGCTGCGATATAGCTTAAATATTGCTGAGTGCGGTGTAAAAGTAAACTCGCTCACTATCCTCAGGCCAGTTGTCAATGGATAGTGGCGCGTCATGTCTGTTGATGTGACTTGATTTACTCAAATGGTAGGGTCAGTGTCATTTCCCAAACCGAAGCCAATCAGATATTTCCCATTGGAGGAACGCCCAAACTGTCTTGAAGAAAACATACACTGAGAAACTATACTCTTTAAAAAGTAGGGGAACCTGAACTTTCAAGTTGGATAGAAAATATGAGCGTCAACAAACCTTTCAAAGGCAGACATCTCATGAACGCATCACCATTTCCCTTTATCACCACCCCTAAACACAGCGCATGGGATGCACGTGCCCAACGCAGTATCCCCATTACTCGTGTATTGGGTGTCATTCTTCATTTTGTCGGTTTTCAAAAAGGTCGATAAATCAGTGGAGACCATTAATTTTGACAATCAACTTGCATTACACAGTTAGTGTTTGTTATTAGTCGGGTTTTTGTTGTTGTTGTTGTTGTTGCTGTTTGAAAATGAAAATCGTACACATGGAAATTTCACGTCATACACCAATCATCTTTCAAGTGGTCGTAAGGAAGTGCAAGTGGTGATACCCCTTATCATCATATCAACATTGATTGATCTCCTTCTTTGTCAATCGTAAATTAAAAATGAGGTTCCCCTACTTTTTTTAGAGTATAAAAACGTCACAACAGTGTAATGTTAGCCACATAGCAAATATTACAGAAGGAAGTACAGGCAGTCATCAGACGCCATCACCATTGTGCACAATAGCGCTTGGGCAGATGCGCAGTTCATTTTCACCCGGTTTCATGAGAGTTTCAATGGTCATTAAATATACTTTCAGGACGAAAGCGGGGTGCGCACCCCTGCACCCCGACCCCCCTTTGGATCCGCCCATGTTCACCCTCTTTATGGTAAATATTCAGTTGATGTAAACTGTATTGGTCTTTGACCTAATATAAATCTTGTCTTGTCTTGTCTGATATATAAATTCACTCTGATTCGGCATGTTATCTCACTCACTCACTCACTCACTCACTCACTCACTCACTCACTCACTCACTCACTCACTCTCACTCACACACACACACACAGCTGCGTCAGTTGTGCTTGTTTAGCATGAACATAAATAAAGGTAAATAAATTACCGTGACTATGCTATTACATGTCTCCCTATGTCTCCTATATCACATCACAAAATGATATTCATTTGTGTCAATCAAAGAACATGTTTATTTCATTTGGTAAACTAAACATGAATAGAAATGTACAACCTATCACATTACAATATATATTGAACCTGGTGTTTGGACATTTAGTTTGCATTGTCTCTCTGATCTTATTCTGGACTGCACAGTGTCACAGACAGACTGGTCCCCGGGTATAGTTTCAGTCACTTACTCTGTGTATACATGTTTCATTGGCTTCTCTAACTTCATGGACAGTGTCACGATATGTGTTATATGGTTTGTCTGCACATAATACAAGGTAAGAGTTCTGCCTTCACATGTAGAGTAGGTGCAAACTGATCATCCTGAATCAAGTTTCATTAGACTACCAACACTTTCAGCCCGTGGCTTTATTGGAGGAATGTATGACAACTGCAGCTGAGTGGAACACACAACCAGCTGAAAGCACGTTGTCAGCTCCCAGGGTAGGGACGATGACCAAGACGAAAGACAAATATCGCAGCCGGGTCAACGGTGTTTGTTCTTCTCGTTTAAAATTATACATATATATAAAGGTGTATCACGTAATAAGATATAGAAAGCAGTCAATAATACATAATACATAATACAGCATGCAAGACTGTAAAGAAGGTGGTGTCTAGTATCTATCTATCTGTCTATATGTCTGTCTGTCTGTCATTCTGTCTGTCCTTCTGTCTGTCTGTCTGTCCGTCCGTCCGTCTGTCTGTCACGTACACAATTTTGTGGGTTGATAGTCACAGTCAAAAAACATTTCAAAATATTTACGTTGTTTTTGGAAAATATGGTCGTGGATTAATGATTCCAGGTTTGTCAGCTCCATGCCTTTATGTAACTAAAGTAATGTTCAGATCGGCGTTGAACCAACTCACTCACTTATCATACAATACGTAAGCTGTAGAGTAGAGTCCGTGGACTGTGTAGATAGAACGTCGCGGGACAGTCAGGAAATCATACTCGGTGTGTCCATTGTTTAATATACGTCTATGATATAGAGATACCGCCTGAGGTTGCAACACGACCTTTACACTGGAGGCGGACAATGTGAATAACTATACGTCCTGTCTAATCTAAACTGTTGTGTTGAACACAAAGGACACGTGTGTGTGTGTGTGTGTGTGTGTGTGTGTGTGTGTGTGTGTGTGTGTGTGTGTGTGTGTGTGTGTGTGTGTGTGTGTGTGTGTGCGTGTGTGCGTGTGAGTGTGTGTGTGTGTGTGTTCTTTTCCGGAGCATTATTTCTTCACTTTTATCACTACATCCTTGGACCATTGACTATGTAAAGAGATAAACAAAATTCTTCTGGTCCTATATGCACCCGAATTCTTTCGCCGCTTGACGTTCTTCAGGTGTGCTGAAAACTTGAGCCTAGTCAAAATAAACCAGTATCATGCATTTCCAGTATTGGCTTTTGTACCACCAAAGAGTGGTTGAAAGAGAATAAACGAATTGTGAACTTAGTGTACATGTTGTGAGGCGTTGCCTCGTTCCCTTGGTTGAACAACAGAAAGGGAAATAATCGAAACGGTGACTATAAAAAAGAAATAAGGGTTGCGTCTGACGAATGTGCCATTCGCAGCCATTATTATTATAGGATATTTATTTATCATCCAAAACTGTGTTCCACAGGAGATATCGCTTGAGTGAGATCAAACGATATCTCCTAGGAGATATCGTTTTGACAGTAGATTTTGTACAATGCCCTGACAATGCTATGACGTCATGTACTTGATGACGTCACAATGCTATGACATCGCTGCACTGCAAGTCTAATGGCAGTACCATGTTCAGAGATGTACATTTTTCATTGAAAATTAATGAAGAGTGATTTTGGATGATAAATAGAATCTCACCCTCGTGTCTTCTGATATCAAATATATCAACACTCGTTGATAAAGTAAAAATATCCTCGGCAAGCCTCGGATATTTGTAACTTTATCAACTCGTGATGATATAATTGATATCAGAAGACACTTGGGTGAGATTCTCTATATATATAGCGCATATATCCATGCAACTAGTGCATGCTCAAGGCGCTGGTATTGTTTTCCCTCGATCATTGGATGTCAACCTCAACGGCACATCGTATTATCAATCTCAACTCCCTGGGGAGTATACAACTCTTGCAGCCACTAGGCGCACCGAGTTATTGTGGCTTTCTCATCCTAACGAGGTACCCATTCACAGCTGGGTGGACTGGGATACATAGTCACAGTACTTTGTCCAAATTCACTGCACTTTGCTGTACCCGCAACTAGGTGTTTGCACTACACATGTGGCCACCATCTGGTCATATACCAACGGATTCGTGGGTTCTTTTAAGTGCACGGAGTTGTGTACTGTACACTAGGGCTTGTTATATTGCTTTCTCTATTTAGTTGCATACCGAGCTGCCAGCCATGATGTCTCCGATGACAGGGATATCATCTCCACTCACTGCAGTAACATTAACACTCGCAAGTATCAATACTGTTTAACATCTGTTATATTTGGGATTACAGTTTCTTAGTAAAGTACAGATTCTAGTACATTCTTGGTTTGAGTCCCATCCGGGATTCGAACCCACACCCTCAGAGTCAGGCACCTAATGACCACCACAAAAGTCAGACGCCTAGACCGCTCAGCCACCGTGGCTTCCACAAATATGGAAGTCGGACAACTGGTAGTCTAGACTTTGTGTACCCCTCTGATAAGTGTTAATCGGCACGGCTCCCACGGCCGAAAGCTATGTAATACACAATGCCATTTTAGAAAGTGGTCAAATATGTTTTATTTGGGGTTACACTTTCTTAGTAAAAAAGTAAAAAAAGTACTAGAATCTGTACTTTAATAAGAGTGGAAGTAACATAAGGAACTTATCTATAACGATGAGTGTAGTAGTAATAATGATGTTGATTGACACGCTTTATTCTTTCAGAACATGATGTAATTGAGCAGGTCCCTTTACTTTATATGGGGCGGTGGAGTAGCCTAGTGGTTAAAGCGTTCGCTCGTCACGACGAAGACCCGGGTTCGATTCCCTACATGGGTAACAATGTGTGAAGCCCATTTCTGGTGTCCCCCGCCGTGTTTTTGTTGGAATATTGCCAACAGCGGCGTAAAACTAAACTCACTCACTCACTCCTTCACTTTATGCAGTGTGATGTTGATCATATCCAGTACATATACCATGATACCTAACGACATACATACCAGTTTTTGCCATATGACCCATGCATACCAGTTATACATACATACCAGTTATTGCCATATGACCCATGCAGGTGTTTTAATTAACGGTAATTGTTCCATATCAGTTGATAAATCGGGATAACAAGTTACAACATACATACATACATACATACATACATACATACATACATACATACATACATACATACATACATACATACATACATACATACATACATACATACATACATACATGTTTTAATTAACGGTAACTGTTCGATATCAGTTGATAAATCGGGATAACAAGTTACAACTAAAGTATAAATATGTTAAAAATATATATCGTCACATCTTTTAAGGTCATAGTGAATACTGATGATGAAGTAAACTGTTTGATAATTTTGCAGATTGAAGAAGATTTGCAAAGAGTTAGTGAGTGAGGTTGGTTTTACGCCGCTTTTAGAAATATTCCCGCAATATCACTTCGGGCAACACTAGAAAAGGGCCTCACACAGGCGTGCGAACCACTGGGCTACTAAGGCTGCCTCCTGTGTAATCTCCTTTTAACGCAATGTAATCAACAGACAAAAATAAAGCTTGTAGTGGTGTAAATCTTGATATCCATATATATCACCAACAGCAATTCATTTTACCGCAAAAAAACTCACTGTAGATACAAACCAGACTCTGTTTACAGGGTAGAGATCGAGACAGCGCTATAACGAGGTGTTGAGCAATACCATCAAGCTGGGACTTGTACATACACGTGATCTATTTTCACCTGTGCTGACGCTGCCAATTTGTACTATTTCACCTGATAGTATTTGCAAACGCACGTGTTTACGGAACACAGGCACAGACGCTAGATCTAGACGGAACCAGGTGAGTCCTGTTTGTTGACACTAAACATCACTTTACACTCAGTTGATGCAGCACTATACGAACTATCTGTGGGCCCCTATCTGTGGGAACTTGCACCGCTTTGTAGATGGGCGTGGCACCGGAGAGTTATACCAATTGACATGGACGCTAATCTAACAAGTCATTATTTTGATTGTTTCATTTTCTATTCTGGCATCTTTTCTACAGCTTTTCATGCTGGTTCTACAGTAAGTCGCGGTCACCTTACCCAATGCTAAGAAACACAACCTCCATGTTGGAATGTTGAATATGGTTGTTTAAAGATCTCACGGTGACGTTTTGCAAATACACATCTCGATAAAACACTGACAGTTTAATTCCAGTTCTGTAAATGCTTTTTAATAAGCATTACTTAAATGCTGGAACCCGGCAGTTAAGACGACGACTTGTGAAAAGTCTCCGCTAGTCTCACACAATCTGTCCTCACTACTCCGTCATAGTCCCGTTCATTAGAGCATATCGCCAACCCTCATGTAGTTGGTGGTATGATCAGTGCATGTTCACTGAGAAATGATAACCCCGTAATAAATATAATATAAGTATAAGTATAATAGTTTTGCATAACTGCGCCATGACTAACCTGCTCGATGGTCAGAGAGACATGAGAATATCATGAGAATTACAGAACATTTATCATTTAACTGTTAAACCACTGACAAATTCACAACTTCAGGCTTAGCATTTGAACGAACGAGCGAGTCTTAGTTTTACGCCGCTTTTAGAAGTATACCAGCAATATCACGGCGGAGGATATCAGAAATGGGCTTCACACATTGCACCCTTGTGGGGAATTGAACCCAGGTCTTCGGCGTGACGAGCGAACGCTTTAACCACTAAAATTTCAGGTGATTCCTTGGTGAAGTGAATTATAGTCATGGGGAGCTATAACTTGTGACGTCATTTACGAAACGAACGAATCATTGGTTAAGAATGGATACGGCTCCCTTTGCGCGCGAGACGGGGCCCAGCTTAGAATGGGTCTGGAGATATAATGAACCAGATCATCGAATGTCGTTATGACGTCACGTCACGGAACCACCCGATTATCACCGAGTAGTACGGTGATGTCAAGATGTGTCGGCCCAATGTGGTAAGAAAGCCCGGGGTGACGCAAGTCTTTGACATGATAATAAACATTATCACCATAGGCGGATCCAGAGGGGTGTTGGGTGGGGTGTTTCGGGGTGCGCCCCCTCCCCTTTTGTCCTGAAAGTTTATTAAATGACCACTGAAACTCTCGTGAAAATGAAGTGTGCACACCTCCTTTCTCAATAGTGTGTGCAACCCCAAACACACGCCCCCACCCCCTTCTCAAAAAGCTGTATCCGCCCCTGAATCACAGTTGCCCCTCATTAGTCGGCGCTGGGGAAATCCATGCAATCGAGCAATACTTGACAGAAGACTTGCATTAATGTGTGTTTACCTTGATAATCCTATCACATGTGCATGTATATGAAGTGTTGCTAAGGGAGGTCGTTGATATGTGGTACTCATTTCTATACCCAGAGTAGGCTAGTAGTGTCTACGAATGTAAGCAATGTAACTTTGCAATAGCAAGGGCCTGTTTGCTCGAACAAAATGTGCACAAATCACACCTAACCGTGAAACATCAAGAAATGAGTTCTATGGCGTCCATCAGGAAAATATAGGTATATTCTCAAATAACACTAGTGCTGGTTGTGAGACAGAAACTAAACACACAAAGGCGTGACGAACATAGACTATTTACGGCAAGGCCTGTGCACGTTCCTTTCTATATTGCAGGTAACGTAGCAGCATGCCGGGAGTAAAACGAAATGGTGACGGTTCAGTCGCAGTGGACATCCCCCTTCCACCTGGGGGACTCATGGAGATCGTTTTCTCCTTCGATGTGACCGGCTCCATGATGAGGTGAGTGGTATGGGGTGGGGTGTCAGGAGAGGCGACCATGTTTACACTGTTGACTAATATCAATCTGAACTATAATGCCATGCTGGCAATTCGTAAAGATAAATATACTGGTTGTCAGCGTACCCTCCAAATCTAGGTACCTCCTTCCTCCTGAATGGAAAATTTAGAGCGAGATTTCACACAGCCCCGTACTATAAACTAAACTCAATATCATGCTGCCCACGACACTAAAACGGGTTCCTATTTTGGCAGTTGTCTGGAGCAGGTTCGGAGCCAAATCCAGGATATGGTTCAGCGACTCCAGGCAGATATCCCTGGCATCCGCATCGGCATATTCGCCCACGGCGACTTCTGCGACCGCAGGAACTACTTTGTTCAGCGGATCGGCTTCGGCGCATCAACCCCTGAGATCTGCAAGTTCGTTAAAGACGTAGAGCCTAGTAGAGGTGGTGACTTCGCAGTGGCGTACGAGGTGGTCCTAAAACTCTGCCAGACACGTCTGTCCTGGACCCCCGGGAGTCAGCGTTCCCTGGTGATGATAGGGGACGCCATCCCCCGTGCGCCCAAACATTTTCGGAATGAGGAGAACATTGACTGGAGGACAGAGTGCAGGGCTTTGAGAGACATGGTATGTGGGGAAAACACGATGCGCATACAAAGTTTAGTCAATGTTAGACTCTTCCTTATTGAGTTTGATAGTAACGTTCCATATTTATTTAGGTTGTTAGCATCAGGTGTGTGACTGTGGTAGGGTTAAAGCTGATTATGTTAGTTTTGAATGGCGTTTAAAGCTATCGGAGGTGGAAAATCCAAACTCTGTTACCAAATACCAAAGCTGAATCAGTTACAGCAACTCTTTAAAATAATTCTGGTTTCCATTTGCCGGGGATAAGTAGTTAGTTAATCAATGATGACGTTGCTCGTGCAGGGCGTCCGCATCTATGGCGTACAGGCCGGATCAAACAATTACTCAAGAAAGTTCTTCAAAGAAATGACAAACATCACACATGGTCGCCACTTGCAACTGGATCAGTTCTCGAATATCTGCGATATGATCATGGCTATCTGCTACAGAGAGAGGGGAGCGGACTTCCTGGAGGTGAGTCACTTGATACAGGGGCGGGTAGCTGTGGGTCATGTGAAGGGGTGGATTGCTGTGATATTTGTATATACAGGGTAGATAGTTTGATATGGGTATGTACAGGGTGGATAGCTGTAGTGTGGGTGTGTATAGGGTAGATAGCTGTGATGTGTGTGTGTACTGGGTGGACAGCTGTGGTGTGGGTGTGTACTGGGTGGATAGCTGTAGTGTGGGTGTGTTCTGGGTGGATAGCTGTGATGTGTGTGTACTGGGTGGATAGCTGTGATGTGTGTGTGTACTGGGTGGATAACTGTGATGTGTGTGTACTGGGTGGATAGCTGTGATGTGTGTGTGTACTGGGTGGATCGCAGTGGTGTGGGTGTGTACTGGGTGGATAGCTGTAGTGTGGGTGTGTTCTGGGTGGATAGCTGTGATGTGTGTGTACTGGGTGGATAGCTGTGATGTGTGTGTGTACTGGGTGGATAACTGTGATGTGTGTGTGTACTGGGTGGATAGCTGTGATGTGTGTGTGTACTGGGTGGATAGCTGTGATGTGTGTGTGTATTGGGTGGATAGATGTGGTGTGGGTGTGTACTGGGTGGATAGCTGTGATGCGTGTTTGTACTGGGTGGATAGCTGTGATGTGGGTATGTACAGGGTGGATAGCTTGGTATGGGTATGTACAGGGTGGATAGCTGTCATGTGGGTATGTGCTGAGGGGATAGCTTGATGTGGGTATGTACAGGGTGGATAGCTGTGATGTGGGTATGTGCTGAGGGGATAGCTTGATGTGGGTATGTACAGGGTGGATAGCTGTGATGTGGGTATGTGCTGTGTGGATAGCTTGATGTGGGTATGTACAGGGTGGATAGCTGTGATGTGGGTATGTGCTGAGGGGATAGCTTGATTTGGGTATGTGCTGAGGGGATAGCTTGATGTGGGTATGTATAGGGTGGATAGCTATGATGTGGGTTATGCAGGATGGATAGCAGTGATGTGGTTATATATAGGGTGGATAGCTGTAATGTGGGTGTGTACTGAGGGGATAGCTGTGATGTGGGTATATGCTGAGGGGATAGCTTGATGTGGGTATGTTCAGGGTGGGTAGCAGTGATGTGGTTATATATAGGGTGGATAGCTGTAATGTGGGTGTGTACTGAGGGGATAGCTGTGATGTGGGTATGTGCTGAGGGGATAGCTTGATGTGGGTATGTTCAGGGTGGATTGCTGTGATGTGGGTATGTGCCGAGGGGATAGCTTGATGTGGGTATGTTCAGGGTGGATAGCTGTGATGTGGGTTATGCAGGATGGGTAGCAGTGATGTGGTTATATATAGGGTTGGATAGCTGTAATGTGGGTGTGCTGAGGGGATAGCTTGATGTGGGTATGTTCAGCGTGGATGGCTTTTATGTGGGTATGTACATAGCGGATAGTTGTAATGTGGGTGTGTACTGAGGGGATAGCTTGATGTGGGTATGTGCTGAGGGGATAGCTTGATGTGGGTATGTTCAGGGTGGATTGTTGTGATGTGGGTATGTGCCGAGGGGATAGCTTGATGTGGGTATGTTCAGGGTGGATAGCTGTGATGTGGGTTATGCAGGATGGGTAGCAGTGATGTGGTTATATATAGGGTGGATAGCTGTAATGTGGGTGTGTACTGAGGGGATAGCTGTGATGTGGGTATGTGCTGAGGGGATAGCTTGATGTGGGTATGTTCAGGGTGGATTGCTGTGATGTGGGTATGTGCCGAGGGGATAGCTTGATGTGGGTATGTTCAGGGTGGATAGCTGTGATGTGGGTTATGCAGGATGGGTAGCAGTGATGTGGTTATATATAGGGTGGATAGCTGTAATGTGGGTGTGCTGAGGGGATAGCTTGATGTGGGTATGTTCAGCGTGGATGGCTTTTATGTGGGTATGTACATAGCGGATAGTTGTAATGTGGGTGTGTACTGAGGGGATAGCTTGATGTGGGTATGTGTTGTGTGGATAGCTAGATGTGTGTATGTTCCGAGTGGATAGCTTGATGTGGGTATGTATAGGGTGGATAGCTGTGATATTTGTACGTACAGGATAGATAGCTGTGATGCTGCAATACAGATGTGTGCGCATTACACGTAGAGTTACATGCTATGTATTACAGGCATACGAGGACGAAGTTCGGGGCCGCCACGGAGGAGGGGCCATCAGTAAGGATCTGGAGGGACTGTTCGGGACGCTGAGGGATGACTCGGACTCTTCTTCGTCGACACCCGTAAAGACAGGGACCAAGAAGGGTATCCCGAAGGCCACAGCCCTGAAGAAACTGAAAGCAGTGGTGAAGGCTAAAGGTGCAGCTAAGAAGGTCAAGGGCGCCGGTAAAACCAAACCCAAAGCGAAACCGGCAAGGAAAAAGACTGGAGCAAAGAAAACCACCAAAACTAAGACGAAGGCCAAGAAAAGTAAGGTATGAAAACGAAGTATCATTTTCCATGAAGTACTGTTATTTAAACCTGCAGTTATATCCCTGCTAGGCTACATTTACAAACGAGCAGCTTGACTTACCCCCAGCTCCATATTTTAGTTAGATCTTATGACTAGGATGGGTTACTCGAATCCCCCTAGGAGTTTAACCTCAGCAATGTCTGTGATTAATTCGTGTCATCATTATTTCAGAAGTTCCTACGTGAAAATGTAAACGACAAGAATTTCATCTTTGGTTCCAACGACGATGGTTGTGAAGATGCCTTGCTGATCGACATGGAATGGACGGACTGGAAGCGCGCCATCTACCCCGCGAAGACAAAGCTCCACTCGCCATCTAGGTCAGCCCGCGGCACTAAACGAACATTCAGAGGGGCTAATGGATATGTGAGGTCCGACCTGTTCAAATGGAACCACGACGTCCAGGCCATCTACGAGCTAGGTGTTCGACCTCCTGGAGGCTATCGGAAGCGTATCTACGCGACGCTGTTTAAATTTTCAAAGGGGTTTAAGAGCAATCAGGCATGGGATTCATTCCTGTTGAGGAACAAACGCGCGTTTGAGGCGGTGAGCAATGTTATCGCACGGGAGGGATTGATCTTTGTCAGGCGAGCTGTGTACCCTCCCGATAATGATATTTGGTTCCCAGATACCATCAAACGCATCAAGGAAATATTTGACTATGCGTGGAACAAGCCTTTGAAAGGAGGTGAAAACTTCCGAACCATTGAAAAGGGTAGTTTTCTCATCAGTGGCGTCCGAAAGGCTCGGAACACTCCCAAGAAGAAAACAGCCACCACCTCTAAGGGTAAGAGCTCATCTAAAAAGACAAAGGCAGCTGCTGTGAAGAAATCAAAGCCCAAAACCATAACCACTAAAAAGACAGCTAAAAAAACTAAACCAACCAAAAAGACAAAAGGCAAAGGGAAGGCAGCTAAATAGACAGGGACTTATCTTCAACAGTGTTTAACTGCCATTATATTTTAATACTGACATTGGAACTATCATCATGGAACTATCATCAACATCTTCTCCAGCATACTGGATGCTTACAGAGGAATACTGGACCAAGAGGACGAGTACTAAATGCATCTTCACTTTACATTAATATCTCATGACTAGTATACATTGAAACATTATACACCATTTAAATAACACCTAATAACGATGGCTGGAGTTTTTTCCGATTTTATAGAATACCGCACTGTTTATTTAGCAATATATGAATGCATTTGATAAAGATTATTGCACTTTTTTAAAAGATGGTTTTGATAGAGATGCTTATGTTCTGAAAGGGATGTTGATAATCCCTGAAAACACCTCGACACTAATGAACTGGGCAGTTTTTGGTGGGCGGATTCACATCAAGAAATTAAAGTGCTTTAGTGAATAGATTGATGGCATGTTAAGATGAATGAGTGCATTTTGTTGAATGCTTTGTTTACCAAGATACCATTTCTCGCTAATTTTCATAATAATTCATGAGTATCAAGTATCATATTCATTAATAATTACAATCAGAAAACGTGGGATGATAAATGGATTCTCATGATCGGGTCTTGTAAGATGAAATATGTCAGGATTTGGTGAAAGTCAAAATTTCTTCCGCAAGAGTAGTGGTATTTGTTTTATTGATCATATGTCAAATGTTTTATCTTGGAAATCACTCGGATGAGAGTCTGTATTTTATTTAATATGTTTGCCGGCCGTTTCGTCTTGTTTTTTGTAGATTGAAATATATAATCGAAAAAATCTTAAGTCTTTGCTTCATTAAGTGAGTGCCCCGACCGCGTCATACCAAAAGACGTTAAAATATGATACTTGTTGGTCCCTGCCTGGCGCTCGGCATTAATGGGTACAACAAGGACTGGTCGGCTTGGAGTTAGTATAATGTGTCTGAGTGGTGTATTCATGCTTCACTCCGGCATGGTATCTCAGTGGGCTAGCACAATAAAACCAGCTTCAGTCTGGGCTAGTACAAGCAGCCGCACATACACATACATACACACGCACGCACGTCGTCATATGAGCGAAATATTTTCCAGCGCGACGTTAAACCTAATTTCACCTCACCTCATTAAGTGAGTGAGTGTGTATGGTTTAATACCGATTTTAGCAATATTCCAGCAATGTCATTGCGGGGAAAACCAGAAATGGGCTTCACACATTGTACCCATGTGGGGAATCGAACCCGGGTCTTCGGCGTGACGAGCCAACGCTTTGACCAGTAGGCTACCCCCACCGCCCCTTCTTCATTATGAGATGTGATAACAGCCCTGAGGATCTGAGAATACTTCATGGATGTGTAATAGGTGTGGAATATAGACGTTCTGGTCAGTTACAGTCCAGTACATCAGCTGACCCTTCCCACGAAATTCGGTTCGATCTGGACTTGTCTCGATCTGAATGCACCAGTGTCGTTCTGGTGAGTTTCAGAAACTCACAGTCAATGCGCTGCGGATCCTGGAGTTTAAAGGGTTCGTTTGGTACACTAAAGACGCGGATTCGAACCTAATTCTTGCAATTGACTCCCGGATGGTGCATGAATACTTGTATCGCTAAATGTAACGTAAGAGAATTGTCGCTCATTCACCTGAATGTATATGTATTGTATACAGCAGGTCATAAATACAACCCGCCTGCCTCAGTAAGTCTATCCTCAGGTGACCCGTGAAGATCCGGGTCAGAATTGGTCATCAGCAACCTATGCTTGTCGTAAGAGGCGACTAACGGGATTGGGTGGCCAAGCTCCATGACTTGGTTGACACATGTCATCGGATCCCAGTTGCGTAGATCGATGCTCATGCTGTTGACCACAGGATTGTCCGGTCCAGACTCGATTATTTACAGACTGCTGTGATATAGCTTAAATATTGCTGAGTGCGGCGTAAAACTAAACTCACTCACTATCCTCAGGCCAGTTGTCACTGGATAGTGGCGCGTCATTTCTGTTGATGTGACTTGATTTACTCAAATGGTAGGGTCAGTGTCATTTCCCAAACCGAAGCCAATCAGATATTTCCCATTGGATGAACGCCCAAACTGTCTTGAAGAAAACATACACTGAGAAATTATACTCTTTAAAAAGTAGGGGAACCTGAACTTTCAAGTTGGATAGAAAATATGAGCGTCAACAAACCTTTCAAAGGCAGACATCTTATGAACGCATCACCATTTCCCTTTATCACCACCCCTAAACACAGCGCATGGGATGCACGTGCCCAACGCAGTATCCCCATTACTCGTGTATTGGGTGTCATTCTTCATTTTATCGGTTTTCAAAAAGGTCGATAAATCAGTGGAGACCATTAATTTTGACAATCATCTTGCATCACACAGTTGTTAGTGTTTGTTTCTAGCGGGGGTTTTGTTGTTGTTGTTGTTGCTGTTTGAAAATGAAAATCGTACACATAGAAATTTCATGTCATACACCAATCATCTTTCAAGAGCGATTACTGTAAAGCATTACGGTCATAAGGAAGTGCAAGTGGTGATGCACTCTCAAAATACCCATTATCATCATTGATTGATCTCCTTTTTCAATCGTAAATTAAAAATGAGGTTCCCCTACTATTTTTAGAGTATAAAAACGTCACAACAGTGTAATGTTAGCCACATAGCAAATATTACATCACATAGCAAATATTACAGAAGGAAGTACAGGCAGTCATCAGATGCCATCACCATTGTGCACAATAGCGCTTGGGCAGATGCGCAGTTCATTTTCACCCGGTTTCATGAGAGTTTCAATGGTCATTAAATATACTTCAGAACGAAAGCGGGGTGCGCACCCCTGCACCCCGACCCCCCTCTGGATCCGCCCATGATAGCATGTACATGTTCACCCTCTTTATGTCTCACAACTGCATTGCTACGTCTCCTCATTGACTGCCCTCCGAGAGATGTAAATACCCACACTGGATACAGCGCCACTGCTCAGTGAACAGGTGCGTGTTGAATACTCGAGGTTATGTTTTCACAGAAAGTGTACAACAGCGTTTAGAGCTACCTCCCCGTTGATAGGAATATCAAAGTATGCGCTCATAAAATGAGTGATTAATGACGTGAAGTGATGACACCTTGTTGTCAGATATCTCCTTAAAATCAAACCCGTGAAGGTCCGGGTTCGAATACTGGCCTTCAGTAACCCATGCTTGTCGTCAGAGTAGCTACGATACATAGAATACTAAGAACGTTCATGCCAGTGAACGCTATGTATCTTAGCTACGTCAGAGGCGACTAACGGCATCGGGTGGTCAGGCTCGCTGACTTGGTAGACACATGTCATCGGTTCCCAATTGCGCAGATCGATGCTCATGCTGTTGATCACTAGGTTGTCTGGTCCAAGCCCGATTATTTACAGACCGCCGCCATATAGCTGGAATATTGGTGGGTGCGACGTAAAACTAAACTCACTCACTGTCCACAACACAGCTGAGAGGATGGGTTATCCCCCTATGGCAGTTAATGAGCGACACTAGTTAGCGAAAGTCTGTTTGGCTTTGTTCCGAAGTCAAACGTAAGCTACTCTTCAGTCAACATTGCGGCCCTATACGACTGTGGGTTTTTTCAGTTTTGTGTTTTCAGATTCATTTGTTAAATCATGTGTGAGGCGAGATGTTGTAGTGACGGTTGTAACCATCAAATCTCACTGTGGTGAATGAGTGAGTATGGTTCTACGCTTTTAGCAATATTCCAGCAATATCACGGCGGGAGACACCAGAAATGGGCTTCATATATTGTACCCATATGGAGAATCGAACCCGGGTCTTCGGCGTGACAAGCGAATGCTTTAACCATTTGGCTACCCCCACCGCCCCTGGTGAATGAGTGACTGGGTAGGGTTTGAGACTGATGCTATATGTGGGAGGCAGGTGAACGCGGTGACGAGGGAATACTATACTCATTGTCCTAGCTACTTCAATGACACCACAACAGCAATGGCGTCATTAGACTAACGCTTAGTTTCTGAATATATATAAAGTTGATGGCAACAAATAAATTGAAAAGTAGCTTCAGTGAGATGGGAGATTCAAAACATGAGGACATGTAGACATGCTTCATTTAGAGCTTTAGCATGGCAGGGAGGTGTAGGCAGTAGTGAAAATAATGTGGACAGACCATGGTGTCATGAGATCGAGGATCAGGAGTGAGGAAATAATTTAATTACAGAGAACGGTTCGCATTTCAAGAGGGAAGCCCACTTTTGTTGTGGCAGGTTGTATTGTCTGTACTACTGGAGAACTAATGATTTTCATCACAAATATTTCAGAAGAAAAAGCAGAAGACGGGAGTTTCTTTTCGATTACATATTTTAGTCTGGAAAAACAAAACAAATATATTAAACAAACTGTACCAGACACTGCTGCCTTGACAATGTGCACTCAGTTAATTAATATGACAGACAATCATGAATCTAGTAAATGACATTTTACAGCCCTTTAACAAACATTCAACAACATTCACTCTTTCATCTAGACATACAAGCTACGGTTTCAATAAAACATTGGTTGACCTGGGCATGCCAGTTATGTTTTCACTAAAGCACTTATCCACCTGGACATGAAATCAATCTTACCACTACACCAATCATTCAGTCAGACATATCCGCTACGTTTTCAGTGAAACATTTGTTTACCTGGACTTGCCAGATATGTTTTTATTTAAGCACTTATTCGCCTGGACATGAAATCGTTCTTTTCACTAAACCAATCAGCTGGACATACCAGATACACTTTCAATGAAACATTCGTTAACCTGAGCATGTCAGTTATCGTTTCTCCATTGAACTCAAACATCACATCACAGTGTTGAGGGGGGTTTTCCCCGCTGAATCTAAACTAATTTGTGTAATTAATAAAATTCAATTTATAAGCTGATCATCTTATTGTTCGTATTACATTTCTTTCCAAGTAGCAATAGGTTTCGGTGATCTTGTTGTTTTGAAATCCATGCATCTACTGTTCTATCGGAGCCTATGGGTTTGGAAAACCAACCCCTCAAGCAGGTTATAAAAACGAACAACTTCAAAATGATCCCAATAAAATTAAAAAACAAACATTGCACAGGCTTGTTATATACAGTCAGATCTACTTTAAAAACGTATGTGAACAGAATGCACGACATTATTCAAAAAGCGATAACATGTTACTATTTACAAATGCGGAGTATTACAAACTAGGAACAGATGAGGAAGTCATCGATAGTTATGGTTGTGATTGTATGATGTCTTCCACTGTTTCATCACTATTCCACGCCAGACAAGTGATTTAACTGAAAATGTAAAAATGTATTCAGCACCATCGCGTCTCGTCCCCTTGGTGATGTATTCTTCTGTGATCGTCCAGAATGATGGAGAGGTTTCTGGTGCTATATTCTTTCAGATGATAGTTCCAGTATCAATATTGAAACCAAATGGCAGTTGAACCCGATTCAAGTTTTATCAACTGTCTACTTGGCTGCTTTCTTCCCTTTGCCCTTTGCCTGTTTGATGGGTGTTTTTGTCTTCTTGGTTGGTTTTACTTTTTTAGTAGGTGCTTTTGTCTTGGTTGGTTTTGCCTTTTTAGCGGTTGTTTTTGTCTTCTTGGTTGGTTTTGCCTTTTTAGCGGTTGTTTTTGTCTTCTTGGTTGGTTTTGCTTTCTTAGCGGCTGTTTTTGTCTTCTTGGTTGGTTTTGCCTTTTTAGCGGCTGTTTTTGTCTTCTTGGTTGGTTTTGCTTTTTTAGCGGTTGCTTTAGCGATTTTGGGTTTCGTTTTTGATGTTTTTACAGCAGCTGCCTTTGTCTTTTTAGATGCGCTCTTACCCTTAGAGGTGGCAGTTTTCTTGGGTGTCGTCTTCTTCTTGCGAGTGGCGGGAATCTGTCGGACACCACTGATGACAAAATTACCTTTTTCAATGGTTCTGAAGTTTTCAGCAGCTCTCTTGGGCCTGTACCATGCATAGTTAAATACTTGCTTGATACGCTTGACTGCATCGGCGAACGCATTTTCTTTACCGGGAGGGAACTCGACACGCCTCACAAAGATCTGCCCGCGTTGGTTTATTACCCTATTCACTGCATTAAACACTCGTTTGTTCTTCAACAGAAACTCATCCCATCCCTTTGTAGTGCTAAACCCTTTGAAACTTTGAACAGCGTGGTGTAGATACGCTTCCGTCGGGTATTAGGAGGTCGTACGCCAAGTTCGTAAATGGCTTGGACGTCGTGCTCGTAGTCGAATATGCCAGTATTCATGTGCCCGAAACCTCCTTTGAATAGGCGTTTAGGTGCGCGCCAATACCTGCACTGGCGGGCGTCCATTGGGTATACGACAGGGTAGATTGCGCGTTTCCAACCCGTCCAGTCCATGTCCTTCAAAATGCCACCTGCGAAGTCGTCGTCGTCAAATTTCTTGTCGCCTACGTTTTCACGTAGAAACTTCTGAAATATAACGTCAGTTTTGAAAATAACATTAAATCACTTTCAGGGGAAGTGTTGGGTTAAATGTTGGGATTCAAAGCAATTCCCCATGTACCCTGTAAATACTGTTACAGCTGCCAGGAGCAGGATCAGTTACATTCCTGGTGGCAGGTAATCGTCCCCGATGGCCTTTACCGTTACTAATAGTCTGATCACTTGGTTTGCCCGTTGTAGTATTTTCAGGCTGGTATGGGTAGATGGGTGAGTGGGTGGGTGGGTTAGTGAGTGAGTGAATGAGTGAGTGAGGTTTTACAGCATTTTTAGAAATATTCCAATGGTATAGCTTGGAAATGGCTTTCTACATCATGCCAACATGTAATTGTCTGGGAACTATGTGCCTCATCTCAATACCTTAGGTTTCTTTGTTTTCCTCTTCCCTTTTCTTGATTTCGATACTCCTTTGGTTTTCCCAGCACCCTTGACCTTCTTAGCTTCGCCTTTAGCCTCCACCACAGCTTTCAATTTCTTCAAGGCTGAGACACTGGGAACACCCTTCGTAGCTCCAAACAAGGACATAGTGGGTATTTTCTTTAAGGAAGAGGACAATGTCAGGCTGGGAGGGACAGCATCATCCCTCAGCGTCCCGAACAGTCCCTCCAGATCCTTATTGATGGCCCCTCCTCCGTGGCGGCCCCGAACTTCGTCCTCGTATGCCTGTAATACCACAAAAGATGTTGAAGGCATGAATTAGAGCACCTGAGGTGGATATTGGCGCTATACACATACCTGTATGTATGTATGTATGTGTGTGTGTGTGTGTGTGTGTGTGTGTGTGTGTGTGTGTGTGTGTGTGTGTGTGTGTGTGTGTGTGTGTGTGTGTGTGTGTGTGTATGTATGTATGTATCAACGTAAATATAAACATCAAAATAACTCTCTATTCACCATTATTGAGCAGCAGTGTTAACAAGGAATTATTTGTATCAGCCTCGATACACCACAGAAAACCGCTCCTTACACACACCACAGATCACCACGCCTTACACACCACTGAAAACCGTCCCTTACACACCATAGATAACCACGCCTTACACACCACTGAAAACCGCCCCTTACACACCATAGATAACCACGACTTACACACACCACAGAAAACCGCCCCTTACACACCATAGAAAACCCCCCTTTACACACACCAAAGATAACCACGCCTGACACACCACTGAAAACCGCCCCTACACACCATAGATAACCACGACTTACACACACCACAGAAAACCGCCCCTTACACACACCATAGATAACCACGCTTTACACACCACAGAAAACCGCCCCTTACACACCATAGATAACCACGACTTACACACACCACAGAAAACCGCCCCTTACACACCATAGAAAACCGCCTCTTACACACACCAAAGATAACCACGCCTTACACACACCACAGAAAACCGCATCTTACACACCACAGAAAACCGCACCTTACACACCATAGATCACCACGCCTTACACACCACAGAAAACCGCCCCTTACACACCATAGATAACCACGCCTTACACACACCACAGAAAACCGCCTCTTACACACCATAGATAACCACGCCTTACTCACAACACTAAAAAAACGCCCCTTACACACCATAGATAACCATGCCTTACACACACCACAGAAAACCGCCCCTTACACACCATAGATAACCACGCCTTACACACAAAACAGAAAACCGCCCCTTACACACCATAGATAACCACGTCTTATACACACCACAGAAAACCGCCCCTTACACACCATAGATAACCACGCCTTACACACACCACAGAAAACGGCCCCTTACACACCATAGATAACCACGCCTTACACACCATAGATAACCACCCCTTACACACCATAGATAACCACGACTTACACATACCACAGAAAACCGCACCTTACACACCATAGATAACCACGCCTTACACACACCATACAAAACCGCCCATTACACACCATAGATAACCACGCCTTACACACCTTACACACCATAGATAACCACGCCTTACACACCACAGAAAACCGCCTCTTACACACCACAGAAAACCGCCCCTTACACACCATAGATAACCACGTCTTACACACCATAGATGACCACGCCTTACACACCATAGATAACCACGCCTTACACACCACAGAGAACCGCCCCTTACAAACACCATAGGAAACCATGCCTTACACACCATAGAAAACCGCCCCTTACACACCATAGAAAACCGCCCCTTACACACCATAGATAACCACGCCTTAGACACACCACAGAAAACCGCCCCTTACACACCATAGAAAACTACGCCTTACACACCACAGAAAACCGCCCCTTACACACCATGGAAAACCGCCCCTTACACACCATAGATAACGACTTCTTACACACACCACAGAAAAACGCCCCTTACACACACCATAGATAACCACGCCTTACACACCACAGAAAACCGCCCCTTACACACCATAGAAAACCGCTCCTTACACACACAATAGATAACCACGCCTTACACACCACAGAAAACGCCCCTTACACACCATAGATAACCACGCCTTACACACCTCAGAAAAACGCCCCTTACACACCACAGAAAACCGCCCCTTACACACCATAGATAACCACGCCTTACACACCACAGAAAAACGCCCCTTACACACCATTGATAACCACGCCTTACACACCACAGAAAACCGCCCCTTACACACCATAGATAACCACACCTTACACACCACAGAAAACGCCTCTTACACACCATAGATAACCACGCCTTACACACCACAGAAAGCCGCCCCTTACACACACCATAGATAACCACGCCTTACACACACCACAGAAAAACTCCCCTTACACACCATAGAAAACCACGCCTTACACACCACAGAAAACCGCCCCTTACACACACCATAGATAACCACGCATACACACCACAGAAAACAGCCCCTTACACACACCATAGATAACCACGCCTTACACACCACAGAAAACCGCCCCTTACAAACCATAGATAACCACACCTTACACACACCACAGAAAACCGCCCCTTACACGCCATAGATAACCACGCCTTACACACCACAGAAAGCCGCCCCTTACACACGCCATAGATAACCACCCCTTACACACCACAGAAAACCGCCCCTTACACACCATAGAAAACCGCTCCTTACACACACAATAGATAACCATGCCTTACACATCACAGAAAACCGCCCTTTACACACACCGTAGATAACCACGCCTTACACACCACAGAAAACTGCCCCTTACACACCATAGAAAACCGCTCAATACACACACAATAGATAACCACCCCTTACACACCACAGAAAACGCCCTTACACACCATAGATAACCACGCTTACACACCTAAGAAAACCGCCCCTCACACACCACAGAAAACCGCCCCTTACACACCATAGATAACCACGCCTTACACACCACAGAAAACCGCCCCTTACACACCATTGATAACCACGCCTTACACACCACAGAAAACCGCCTCACACACCATAGATAACCACGCCTTTACACACCACAGACAAACGCTTCTTACACACCATAGATAACCACGCCATACACCACAGAAAGCCGCTTTCTACACACACCATAGATAACCACGCCTTACACACCCACAGAAAAAACTCCCCTTACACACCATAGAAAACCACGCTTCATAATACACCATAGATAACCACGATACAAACCATAGATAACCACGCCTTACACACACCACAGAAAACCGCCCCTTACACGCCATAGATAACCATGCCTTACACACCACAGAAAGCCGCCCCTTACACACACCATAGATAACCACGCCTTACACACCACAGAAAACCGCCCTTACACACACCATAGATAACCACGCCTTACACACCACAGAAAACCGCCCCTTACACACACCATAGATAACCACGCCTTACACACCACAGAAAACCGCCCCTTACACACCACAGAAAAACGCCCCTTACTCACCATAGATAACCATGCCTTAAACACCACAGAAAACCGCCCCTTAGACACCACAGAAAACCGCCCCTTACACACCATAGATAACCATGCCTTACACACCACAGAAAACCGCCCCTTACACACCACAGAAAACCGCCCCTCACACACACCACTATTTATCACCTATCCAAGTCCATATAACATCAGAGCTATACATCCCTCACATACCCATATTTCATCTACCCACCCTTACATACCCACATCGAAAACATCCACCCCTTCACATGACCCACAGCTACCCGCCCCTGTATCAAGTGACTCACCTCCAGGAAGTCCGCTCCCCTCTCTCTGTAGCAGATAGCCATGATCATGTCGAAGATGTTCGAGAACTGATCCAGTTGCAAGTGGCGGCCATGAGTGATGTTTGTCATTTGTTTGAAGAACTCAGTTGTTTCATTGCTTGACCCAGCCTGTACGCCATAGATGCGGACGCCCTGCACGAGCAACGTCATCATTGATTAACTAACTTCTTATCCCCGGCAAGTGGCAACCAGAATTATTTTAAAGTGGTGCTGTAACTTATTTCAGCTTTGGTATTTGATAACAGAGTTTGGATTTTCCTCCCCCGATAGCTTTAAACGCCATTCAAAAACTAACATAATCAGCTTTAACCCTACCACGGTCACACACATGATGCTAACAACCTAAATAAATATGGAAAGTTACTATCAAACTCAATAAGGAAGAAGTTTAACATTGACTGCTTTGTATGCGCATCGTGTTTTCCCCACATACCATGTCTCTCAAAGCCCTGCACTCTGTCTTCCAGTCAATGTTCTCCTCATTCTGAGAATCTTTGGCCTCGTGGGGGATGGCGTCCCCTATCATCACCAGGGAACGCTGACTCCCGGGGGTCCAGGACAGAACGCTCTGGCAGCGTCTCAGGACCACCTCGTACGCCTCTGGGAAGTCACCACCTCCAGTAGGCTTTACGTCTTTAACGAACTTGCAGATCTCCGGGGTTGATGCGCCGAAGTCGATCCACTGAACAACGTAGTTGCTGGCGTCGCAGTAGTCGCCGTGGGCGAATATGCCGATGCGTATGCCAGGGATATCTGCCTGGAGTCGCTGAACCATATCCTGGATTTGGCTCCGAACCTGCTCCAGACAACTGCCAAAATATGAACCCGTTTTAGTGTCGTGGGCAGCACGGTCAGTGATATTGGGTTTAGTTTACAGTACGAGGCTGTGTGAAGTCTCCCTCTAAATTTTCCTTTCAGGAGGAAGAGATTGTCGACATTTTATATTGTTTTACCTATTGCCAGTAGAGCATTATAGTTCAGATTGATATTAGTCAACAGTGTAAACATGGTCGCCCCCTCCAAACACCCCACCCCATACCACTCACCTCATCATGGAGCCGGTCGTATCGAAGGAGAAAACGATCTCCATGAGTCCCCCAGGTGGAAGGGGGATGTCCACTGTGACAGCACCGTCACCATTCTCGTCAACAGCAGCTGCAGCTTCTTCGGCTGCTGCACTGATGAGACTGACAGACTTCTCCTTCGTCAGAGACGGTTTGGACAAAGACTTGCTGAGACTGAGCACCTTCTCCAAAGCAACACCAGTCTCGGAGCCTGATTTCGACGACACAGACTTGGACTTGGACGACGACTTGCTGAGAGATGGGACGTCTCCCCCGCCGATGACGATGCTGCCTCCTCTGCTGATGCTCTTACAGATGAGAGGCGTCTTGGTGGTGGTGGATGTCTTGGAGAGTTCCTTGCTTATTGCAGCAGGTGCTTCAGAGAAACTGGTGGTGCGACCAACAGTTGATCCAGAGGCCAGCAGAGTCAAGGTCGTAACTCTATCATCACCTTCAACGATGGACGCTGTTTTAGGCAGAGAAGGGGCAGTAACGACCTCGCCTACTACAACAGACCCTTTCTTGGACAAACTCTTCTTGCCAGCGAGAGGTGAAGCCGACTTGGATTCTTTATCCTCCAGGGTTAGGGTGGGGGCCCTTCTCAATCCCGGTGGAGGGGACGCGTCTCCTGGTCCCTCGGGGGTGGCGCTGTCTTTCGTCGTTTTTCTTTTTAAACTTGGCCATTTTGGCAAAGGCAGCGGTGGGCGGGCGACTGACACCTCCCTGACAGGGCTGACCGCAGTGGAGGTTCGCTGTTTGGTCAGTTTATTGACCGGTTCATAAGGCGAAGCACGTGACGCCTTCCGTTTTATTCCCGGCATGTTGCTAGGTTACCTGCAGTATACAAAAGAACATAAACACGCTATATCGTCACACATTTTGAGTCAGTATGTTTAACGCCAAGTGCTTTCTGGGTAATCAGTGAACGCAATTGTTCATAAATCCATTCCTAAGGGAAATATTATTGTTTTGCTCATACTACACTCCCGATTGCTCCTTTGTGTCGTGCAAGCTAACGGTCAGCCTCATGCCATTCTTACATTGTTGGCACTGAATCGTTGTGTTCGCTGAGTATTTTACGCAGAGAGGTTCTAAAACATTGTGACTTCATAGCAGAATTACCTGAAGAATAGAACAAGTGAGATCTGCAGCTCAGTATAACTACATGTACATGTTGTTCACATACTCGTCACATACTGTACATACTCTGTACTCCATCGTAGGGTACAGTATATATATAGGTTTCATCTGCTTTAGAATGTCGTAGTACAAGCCCTGCTTAGTGAAGAAAACTTAATGCTGGGAATATACTTATCCTTGTACAGTGCAATTTATTGATAAACCCAAAGATCAACGAAGAACACGGTTTAGTCCATGGTCAGAGGTACCATGCGGGCTGTATGTAACACTGTTGCAAGTAATCTGTCGGAACATAGGGGTTAGGGGTAATGCATACGAAAATCATACCTTTCCTAATTTCGTTTTCAATTGTCTATGACAATTCAGTGTGGGTGGGTGTGTTTTAAACATTTCCGTTTTCTTATTACTTGTTCAGTTAGATTTCTAACGAAACCTGGGGCGGTGGGGTAGCCTAATGGTTAAAGCGTTTGCTCGGCACGCCGAAGATCCGGGTTCGATTCCCCACACGGGTACAATGTGTAAAGCCCATTTCTGGTGTCCCCCGCTGTGATATTGCTGGAATATTGCTAAAAGCGGCGTAAAAAACAAACCCACTCACTCACTCTAACAAAACCTACAAAATTATCCATAATGCCCCGTGAGCCCACAGACGTTTTACCCCAATAATGAATATCATCACCCGGACAATCATCACACAGATAACAGTGGGGTTACAACGGAGCCAAGTTCGGGCGACAAACGCATCTGAGGCAAAACAATAATGAAACTATTTAAGGTGGAAATTGTGAACGAATAATTCATTCGAACGAATACTATTTTTCTTCTAAATGTGTCTCTGTTGATACACTCGGACTAATTTCTGTGGCTATTTGGAATAGTCTTCTGGATAATTTAAATAAGACCTTATCAAACAGTAAATAAACAAGCATTTCTATTTTTATTACAATTTCTAGAACTTGTCACATTTGAACTTGGGTTCTTAAAACCTGATATTTTGTTACTTATTCTGGAAAAATATTCCAGAATAAGTAACAAAATATCAGGTTTTCTTAAAAAAAATTATAGAAAGGTAGGAGTGGTGCCTGCGCGCTAAACCATCACAAGTGGAAAGAGAGTATTTATCTCTTTTGATGTGCTTATCATACACAGTATCTAAGGGAGGTAATCTCATTGTTGACAAACACATGTTCATAGCAGAGAATTATTTCATGTCACTATTAGAGTAAAAAGAGTTTGCCGCCGTGTTGATGCATTGCATCAAAGGTTTTCTTTTCCATAACCTGTAACCAAAACAAATTAACAGAAGTGTCGAATAAGCATGGACATAAGGAAATAGTTCAAGGGAGGTAACTCTCTACAACACTATCTCGCCTGAATACTGTACCATCTCTGAAAACATAAACCACGTTCGATATAATTTTGAATGAATGCCAGAATCTTATGATGGCGGAATCGAGATCCAAGATTGGCCCTGGTAATGGTTCCTGGTTTGTGCCATGCCGTTGTTGCAGGTTGTTCTGGTGAAAATGCTGCGATGGGGCTGATAACGACACAAAGCGATGTGAACTGTTCAGAGCAATATAAGTGCAGCACGGTCTGAAATGTATTACATCTGATTAAATACAAGTGTGTTTTTTTCTCGTGCTGCATTTCCGAAACCTGTTCTTAACGCCCAGACTGTGTTGCTATGTCTCGTTTTAGGAATGTGTGTTTATTTATTGTCCCGAGGAACATGTTGAAGGTCGAACTCAGACACATAATAGCCAGTCATTGATCATCTTGCAGAGACAGCTACCTGCACGCTCAATAGCGGCCTCGATTATCCAGCCAGTTGTTTACTTCACACTCTTTAAACTAAGGTACATTATTATTCCCGAATCTGTCGTGATATCTTCTTGATACTCTTTGGCCTATCAAACAGTTTAATTATGTCATAAATAAGAATATTCATTACAGCAAAAAACAAACAAAAAACATGGCGTTTTCTAGCAGACGGTGAGCATTGAATTATCGATAATATTTTCTCACAATTGTTTTTATTAAAACTGTAACACAACAAAGTGTGAAACACAAACTAGTTTTTATCCAAACATTAACGAAAAATACAATTGTGTTTCAAAAAGAAATAAATGAGCTGATAAACATTAGCATAAATTGCTGATACCAGCAACTACATGCAGGTAGACGTGGTTGGCGATATGCTCTAATGAACGGGATTATGACGGAGTAGGGAGGGCAGTGAGCCAGGACAGACTCTGTGAGACGAGCGGACACTTTGACAAAGCGTCGTCTTATCTGCCGGGTTCCATCTAGCATTTAAGTAACGATTATTAAAAAGCATTTGCAGAACTGGAATTAAACTGTCAGTGTTTCATTGAGATGGGTGGTTGTAAAACGTCACCGTGAGATCTCTAAATAACCATATTCAACATTCCAACATGGAGGTTGTGTTTCTTAGCATTGGGTAAGGTGACCGCGACTTACTGTAGAACCAGCATGAAAAGCTGTAGAACAGATGCGAGAATAGAAAATGAAACAATCAAAATAATAACTTGTTAGATTAGCGTCCATGTCAATTGGTATAACTTCTCCGGTGCCACGCCCATCTACAAAGCGGTGCATGTTCCCACAGATAGGGGCCCACAGATAGTTCGTATAGTGCTGCATCAACTGAGTGTAAAGTGATGTTTAGTGTCAGTACATAGGACTCACCTGGTTCCCTTGCCGATCTAACCTCTACTTCCGTGTCTCACACTCTGGTTTCTCCTTATATACCAGCCGACGTATTAGTAAGAAATTGACAGCGTCAGTGCTGGTTAAAATAGATCAAGTGTATGGACAAGTCTGAGCTTGCTGGGTTGCTCAATGGAGCCGGAAGCACCTCGTTATAGCGTGTGATGGATATCCTTCGTGTACGCTGTATTCGGTAAATATCATCGGGGAGTGTATTTGCATATAGTTTGTTGTAAGACATCTATATATCAGTCAAGTCAGTAACAGACTAACACGCACATCGGTAAATGTACACGTTGCGTTAAAAGGAGAGCTCACAGCAAAACGCCTCGTTAAGACTGAGGTCGATTGTTTTGCGCATGTGCGATGCCCATCTGACACTGTGACGTCATGAGAGAGAGAGAGAGAGAGAGAGAGAGAGAGAGAGAGAGAGATTCAGTAACTTATTTATAACTATTCCCAGATAATAATCGCTCATAATACTGTAAGGTTATATTTTGTCATGAAAGCATGTTTATTACTCGCCCGTGAAAGATACTGCAGTGTAATATTTATAGAGGATACTAAACGACTTTCCGTACAATACCATTTTTATTAAACGAGTTAATGATTTGGTATCACACATGCGAAAGCGAGTTTGATACTAAATCTTTCACCAGTTTAATAAAAATGGTATTTCACGGAATCGAGTTTAGTATTCTGTTTATTACTCTCCTACATAAATTGATAGAAACTGCGGCGAAACTACCTACAGTGTGATGACCATTATGACGTCATACGTCTAGCGGTATTACACTAGTGTAATATATTGCCTTAACACTTTTACACTTAGAGATGATATTCTATTTATTACCCATTATGTAATTAAAAAAGAAGAACCACGAAATAAAAAAACATCAGAAGACAGGATTTGTGACCTCAAACAGCTGATTCGTATTCATGCGCGTATTAAACTTCTCCAGCGGTAATAACATAACTACGCTGTAGAAAATCGCTTTAGAATACAACAAAACTATATTTTATGGAATAATTTATTAACATTTGTTAATATGATAAAAATGATCATTTAAATGCAATATCATTAAACTTAATAACAGCTAGAACGTTATTTGATCAAGTCAGTGCGCCGGAACATCGTTCATTCACGACTGACGTGTTTCTAGTGACGGGCGACGGTGTAGTGTTGAAACACACTTTGGCAAAACCTGTCAATTTTGGGGAAAGTCAACAGTTAAAAGTTATTAAATCTAAAAGATAACCATCCCACGAATACATCCAGAAAAGGTTTGAAAATTAAACAACATTTTGTTCTGCGTAAGGCGTGTTACAGCACAGGCAAACTGTAGCGCAAATAGGGTTGCGCAACAAAGAGAAAATGACCAGTCTTCCTATATGCGAGCGAAGCGAGCAAAGGTTGGCAACGTACTTTCCCCGCTTCGGTTCGAAAAATATTTTTAATATCAAAATAAAATATCGCCACCATCAAATGTAGACACCCATTTCCTCACAGGGTTGTTCTCTCATATTTCCAACCTCATTTAATAATTACTCACGTAAAACATATTTAATTCAACACTTTAAGCGCCACTCGTGCCATATCAAACCGTTCTTCGCCTCCGGTTAAGCGCAGTAGTTGGAACAGAGAAACAAATACACGTGCGGTACGTGATGGACGTTAACTTAGACCAATCCTACTTGTTCTCGGTGTTTCATTTAATGTGCACACCCCTTTGTAATACAAACCAATAATAGCGATTTGAAACTATGATCGTTTGTTAAACAACTTTTATCCTAAGTTGAATGAAATTCTCAGATTTAAATGTTCAAATGGCAAGGTAAAATTATGAGGATTCGCAATCTTACTTTCACCTTATTTGATTTACATTTTTGTTTAAAGTGAAATTCATCGGTACGTTTTCAATGCAAACAGACTATAGTGTTCGTTCAAAGGTTTGCCTGAACAACCCGAGCAACACAAACTTGTACAGAAGCGTAGAAATGGGAAGGATGAGAATGTGCTAAAATGGCTGTAATGTGTACGTAAATAGAACCATTCCATTTGAATACAAAGGATTTTACAATCTTTTTAATTTCTCAGAGCATTTTGTGTTACCTTTTCTCTACTTCTTTGATGTCATATCAGTGTATGAATTAATTTTGAAAAGTCACTGGCCAGGAGGGAAAGTAAAATTGTTGCTATCCCACATCATACTGGCCCTGCAAAATATCAAAATGCACATCGGTCAGAATTGGTGTGATGTTTGGTAATTGAAGACGTTAAACGACAAATTTTTATTGTAATGGTTCTAAACCTCTTTTGCGCAATGCTACTGACAGTTTTAAATAGCGACCTTCGTGTGACAAGAGATAATAATATCACAAAAATCTTGCGGATGGACTTTTAACACCTTATTACTTGACTTCATCATACCCGTGTGCATTAAATAAAGAACAAATCATCTGAGATTTTCAGCTAGCCAGTCGGGATAGCTTTAAACATTATATTACTGGCCCGATTCACAATCACCTAGCATCTGGCTAGCGGGCCAGTAGCTATTTCGAACACTGTGTCATATATACCGGTTCTGGGCGGGCAACTGACCTTGGTGCGACGGACATCTTTCCATATGCGGAAGCCTCGAACTGCTATAAAACAGGATGCCCGTAAAGTACTACTACCACATCTTGAGTAAAATCGTAACCATAGTGTTTCGGAAAATGCAGCTGGACATGATCCTCGGCCAAGTTCTTTCATAACTCATTTTACGACCGCATCCCTAGAAATGAGGAGGAGGTAACTCTAAATTTGCAAGTGCACTTCCGGTGTAACTGTAAACTAATACACGTGCGGGTATCATAATCACGTCAATACTTCACTTGTTGAATAACAAAATGACCATGACGTAACGAATTATTCTTCCGCGTGTCAACAGTTTCCATATATCGGATATTAATGTTTCTCCATAATTGAACAAATGTGTAGGTTTTGTAGCAATTTTCTCGTTTGACAAATTGTTTTGCAGACGGTTTCACTAACTGAGTGACTGGTGTGTCGTATGGACCTCTAGATGGTAAATTACTAAACTTTTCAAATACTAAGAGTTTGCAATACAATATGGATTCGGACGCCGTCGCAGAAACCAGCCCACCTCCAGCTAAAAAGGTGAAGATAGAAAGTGAAGTGACTAAAACAAGTGAGAACAAGACAGTGTCAGAAGACACGAAGCCGAAGGGCAGTTCAGCGGAAACAACTGCCACAAGCAGTGACACAAACGGCCATGTCGCCGAGTCTGATGTGGGGATTACCCAGTATGTCAGCAGTCATCAAGGGTTCACTGCCATAATAAAACAGAGGTAATGCATACAGTATACTGACCTATTTACCATCCGTATTTGGGAGGACTGGGCATATGCTAGTGGTTAAAGTGTTTGCTTATCACAACAAATCCATCACATTCAATTCCCAGCATTGGCATGTTGTGTGAGTCGCATTTTGATTATCCCTTATTGTCGGGCATTGTTTGAACATGGATAAAGTAAAATTCAATTTACACACTCCATTATTCGTTATCTAATTCTGCAGACTATTGCAGTGCCTTGGTTATCATTTGTAACAGACTGGTAATCAGCAAACCTTTCACACCTTTGAAGAGTACATCAATGAATTCTTCCATAAGTTAATGGAAAATGGAGGGCTCCAAATGGTGATATTTGACATTGATTAACCCCACACAATTGAAAACTATGTTATGGTATCTCATTTGGCCAGTACTTTAAAACTGGCACTAGTCCAGACAAGAGTAAGCATCCACAAGCGTACAATCTAAGTAAACTTAGGCTCAGTATTATTCGTTACACTGCTATACTGAGTCTAACAAAACCTTGTGGGATGTCGCGTCAGGTAACCTTTTCAATTGACCAATCAGAACACAGCTTACCAAATCGCGAAAGTTGACATTCGCACATACATTTTGAACTTTTACCTCGAAATTTTTTTGGGGCCCGAACGATTCCGAATGCTATTTTCCGTACGATCGCTTCCGAGTGATGCACATGGAGCACGCCACAACCGTGAGTAAACAGTCGCTGAAAATAGCGTTTTGTCAGTATTCAAGGATGTCACAGCTTGCGGAAATATTAACTAATGATAACCACGTCAACAGAAACCCAAAAGCGTATATTCTGCAGGTCATATATCTGTGTTTTATGAGGTTTTTCATTTGTTGTGAGATCAGTGTTGGCGACCGGGGAAGAATAAATCCATTTTGTAAGTCCCGCCAAACCCTAAATAGTAGCCGTTGTCTGATTGGTTAAATCCGTTCTGTCATCTCGCGTTTGATTGGACTGTCATAGGTTGCTCTGAGGTTACCTGACGCGACCTTCCACAGGGTTTTGTTAGACTCAGAATAGCAGTGTAACGAATAATACTGAGCCTAAGTTTACTTAGACTGCACAAGTGTACATTAATGTACAGGCTTATTGGGGCAATAATCTTGTTAAACCCTATTTCACCCAACCAGCTTAGTAGGACAGGTATTTGTCAAACTACCGCAATAAAAGTTCAGTAGTTAAAATGAACTTATATAGTTTTGAGTTGATGTTTATTCTGGGGAAGTGATATTGAGAACTGATGCAGCCTGATGTTGTCTGTGCTGACACATATCCCATGATGTATCTGTGTGTTTCAGGTACTCCGATTTCATCGTTAATGAAGTCAGTGATGAAGGAACGGAAGTGCACCTCACATCTACAGACCTGCCACAAGAAGTGGAGGAACAGGTTGGTATATAATCTGTAGTAGTTTATGACTTGTCCATGTACACAGACAGGGTGGATCATTGCTTACAATACTAATCAGTGGATTATGTGGTCCAGATTGGATTGTTTACACACCACTGTCATGTTGCTAGATTGTAGAACATTGCTTAGTGCTGCAACAACAAACAAAGGCAGAGTTTCAGTTGCCTGTTGGTCACTGGTCAAACAAACAAAGGCCGAGTTTCAGTTTGGCTGTTGGTCACTGGTCAAACAAACAAAGGCAGAGTTTCAGTTGGCTGTTGGTCACTGGTCAAACAAACAAAGGCAGAGTTACAGTTGGCTGTTGGTCACTGGTCAAACAAACAAAGGCAGAGTTTCAGTTGGCTGTTGGTCACTGGTCAAACAAAGGCAGAGTTTCAGTTGGCTGTTGGTCACTGGTCAAACAAACAAAGGCAGAGTTACAGTTGGCTGTTGGTCACTGGTCAAACAAACAAAGGCCAGTTTCAGTTGGCACTTGGTCACTGGTCAAACAAACAAAGGCAGAGTTTCAGTTGGCTGTTGGTCACTGGTCAAACAAACAAAGGCAGAGTTTCAGTTGGCTGTTGGTCACTGGTCAAACAAACAAAGGCAGAGTTTCAGTTGGCAGTTGGTCACTGGTCAAACAAACAAAGGCAGAGTTTCAGTTGGCTGTTGGTCACTGGTCAAACAAACAAAGGCAGAGTTTCAGTTGGCTGTTGGTCACTGGTCAAACAAACAAAGGCAGAGTTTCAGTTGGCTGTTGGTCACTGGTCAAACAAACAAAGGCAGAGTTTGTTGGTCAGTTGGCTGTTGGTCACTGGTCAAACAAACAAAGGCAGAGTTTCAGATGGCAGTTGGTCACTGGTCAAACAAACAAAGGCAGAGTTTCAGTTGGCTGTTGGTCACTGGTCAAACAAACAAAGGCAGAGTTTCAGTTGGCTGTTGGTCACTGGTCAAACAAACAAAGGCAGAGTTTCAGTTGGCTGTTGGTCACTGGTCAAACAAACAAAGGCCGAGTTTCAGTTGGCTGTTGGTCACTGGTCAAACAAACAAAGGCAGAGTTTCAGTTGGCTGTTGGTCACTGGTCAAACAAACAAAGGCAGAGTTTCAGTTGGCTGTTGGTCACTGGTCAAACAAACAAAGGCAGAGTTTCAGTTGGCAGTTGGTCACTGGTCAAACAAACAAAGGCAGAGTTTCAGTTGGCTGTTGGTCACTGGTCAAACAAACAAAGGCAGAGTTTCAGTTGGCTGTTGGTCACTGGTCAAACAAACAAAGGCAGAGTTTCAGTTGGCTGTTGGTCACTGGTCAAACAAACAAAGGCAGAGTTTCAGTTGGTTGTTGGTCACTGGTCAAACAAACAAAGGCAGCGTTTCAGTTGGCTGTTGGTCACTGGTCAAACAAACAAAGGCAGAGTTTCAGTTGGCTGTTGGTCACTGGTCAAACAAACAAAGGCAGAGTTTCAGTTGGCTGTTGGTCACTGGTCAAACAAACAAAGGCAGAGTTTCAGTTGGCTGTTGGTCACTGGTCAAACAAACAAAGGCCGAGTTTCAGTTGACTGTTGGTCAAACAAACAAAGGCGGAGTTTCAGTTGACTGTTGGTCACTGGTCAAAGACTGATGAAGTTTCAATTAGACAGATTGTTTACATATGCTGGTATCATGGGTTTCTGGATGTTTTAGAGACATTTGCTGTCTTGTTGCTAATCACATGAAGTATTGTAAAATATTTCAGAAACTAATGAAAGACAACTTCAAACACAAGCAATCATCTGAGTAATGGCAATATCTGTGTGATGTAACAAACCTTGTTATAGCGCGGGTAAACGCTACTGTATGAACGTAACAGTGATATGAGGACTTTTGACTGACAGAAATTCTTCTTAATGCAACATTCTCTGTAAGGGATCATATCTGTTTATGCAATCTGGAATAGTATCACATTGATTTGTTGTTACTGTTCCCCATTTTGAAGCTATGTTTATAGACTCTTGCCATTGATTGATTACATACCTTGGGTGCAAGTCATCGTCTTATGTTTTAGTGTTTTTGTGTCAGAGTCACTGATAGGAACAATACGAGTAACTGCCATTCTGTAACTGTTTGAGCACAATAAACACTTACCGTGCTGAAGTACAATAGTTTAGTATATATGTGCTCTATAATAACATACATGTTCAGACGTACAGAGTTAAGAACAGTTGACCATGGAAAGCATGGCAGAGGGGCATAATGACTGCCTTTTGATCTATGCATCATGGATGCTTTGTATCATATCCTGAAAGCTTCAACTGGTGGTGATCATATCGTAACAGATGATCAAGGTGAAAACATAAGTGCAATAAGGGTAGACAACTCTGGCAGATCAACCCAGAATTGCTGAGGGTTGTGAACTGACTCTCTTACCCCTGTGCTGTCACCAGCCTCTATTGCTTATCAGGGGTGGAAATAACCCATTGCCCGACGCCCGAGTCCAGTGTTTTTTCTGTCGGGCAAGCAGATTTGTATATCACACTGTACCGGTGTCCAGTTGATATTCCAATGTTAATTATGTTGTTTATTTAAAACATCAACAAGAAAACGGCCAGTATAGTGGGAAAATTATCAGGGCAAGTGATTTTACATGTGCCACTGTACCAGAGTACACTAGCAATTTTAAAGTTATTTCCACCCCTGCTTATACATTCACTTCCTTCTGTCAAACCCATGAAGATCTGGGTTAGAATGGATCTTTAGCAACCCATTCTTGTTGTAAGAGGCAACTAGATCAGGTGGTCAGACTCGCTGAATTGGCTAACACATGTCATCATATCCCAATTGCCTAGATTGATGCTCATGTTGTTGATCACTGGATTGTCTGGTCCAGACTCAATTATTTACAGACCGCTGCCATATAGCTGGAATATTGCTGAGTGTGGTGTTAAAAAATAACAACAAAAATCATACCGTCATAGGGTACCAGTATATAATTTATTGTAAAGCGTGAGTGAGTGAGTTTAGTTTTAGGTCACACTCAGCAATATTCCTGCTATATAGCAGCGGTCTGTAAATAATCGAGTCTGGACCAGACCATCCAGTGATCAACAGCATGAGCATCGATCTGCGCAATTGGGAACTGATGACATGTGTCAACCAAGTCAGCGAGCCTGACCACCCATTGTTGTATAGCCATACCTACTGGGCCTGATTTCTATGTAACCATTGTGATATAGTTTAGACATTTGAAGGTTTTGCACCCTCAATATTCAGTCCCTCCTTGCATTGCTTGATGTGTATCAGGCAGCGGTACGTTTTACCAGAAGATGAATGTTCACAGGTGGCCGACCCATGACCCAGACGTCCTGTCGGAGGAGGACAGAGCCAAGCTGCAAACACTGCTGGATGACGCTGACAAGAAGGCGTCCATCTTGCTTGAGGTGAGGGTTTGCTTTTTTGAGACTTGATAACAGCTGTAACCTTGAGTTGTGTTGATGTTCAACAGTTGGTGCAGGTGTCAGTGGAAAGAGTTGATGAAGGTGTTTGTTGTGATGGCTGATGAAGGTATCTGCTGTTGCACCAGTTGATGAAGGTGTTCGCTGTTGCACCAGTTGATGAAGGTGTTGGCTGTTGTACCAGATGATGAAGGTGTCGGCTGTGGCACCAGATGATGAAGGTGTTGAAGGTGTTGAAGCTGTGCTGGCACCAGTTGATGAAGGTTGGCTTGGCTGTGATGAAGGTGTATGGCTGTTGCCAGTTGATGAAGGTGTTGGCTGTTGTACCAGATGATGAAGGTGTCGGCTATTGCACCAGTTCAGATGATGAAGGTGTTGGCTACCAGTGCAGGAAGGATCGGCTGTGGACCAGTTCATGAGGCCCTGTGTTGCAAAGATGCATGATAAGGCTGTCCAAGTTTGATGAAGCTCTTCCCATTCATGAAACAGCTGCTATTGCAGGCAGTGGAGGAGGATGGGACAAAGAAAATGCTCAGCCATCACTCATCCCTAAACAGCAAAAGCAGGTGGAAAAATGCTGAGGATCACCAAGATGAAAACACCTGATATAGATATAGTATTTATATGGTATGTCAAATAATGTATGTAATTGTTGATTCTTCAGGATTTGTGACAGATTGCACTCAAATCAAGAGGGGGTTGAACACCTAGGGGATCACACATCACACATCCAGACTGCAAACTTTTTTTCTTTTCTTTTTTATAGTTCAGGGAATCTAAAACATGGATGTATACAACAAATAATATTGCTTATCCTGACTCATACTTGTTGCTTATCTCCCCTTTCTCCCAAGGTATAGTGGAAACCTCTATACTATGTCCTACAGTCAAAAATAGCTCACCCCAAATGGGCATCTCCCGAATGGGACTCAACCCAACAAAAGTACTAGAATCTGTACTTTACTAAGAAAGTGTAATCCCAAATATAACATATGTTACATTTGCCCACTTTCTAGATGGCACTGTGTAATCATAGCTTCGGTCGTGGAAGCCGTGCCAATTTACACTTATCAGAGGGGTACACAAAGTCCGCAGTCTAAACTACTAGTTGTCCAACTTCCCTCTTTTGTGGAAGCCGCAGTGGCTGAACGGTGCCTTTAGGTGCCTGGTGTGGGTTCAAATCCCGGATGGAACTCAACCCAACAAAAGTACTAGAATCTGTACTTTACTAAGTGTAATCCCAAACATAACATATGTTACATCTTGTCAAACTAATATTTTTTGTTACAGGTACCATGTTTATTGTGGTTTAGTTTTACATTCTCACTTTCAGACCAACGAACACGCCCGTGAATGGAAGCCGAGTCGCGGCAATTACTGCCGCTTTGTGTTGTACAAGGAAAACAAGGATACTATGGATGCCATCAACCTCATCTCAAGACTAGCAAGGTGAGTAGGCTATCTTCAACCTGATCTCTAGACTAGGCAGGTGAGTATGTACCTTCAACCTGATGTCAAGACTAGCCAGGTGAGTAGGCTATCTTCAACCTGATCTCAAGACTAGCCAGGTGAGTATGTACCTTCAACCTTATCTCAAGACTAGCCAGGTGAGTATGTACCTTCAACCTGTTCTCTAGACTAGCCAGGTGAGTAGTTACCTTCAACCTGATCTCTAGACTAGCCAGGTGAGTATGTACCTTCAACCTGTTCTCTAGACTAGCCAGGTGAGTATGTACCTTCAACCTGATCTCTAGATCTATCCAGGTGAGTATGTACCTTCAACCTGATCTCTAGACTAGCCAGGTGAGTATGTACCTTCAACCTGATCTCTAGACTAGCCAGGTGAGTATGTACCTTCAACCTGATCTCTAGACTAGCCAGGTGAGTAGGTATCTTCAACCTGATCTGTAGACTAGCCAGGTGAGTATGTACCTTCAACCTGATCTCTAGACTAGCCAGGTGAGTATGTACCTTCAACCTGATCTCTAGACTAGCCAGGTGAGTATGTACCTTCAACCTGATCTCTAGACTAGCCAGGTGAGTATGTACCTTCAACCTGTTCTCTAGACTAGCCAGGTGAGTATGTACCTTCAACCTGATCTCTAGACTAGCCAGGTGAGTAGGCTATCTTCAACCTGATCTCTAGACTATCCAGGTGAGTATGTACCTTCAACCTGATCTGTAGACTAGCCAGGTGAGTAGGCTATCTTCAACCTGATCTGTAGACTAGCCAGGTGAGTATGTACCTTCAACCTGTTCTCTAGACTAGCCAGGTGAGTATGTACCTTCAACCTGATCTCTAGACTAGCCAGGTGAGTAGGCTATCTTCAACCTGATCTCTAGACTAGCCAGGTGAGTATGTACCTTCAACCTGTTCTCTAGACTAGCCAGGTGAGTATGTACCTTCAACCTGATCTCTAGACTAGCCAGGTGAGTATGTACCTTCAACCTGTTCTCTAGACTAGCCAGGTGAGTATGTACCTTCAACCTGTTCTCTAGACTAGCCAGGTGAGTATGTATCTTCAACCTTGATCTCTAGACTATCCAGGTGAGTATGTACCTTCAACCTGATCTCTAGACTAGCCAGGTGAGTATGTACCTTCAACCTGTTCTCTAGACTAGCCAGGTGAGTATGTACCTTCAACCTGATCTCTAGACTAGCCAGGTGAGTAAGCCATCTTCAACCTGATCTGTAGACTAGCCAGGTGAGTATGTACCTTCAACCTGTTCTCTAGACTAGCCAGGTGAGTATGTACCTTCAACCTGTTCTCTAGACTATCCAGGTGAGTATGTACCTTCAACCTGTTCTCTAGACTAGCCAGGTGAGTATGTACCTTCAACCTGATCTCTAGACTAGCCAGGTGAGTAGGCTATCTTCAACCTGATCTGTAGACTAGCAAGGTGAGTATGTACCTTCAACCTGTTCTCTAGACTAGCCAGGTGAGTATGTACCTTCAACCTGATCTCTAGACTAGCCAGGTGAGTAGGCTATCTTCAACCTGATCTGTAGACTAGCCAGGTGAGTATGTACCTTCAACCTGTTCTCTAGACTAGCCAGGTGAGTATGTACCTTCAACCTGTTCTCCTAGACTAGCCAGGTGAGTATGTATCTTCAACCTGATCTGTAGACTAGCCAGGTGAGTAGGCTATCTTCAACCTGATCTCTAGACTAGCCAGGTGAGTATGTATCTTCGACCTGATCTGTAGACTAGCCAGGTGAGTATGTACCTTCAACCTGATCTCAAGACTAGCCAGGTGAGTATGTATCTTCAACCTGATCTGTAGACTAGCCAGGTGAGTATGTACCTTCAACCTGATCTCAAGACTAGCCAGGTGAGTATGTACCTTCATCCTGTTCTCTAGACTAGCCAGGTGAGTATGTACCTTCAACCTGATCTCAAGACTAGCCAGGTGAGTAGGTACCTTCAACCTGATCTCTAGACTAGCCAGGTGAGTATGTACCTTCAACCTGATCTCAAGACTAGCCAGGTGAGTATGTACCTTCAACCTGATCTCTAGACTAGCCAGGTGAGTATGTACCTTCAACCTGATCTCTAGACTAGCCAGGTGAGTATGTACCTTCAACCTGATCTCAAGACTAGCCAGGTGAGTATGTACCTTCAACCTGATCTCAAGACTAGCCAGGTGAGTATGTACCTTCAACCTTTTGGTAAGCTTCAAAGGTGCCTGATATTTATTATATCGCTTCCCTTCCAGGTTGAAAACTCAGCTGTTCAGCTATGCAGGTACAAAGGACAAACGAGCTAAAACATCACAGGAAATCACTGCATTCAGGTGAGGGTGCATTCTGTTTAGGATTCCGAACGAAAGATGGAGTTATCTCCCTCCTGTTTTGGCACAAACAATTTCTCACGATTTGTATTATTTCAGAATTGTTACATCAATAGCACCTATGATGTGTTGAAGTTTGAATATACATGACTCACGTTGTGTTGGACCTAGGAACAGTGTTTATTGAGATTATGAAGATATCACAGACTTCATGAGATCAATATCTATGGAGTAATAAAAGATATGATCAACTTGGGTTTCAGAGTCACTGCCAACAAGCTTCAGGCTGTCAACACAAAACTCCGCAACATGATGATGGGTAACTTCAGGTAGGTGAGAAATGGCTCTGTCCAGTTGACTGCTAGTGGACAGTGCGTGTGGACAGTGTTATTTGCCTGCAGTACATATTGTATGCTCCAGAGCTTGTATAGTTTGACTTCCAGTCTAAGATGTCTCACATTTGTACTTTACACTATGTGGAGGGGGTATACTGACACAGTAACAACTGATTGTCAAAATGTGATGTGATATGTAAATAATAAATTGGTAAATATGGTGACCATGTATTTAGAGAAAAATTATGGATGTAAAACTGAGACATGGAATGGTGACAATTGGTATTTAGATGTGATTTGTTAATGACATGACAAAATGTAATGTTGGTATTTAGATGTGATTTGTTAATGACATAACAAAATGTAAAAAACTGAGACATGGAATGGTGATTGGTATTTAGATGTGATTTGTTAATGTTAATGAGACATGGAATGGTGACAAATTTAGATGTGATGTTAATGAATGACTGAGACATGGAATGGTGACAATTGGTATTTAGATGTGATTTGTTAATGACATGACAAAATGTAAAAACTGAGACATGGAATGGTGACAATTGGTATTTAGATGTGATTTGTTAATGACATGACAAAATGTAAAAACTGAGACATGGAATGGTGACAATTGGTATTTAGATGTGATTTGATTTGTAAACTTGGTGACAATTGGTATTTAGTGTGATCCTAGTTATGTAAAGGCCCCACTGATTTGAAGCTCGGACAGCTGAGAGGGAATCATTTCCAAATAGTGCTGAGGTGAGTGTCCACAGTGTCTGTAGTATATATGTCTGGATCTTCAGTGGAGAAGTTGAATATCAGTACAGACTGCAGACTTACAAAGGAAAGGCAACACATGGATGAAGTAGGTAAATGGACGAATCTTGTTTCGGTCAAAATTGGTCTCCAGTAACCTATTCTTGTCATAAAGGTCAGCTGAAATCTATTGATGAAGAGGTTCACTATGTTTTTTGCCTTTCTAAAAGCAAAAATGAAATACTTAGATCAATTCTTAAAACACCTTGTGTTTTTGATGGCTGTAGGTTTCACTGTCAGTATAACATAGATGTCTATCATAGATTCTTTCATGTGACGAGAGTTAATCTCCTCGTGTACATCAAGAGTTCTGTTACACAATGTGTTCACAGACAGTGATGAGTTTTTCCATTTTGCCAGTGTTAGTGCTTTCAGTGCCTTCAGCTGTTAACTAGCAGGCAGTCATGTTGGTGTGATCCCTTCCTCCAGTTGCCATGCCTCTGTGGCTGTAACATCACTGCGAGGGTCACTGGAGGTCTTAGCTTGTTCCGTACTCTGGGTTAGATATTCAGTAAGAAATGTTGAATATTGCTGGCACAGATGACCAGATCACTTCAGCCATGACTATCACTGGTGTTTACACGACCGGATTTCATCAACTACTACGGCATGCAGAGGTTCGGCACCACATCCATTCCCACACATCATGTGGGCAGGTAGGTGCACTGTGGAGTCAGAGGCTATTGTAGAATCTCTAGAAAATAGACCTCATGTGGACAATGAACATGTGTGATGATCACCATTACTGTCACAGACGATCAGTGAGGTATCGGAGGTGCTCCCCCAGTACCTACTGCATGGCATGTGTCCAATAAATGAGGATGGAAAGATTACAGTCTGTCACTTGGTTCATGCTATGTCATGGCAATGCTCATGTTGTCGACCACTGGATTGTATGGCTCAGAATTGCTTTTATAAAGGAGGCTGTGATGGAGCTGCAATACTGCTTACTGCAGGACAACTCACTCACTCACTCACTAACTCACTCACTAAATCACTCACTGACTAAATCTACTTTCATGTTTCTTTCATGCAGGGCTCTGCTGCACTCACAGTGGATGGAAGCGGTGGATCTCATCCTCAAACCACGGAAAAGTGGTACGTTGGTTTTGGTGTTCTTGTCCGTGAATGATTAAGTGTGTGGAGGACTATTAGAACTGCCCAGTCATCCAAGGAGCCTGAACTTGCTCTGCAGAGTTGCATTCCCTGGCAGAGCCAGGATTCACTTGTTTCACATGTAGATTCAGCCTGATTATCAGTCGTGGTCTGTCAGCTCTCATTTCAAAATGGTATATGTGTATGATGACTGGCATCACTCAAGGCTTTCCTGTGTCTAGCTGACAAGTTGTAATATGTAACATATGTTATATTTGGGATTACACTTTCTTAGTTAAGTACAGATTATGGTACTTTAACACCCAGTTTCTCAGAACTTTCGAATCCCGGGTGGGACTCAACCCCAAAAAGTACTAGAATCTGTACTTTACTAAGAAAGTGTAATCCCAAATATAACATATGTTACATTTGACCACTTTCTAAATGGCATTGTGTATTCAAAGTTTTAATAATAATATGACTGAGATATCATATAATGGGGTTAAAAACATTCAAAGTGTTAAACATATTGGACATCTCATCCAGTTATGACCATTGATGAAACAGAACTACACTTGTCTATTAGCAGCAGACTTGAATAGTGAAACATACACAACACCACAGGCCGATCCCAGGTTTGAATCCCACTGACCTGGGTTTGAAGCAGCACTCAGGGAGAGTATGGGATTTTCATGTCGGTTGTATTGTCCTTTACCACAGGTATTTTGCACCAGAATTTATTGCACCTTAAGATAAATTTCTGAAATCAAATTCGAATTCTGATTGGTCAATAGCCAAAGCATACCAAACAATGTAGGCAGATTTGCCAGGGTGTACGAACCGTAGACCCCATCAAATCTGTCATGTGACACACTACACGGGTTGTAAGAATGACCTTGACCTTAGATGGAATGTGGCTGCCAAACGGCTGATCGCTTCAAAATTTTAGAGTTGGCATATACAATTATGAGTATAAACAGAGTAATAAAATTGTTGCCATAATTTCTTATTTGTTTGTGACAATAAATATATCCAAAAAATAAAATGTTTCTGTCTTTTACTTGTCGTTTAACAAAACCTCAAATTCTATTTTTTTTAAACTAAGCCATCCCGAGTTATCTCCCTTTATGACCGTTCAGGAAAAAACATGGCAAAACGTTTTGCGTCTCATTCTGCCGATGATTGAATGTTGTTGTTTAAAGATAAGCTAAATAAAAAGGTCTTAAGGGTAATAAATTTGTCACATGGTGTTTTGAAAGGGTGTACAGGACTGTAAGACCCTTGTAAATTCTGTATTTCCTGAGTCTTACAGTCCCGTAAACCCTTTCAAAACACCATGTAACTAATATCTGATGATTACAGGGGATGACAGTATGAAGAAGTGCCGCGAGGAGTGGGGCAAATCACGTGATCCAAGCGCTGCTCTGAGGTATGTCCCCAGTCATCACAACATCGAGAGGACTTTGCTGGAGACACTGATGAAGCAGGGCGAGACCAGCTACGCCAATGCTCTGCAGGCGGTAAGTCAGAACAACAGAAGTGGTTGTATTGAAAGTAGTACCTACAACCAATATTACCAACAGACAGATAAGACATACACAAATAGCTGTATTGAGCTTAGCATTTAGATTCTTGGATGGATTAATACTTGTAAAGACCTTCTAAAATTCAGGGGAATGTCGAACGGTAGCAGTGTTAACATGATTATGGCAACATCTCAAATATCCATACTTCATGAATTCAACTGTGGAATGGGTATCTTACAGCATATTTTGATTTGCTATTAGTTACATCTAAAACTGAACACAACATTTATGTCCAGTTCCTGCTTCAAACTTGGGCACTTGGCAACTTGTATTTTGCTGTGAAGAGTTGTGTACCTTAGGCATACTTATCATCATGGGTTTGAATCTTATTTCATTGATCATGTTCCTAGGTTTGTCTGCCCCATACATGGGCTTGTGGGTTTCCCCAAAGTGATAAACATCTCAAACCTGCATCACATTAAGATTTTCTCCCATACCATTACCAAGGTGACCTGCATTGATATAATGGAAACACTGTGTTTTATGCTAAACTCACTCACTCCATCAGTCGATAATTGCTTGCAGCTGCCAAGAAATACCCGGCTCATGTATGCCCATGCCTACCAGAGTTACGTGTGGAACTCCATGACTTCTCGCAGACTGGCGGAGTTCGGTTACAAGGTGAAGGTCGGGGACCTGGTCATCCCGCACAGCATCAACTGGGAGGGGAGAGGTGAGAGGAACAAGCAGATTAGTGGACATGTTGACAACTCCCAGTTGCATGTATTCAGGGGTCAGCAGTACTGTATGTTATCTGTGGAATCAATCTGTCTTTGTATCCTTGTTATCTGTATCAGTTATTGTTTGGATGCGGAACTGAATATGATATTAATTTCTTTTCTGATGAATGAAAATCCAACATTGTAGGACAAGTATGTATTTCAGGAGGGGATGACGAGTCAAAGTTGCAGCCGACAGTTGTGACAGAGGAGAACCAATCAGAATACAGCATACAGGACCTGGTGTTGCCCCTCCCCGGACATGATGTCATCTACCCTGATGGCGAGGGTAAGTAGTGCACCATTAGTGTTCCCAATTTCACAAAACACGCAAACAACAATTTACAGTCTTCTTTTTCTTTCTTGCCAAGTATCTGTTCACAACTTTCTTCAAGTCAATGTCTGAAACTGACGATGCATTCAGGCTAATCATGAGAAGTCTGTTGCAAGTTTGAACACTGAGTCTGTTTCTATGATCTGTCACAATCAGTTTCACTTTTGAGAACACTCATTCAACTTCAGAAGTGGACAATCACAGTTGCATGAATGGACAGTAATTGAACAATGTTTGATTCAAGTTTCAAAGTTGAGGCTTGAGTCTTCAAAATGGTGGAGAGTGAACTGGTGTCAAGCTCCTTTACTTGACTCCACTCAATCTGTGTTTGGTTTGACAGTAAGTCCATTTCTGCCCTTAGTGTTCCACTTAGAACATAATGAACAAAACATCATTCCCTTCTTTTGTCATCTTCTGAGTACCTCGACCAGGGGACGGTTTTGTTGCCACTTTTTGTCAAATGCAGTCTTGTGACCACCATCTTTCTTCTGTGTTGGATTAACTGACTCTGTCATGTGTGCCCTTGAGTTTTCATAGGAAACTACCTCTGGACTTCGTCTCTAAGTCCGGTCTGAAAAAAGATATATACAAAGTTAATATACCATATTCAAAATATTCTTAGATATTAAATGTGCAATCATAATTATTAAAACAAAAAATATCACACAATAATACACCTGAGCGGTAGCATCTACTGTGGAAAGTTTCCTGACAAGGGTGTGGCTTCCCATTGTTTGAAATCGTGAAAATAGTTTTTGTATTCCTTCAAGACTTACTTTTTTATGAAATCTGACACTAAACACTAAACACTAAAACAAAGGCTACCATGTGAAGCTGTTATGCAGAAGCTGTATTAACTATTTCATTTCCCAGGACAAACAACAAAATAATTCAAGATCAATTTCAAATTGCCGATGGATTCAAAATGGCCGGACATTTCGAGTTTCAGATTTTCACCTAAACAGCACAGTCACATGAATATCCCGGTCCCCAAAGCGTGCAGGAAATACATCACATGTAGTTCACACATCGTTTGTCTTTAATAAATGAAGGTTTAATTTGAAAGGCGTGGTGAAATGGAAAGGGAAATCAACGGCCTAAAAATCACTTAACTTAGAGGCAATATACCTGTTAGTGTTAGGAGCTTAAGAAATCTACTAGTTGGTTAGCTGACTTCTTTGCTTCAACCTTCACTTTCTTCTCTTTTCCTTTGATTCTTTCTTGGTAGGCATTGTGATTTGTAAAGCTTTAGACTAAACACATTTGACTTCAGCCGGTTTAAATGCCAATTTCCTAATCATTATCAAAACAATTTATGCCTCCCTTTGAAAGGGAGAGAACTCCCTTCCTTAATAAAATCCGGAAAATACACACAGGTTGTTGTGAAATCAAGCACAGCTGGAATAAAAGTGGGATTTCAAGGCTTTCTAAAAGGGCAGGGCGAAAAACAAAAAGGGCAGGGCGAAAAATCAAAGGCAGGGCGAGCCCTCCTAAAATGTGCCTAGGGGAACACTAACCATGGGAAGACAGTGGTATGGGAGACGGGCATATCAGATGCTATAGCCTTCACACAATTGTGTGTTTTCATATCAATTATGTCAATCTCCATTGATGAAAGTCAAAAAGAAACAAGTTTGAAGCTTTTGTTGCTGAATGTTGATATATAAAAGACATGAGGGAAACATCATCTAAAATTACTATTCCAACTTTCAGTTTGTAAAAAGTAATATGCAGCTGATAGCATGTTGAGTGTGAGAGTACAGCTGACTAGTTTCAGTGACAGACATTGGTGATGTCATTGTAACTGATTATGTTACAACTGTCTGTCTAGCACTGGATGATAAATATGTTTATATTGACCATTATTTTGGTTTCCTTCAGTGAGGCGAAGGTTTGTTATGGTAAGAAGATGAACCAGGTTTCGTGTCAGTGGTGATTATAGTCCTTGTGATGGTTGCTGTGGGTTGTTTCAGTGGGCTCATGGTACCGAGAGCTGATGGAGAAGGACGACCTTGACATTGACAACATGAAACAGAAGAACAAGTAGGTCCAAGACTAAAGATCTTTCTCAATACGCTGCTATATTGCTGGAATATTGCTGAGTGCAGCGTTAAACAACAAACAGACAAAATGTTAGCAACAAAGAACATTCTCTCTATGACTTCTCCTCCTTTCTGAGAAGTGCTCTGTGTGAAAACTAGTTGACGGAGGGTAGACATTTAGGTGCTGGTAATTTCATCATGTGAAAAAGAACTCTGAAAACCATAAGTCAATCCAGTTTAATCTAGTCTAAATGCCAATTAAAAATCGTTGGTTTAATGAATTGTATAACAAAACATTAGCTGAGACCATTCATGTGTTTTAGGGATTATTCCCTGCCTGGTGACTATCGCCACCTACTGGTGACCCCAAGAGATGTGACCTGGGACGTGGTTACCTACAATGACTTCACAGTCCCACTCTCACAGGGAGATCTCGATGTGATGTTTAACAAACCTCAACCAGAGAGTGTCAAGGGTAGGTGTATTGAGAATATCGTAGAGGAGGCGTACAGTGTAGGCATTTACTAATGTGGGCTATATAGGATAAGTAACCAGTGTAGGCATATACTGATGTAGGCTATACAGGCTAGGCAACCAGTGTAGGCATATACTGATGTAGGCTATACAGGGTAGGCAACCAGTGTAGGCATATACTGATGTAGGCTATACAGGCTAGGCAACCAGTGTAGGCATATACTGATGTAGGCTATACAGGGTAGGCAACCAGTGTAGGCATATACTGATGTAGGCTATACAGGTAGGCAACCAGTGTAGGCATATACTGATGTAGGCAACCAGTGTAGGCATATACTGATGTAGGCTATACAGGGTAGGCAACCAGTGTAGGCATATACTGATGTAGGCTATACAGGGTAGGCAAAGTGTAGGCAATGTAGGCTATATGTAATGTGGGCATATGGTAGGCAATGTGTAGGCTATATAGGTAGGCAACCAAAGTGTAGGCATATACTGATGTAGGCTATACAGGGTAGGCAAAGTGTAGGCAGTGTAGGCATATACTGATGTAGGCTATACAGGGTAGGCAACCAGTGTAGGCATATACTGATGTAGGCTATACAGGTGTAGGCAACCAGTGTAGGCATATACTGATGTAGGCTATACAGTGTAGGCATATACTGATGTAGGCTATACAGGGTAGGCAACCAGTGTAGGCATATACTGATGTAGGCTATACAGGGTAGGCATATACTGATGTAGGCTATACAGGGTAGGCAACCAGTGTAGGCATATACTGATGTAGGCTATACAGGTAGGCAACCAGTGTAGGCATATACTGATGTAGGCTACCAGGGTAGGCATATACTGATGTAGGCTATACAGGGTAGGCAACCAGTGTAGGCATATACTGATGTAGGCTATACAGGGTAGGCATATACTGATGTAGGCTATACAGGGTAGGCAACCAGTGTAGGCATATACTGATGTAGGCTATACAGGTAGGCAACCAGTGTAGGCATATACTAATGTAGGCTATACAGGGTAGGCAACCAGTGTAGGCATATACTGATGTAGGCTATACAGGGTAGGCATATAGTGATGTAGGCTATACAGGGTAGGCAACCAGTGTAGGCATATACTGATGTAGGCTATACAGGGTAGGCATATACTGATGTAGGCTATACAGGGTAGGCAACCAGTATGCATATACAGCCATATACTGATGTAGGCTATACAGGGTAGGCAACCAGTGTAGGCATATACTGATGTAGGCTATACAGGGTAGGCAACCAGTGTAGGCATATACTGATGTAGGCTATACAGGGTAGGCATATACTGATGTAGGCTATACAGGGTATGCAACCAGTGTAGCCATATACTGATGTAGGCTATACAGGGTAGGCAACCAGTGTAGGCATATACTGATGTAGGCTATACAGGGTAGGCATATACTGATGTAGGCTATACAGGGTATGCAACCAGTGTAGCCATATACTGATGTAGGCTATACAGGGTAGGCAACCAGTGTAGGCATATACTGATGTAGGCTATACAGGGTAGGCATATACTGATGTAGGCTATACAGGGTATGCAACCAGTGTAGCATATACTGATGTAGGCTATACAGGGTACAACCAGTGTAGGCATATACTGATGTAGGCTATACAGGGTAGGCATATACTGATGTAGGCTATACAGGCTATGCAACCAGTGTAGGCATAGACTGATGTAAACCATAGTAGGTAGGCATACATTGAATACATTACAAGTTGTTCACTGGTCCATGTTTGTTTCTGTACGCAACATAATGAACGTAATGAAGCATCGAGGGTACATCAACCCATGTCCCCCTCGAGACCAGTGAACAACGTATTTATCTTACCAAACACCTTAATGGTAAGACAACAAGAAAAATAAATTTAGAGTTATCTCCCTTCCATCGATTTGCATTCTCAAAACATCAGTAATTTCCGTACATCATACGTGATTCAATTTTATTCGAGATAAAGAATTACTACTACGAGGTACCAAATGAGTTTGGCATTCCCAGCGGGGTACATAGAAAATGATACTTGCTTGTAAGCGGGATACATAGAGAATACTACACGAGGTCTCATTACATACGAATTATACGAAAGAGTGTCCTTCCTTAGGTATCTGACCGAGCGAAAGCGAGGTCAGATAACATAGGAAGGTCACGAGTTTCGTATAATTCATATGTAATGAGACCGAGTGTGGTATTTTATTTATTACCCACGTCTTACATGCATTAAATTGACAAAATAGCGTATTTTTGTTAATATTTTGGTTTCAAACCGAAACCGGTTTAATAAAGAGGTTGCGGAAGAGTTTTGTACTGTAGTACAATATTTGCATGACGTGACATTGACGTCACTGTAATGACGTCACTGCCTTGGTAACCGACGTCACGATGCATGTCAGTTGTCATCGCCTCGTACAGCCTCCTACAGTAAACTACTCCGTAGCACCCTGTTTCTTGGCATTCAGTTGCTTCATTCAGCTAACATCACTGGTGGAAACATTGCGTTTACGTTTTTCGACGGGTATAATGTCTCAGTTCGACTCGCAATTAAACACCGACACGGCAACGTTCGCGATGTTTACATTCCCACAATGCATTTAAGTTGTAGAATGAATGGATTCACGTGTTTGTTATGAATGAAAAAATAGTTACGTCAGAATGTGACCTAATTGAGAGGTCATCGGTTATCCAATCAAATCGTTAGAATCTCAGGTCAAGTCGTTACGACACAGGTCAACGCGATACGACACTCGTGTGACATACGAGATTAGTATGCAACTACCCATACGTTGACCACGTGGGTAATAAATTGACTGAGCTCTCTTATATTATTTCAATCAATTATGTGTGAGGCAAGATAAATACTGATGTAGGCATACACTGATGTAAGCTATAGAAGATAGGCAATACTGATGTACGCTATAGAAAATAGGCATAGTGTAGGCATGCACTGATGTAGATTAGAGAAGACATGCATACAATGAAGGTTTGTACTGATGAGGGCCACAGAGAGAAGGCATACAGTGTAATCTGTTTACTGTTTAGGCATAGAGGGTGTTAGTAGGTAGTTACTGCCTCCTATTTATATACAAAAGTGGTTTTGAGGTGATCCAGGTTTATTCCTTGTGTTTGGTATGTCTCTTGAATTACTCTCAGTAGGCTGCAACAGGCTTCATGAAACAGAAATAATAGCTAGATGCATTCAACATGTACCTACTTATTCTCAGGGGGAATAATCCTACTAGTCATGAAGACAACTTTATGAAACATGTGTTATCACTTTGGCATAACTGCATAATATAGCCAGTGTGAGTGTTGGTTGAATTCTGTACTTTTTCTCTGTGACTGTCATCTTTGCTGTTATATGTGCTAGCTGCACCTGTGTCTCTCTCCACAGAGGGCAAGTTCCGAGCTTTACGACTGGAGTTTTCCCTTCCCTCCTCAACCTACGCAACAATGGCTCTGCGAGAAATCCTCAAGATTGACACTTCCTCCACTTTCCAGACTTCGCTGAATGTGACGACACCAACAGATAGTGAACCAGTTAAATCCACAGTCAGATAGTGAACCAGTTAAAACCATGGTCAGATAGTGAACCAGTAAAAGCCATGGTCAGATAGTGAACCAGTTATAACCAGTCAGTGCCAGTTTGCATGGTGAATGACACGACACAGCTTTGATAAACTTGCTTTAACAAGCTGGTTTCGGGTAGATGATGCCCAGAGCAGAGCTTGAGTCTGATCCAGCAGCTGGAAACCTCATTAGGTGACTTTGACATGTCACCAGCGCCACCTACTGGACACGAGGAGAATCAACAAACAGATGATTCCTGGAAGTGTTTCTGGGGTATATAATCGGGGTTACTAATGCAAGCTATTGTATTCCTGCTCTATACTCAAACCTCCTGTATGTGGCCATAGAAGAAGACTCATTGACTGGACATTGGTTTTGACCTCTAAAGGTCACCACAGTTGGGAAAAGATTGGACATATATTTTTGCTTCTGTATAATAAATTGTTTGGGCATTTTGTCTCTATAGATCTCTGTGGTTGTAATGCATTGGACATTGGATTTGACCTCTACACATCACTGTGGGTTAGAGGCAGTAGGTGGTTGTTTCGGAGTCTCTTGGAAAGCATAGTTCTGATTGGTCATTTTTACCAGGAACAATTGAAAATTATTGGCTTGCCTGTGCTTCATGGTATGTATGTAGTTGCAGCAAATAACAGACCAGGTGCTTGAGGAAGTGATGTCTGTAGTTTTGAATTTATAGACTTCATTTACTTCAGTGTCAATGATAAGCACTTCACACACAGCTAATGTATTCACAAACACCCAAAATTAGTGACATCTTTCAGCGAAATAGTGCAACTCAAGACCCACACATTCTCGGAGTTGGAGAAGCAGCATTTGTTTTGGTGTATATATTTCTGAATATATTTGAGTTAGAATGCCAAGGATTAGCATCCATCCTGGGCCCCCACACAGACAGGATGTGTGAATGGGCAGTCTCTCCAGCAGCTGGTAACATCCATACTCGGCCCATCCATCAGCAGGTAACATCCATACTCGGCCCATCCATCAGCAGGTAACATCCATCCTCGGCCCCCACACAGACAGGATGTGTGAATGAGCAGTCTCTCCATCAACTGGTAACATCCATCCTGGGCCCCCACCCAGACCGGATGTGTGAATGAGCAGTCTCTCCATCAGCTGGTAACATCCATCCTCTGCCCCCACACAGACAGGATGTGTGAATGAGCAGTCTCTCCATCAGCAGGTAACATCCATCCTCGGCCCCCACACAGACAGGATGTGTGAATGAGCAGTCTCTCCATCAGCAGGTAACATCCATCCTCGGCCCCTACACAGACCGGATGTGTGAATGAACAGTCTCTCCATCAGCTGGTAACATTCAGCCAAGGATACTGGCAACAGTTAGGAATGATGCTGTCCTTGACTACAAGCTACACTGCACTGCAGAAAGTATTATCCAAGGTATTCATACTCGAGTAAGTAAGTTTGGTTTTATGCCGCTTTTAGCAATATAACGGCAGGGAATACCACAAATGGGCTTCACACATTGTACCCATGTTGGGAATCAACCCCAGGTCTTCGGCGTGACAAGCAAACACTTTAGCGACAAGGCTACCCCAACGCCCCTTTTAAACTCGAATCACTGAGTTTTCCATGGTACATGTATAACATGCATGTATATGCCAAGGTGCACCTCCTCACTCATTCTAACTGTATGCAAGAACAACAAAATTCAAGTCTCCGTTATGAAAAAAGAATAGTTTATTGATAAAAAAATCTTAGCCTACAATATGCTTATATGCAGAAGCATTTTGTAAACATAAAATAAAAAATATGTGATGGCAACTCGCTGGCAGAAGCACTTATTGAGCATATTAGTCCTTGAATATGTTTGACATCTGCGAGACATCTCGGTAAACTGGAGCTCTACTACACCACTTCGTGGAGATCTAACAGATCCTGGGTTGGAAAGACAGATCGGGATGACACTTGATAGAAGCTAAATAAACACCTGCCATTCAATTTGCACAATTATGCAGAGCCAACGGCAGTCGCCAAAATGTCTATTTTTTATTTGTTACAATTTTTGCAAATATTTGTCATATTGTAATTGCATAACACAAGACAAGTTTACACTCAAGATCATATCACCCTGTGAAAAAAAACAATCCTAAAAATACATACACAAATAATATTCACAGTATATTGACAGATCTTCAATAATTGAGATTTCACTTATTATATCCATTGTAGGTAGGGCACAAGGGTATGGGCAAAGCAAGTTAACGTGTGGTTTGCAAATGAAACATTATGACTATAGGAAGTATTTTAGTAGATGACTTCATATGAAACTAGCAAAAACATCTATATTTGATTTTACACAGTAATTAAATACATATAATCAAGTCTTGTTGCTATATAGACCAAGTCATATAGATTTAATGGTAGCCCCAAAAAATTTATTTCCCTAAACCTCAACCCATCAAAATGGCTACTAATATTAACAAGTCATTGTTCACCGCTCAAACTGACTTCATAAATTGTATACAAAACATAACTTCATGTAACCATGGTAACAGCAAAGAGCACCTTTGATAATAGATAAATCCGCTACCCTCGGTTTTATATCGAGGAAATGGAAAGTAAAAGATAGAAACATAGAAGCAAAAACTATCTTTCCATTCCCATTTCCTTGACATGGCAGTTTATGCTGGCCTCAATGATTGCTCACTGAGAACTTGCCACCCCTACATCATCATGTAGGATCTCCCATTCCTTTCAAGTTTGGATCACAGAAGTTGGTTGGAGGTGTGCAAGGAAGAAACAGATGTCTTCATTGCAAGGATAGTTTATCAATCCTTCCCCCTTTTGTTGGTAAATGTGATCTCCATGTCATGTCATGATGGAAGCGTCTATTGTGATTTAGGGGTGTAAGGTGTGGTAGGGCACCTTACTCGCACTTGACACAGAAGGGACTGCCTGGTATTTGCTCCTCTCCCCACTTCACCATCAGCATGTAGGTGCCGCGCTCCTTCACCATGTAGTTGATAGTGTACTGGTTATTGCCCTTGTGAGACACGATCAGCTCCTCACAGGGACCCTTAGGTCCCATCATACCCACATACAGGATGTTGTTTCCTGGAAACAGACAAAGTCATGTGAGAAGTTTGGATGACTTCAAATGACAAATGGTGATTTGACTGTTGTAACAACATACCAGGTCTGTCTGAGAAGTTTGAATGTCTTTGTGCAAAAGTTACCAGAAGTGATGAAATGGTGTGGATTGGTCAATCCTGACAATGTACCGTAAGTGATATGCTGAAAATATTTAGCTTGATGCTTCTTGTGAAATTATCTTCAAAATCAACATTAGTATTTTTCATCTTTCTACCTCCAATATCTTAACAGAACATGTGTATTACTAGAAAATTAATTTATTTAAACCGATAGTTAAAAATAAAATAATTGTATATGAGCAAATGCTTTCTGTTATTATCCTGTAAATAACTTGCAACTTACCAGCCCCTGATGTGTCAACTGTAAACGTAGACTTTTGTCCTCGGAAGGCTTTATTTAATCCATTACCCTTTGCAGACACCTTGCTGGCATCAGAACTAAACCTCTGTATTCCGCTGAACTTTGTCATAGTGCTTGTCTTGGTAACCGTTTCCACAACAACCGATGCATGTTCCTGAACTGAAGAGACTTTACCTTCCCCCTGAAATACAAGTTGTATTGATCTGAGAAGTTGTCGTAGGGTGCATGGATGCTAAACAACAGTGAAACAAGTGTTTACAGGAAAGTCACAGATATTCATCGAGGTGTTACTCAACGCAAACAGTAGGATCTATCTACTGTCTCCTACTGACAATGTTGATATTAAGGTGAATAATTAAAACTAAATTCAAGAAAAATGCAACAGTTAGAATTTTAGTAATCAGTCAACAAGATGGTAATTAATTATGTTTACACATCGTTATCACAATGTAAAACATGCACATTTAGCACAAGTTGAGAAGTCTGCAGACATTAATGTTGTCATGTGATTGTACTACCATCACTCGGTGTAAAGTACACACGGCAGATGTCTTACACACACAGATGTTCAACTAGGTTCTGGTCCAGTGCTACTATCCTACCAACTCTCACAGGTTCAAACAGCAGTTTTGACTTTGTACACAGAGCTCTACGCGATGAAAACCTTGTTGAACACCAACGTAACACCAGTGCAATGCCACACCATACAGTCCTCTATTTTCCTTCCATTATAATTTACACAATTACAAATATAAGATTCTGAATTTAACCATACATTTCCTTCTTTCTATTGGTAAGAATTCTTTATGTAAAGTAATTCTAAGAATATTATTTCAGCCAAATATTCTTTTGTTTTCTTTCATGAAAGAATAACAGTTACAAATGTAACAATTTAAAATTCTAAACTGTCCTGAAAACCTCTCCAATAAATGGAGGTCACGTTTTGACAAGGACCCCAGGCTTTGTACATGCCAGTTGTCTCCAGAATCTATCGTACACTCTCAGATATGGGTAGATAAAACATCTCATGTAAGGGGGGCACTCTCTACTATATTCCATAACTGTGTGCACAGCTCATGTGTTCAAAACTTTACTACAAGGGATTGGCAAGATCCCTGTCTAAAAACCAAGCGGGGAACACAACACAACCAAACTGAAACCTTTGACAGTCTGTTTGGTGTTCACAAAGCTTTTTGTGTTTTCATCGAAGATCGGAATATCCTGTTGAGATCCGTCTCCCTGAGTTACTGGAATGAAACCTGACTATACAGCATTCAGAGTCTACACAGCAGGTCTACAGATGCTGTCATTCAGGGTTGACAGCCAGACAGCCAGGGTTGCTAGGGCAACAGCACATCCTGAGGCAGTTTTTTCAAAATTCAGAATTATTGTTTCTTGTTTGAACATTTTAATTAAATGTTTTGATCGGCAGCAAGTGTGTTGAAGTAAGTCTCCACTACACACTTTGATGAATGGCACACTGTAGCCTACAAGAAGCTCTAGAAACCCTGACTGCCATCAGATTGCACACAGAGGAACTAACACATAGCAATGCATGGGCATTTAATAACTGAAGACAAGTCAGTCTGACAGTAAGTGCATTAATATAACAAGACACTAAGTGATGGAAAATAAAAATAATGCAGTGTTGTATACGAAGTCAAGGCGCGTAAATAGTAGATGAAAAAACAGAAACATTCTATAAGATTAGGAAAGTCGAGGCACATAACTAGAAGATATACTTTCATTTCTGTTACTCTTTATGACACGATGGAAACAGTTGTTGGTGAGGTCTGTGAAATCCATGTACAGGAACGATAAACCGGCTCATAACTAAGGACGAGATAGTTCAACTGATTCTTTATGTGTGACATTTCGTCAGGAGTTAGATCCTTATAACGTTCAAATGTTGACCACAATGTCAACTTGTTACTACAGCCAGTTGGAGATTTTCACATCCTTAA